ACAAAAGACGGGTACAGGAGAATATCTACTGAAAAAAGCTTTATGAATGAAAATATACCGAGAACGTGGATGTACGAAAATGGGTCATCGAATGAAATATTTCAACTGACCATTATAAGTTGACACTCGAGATTTCATCGAGGTGGGCTTGTGAAGCTGGTTTTGAATGGAGTCGAGGTTCCAAGATGGTTGGTGGGTGGAATGAAACGCACACGACACGATACGCTCGACCAACCAGTGCCAGCGTTCCAATCGCATCAATTGTTTTCTTTGTCCTGGACACTGATGGACCGAGAGTGTTTTAACTAGAGAATTCTACAGAATCTCCGTAGGTTTCAACTGTCAAAAAACATTTTAGTTCAAATGAGTGCCTATATGAATCGATATTCGGTTCAGTGGAGAAAATATATCATTTATATATTTTTTTAACATAAGCAGTCTATTTTGACACTAATTAAACAAGATAATATAAAGTAGGTTTAATCAATACTTTAAGTGCACGGTTGGTGCAGCTGGCTGCTATGCAAAATGTTGCGGGTTAGTTTCCCACCCAAAACAAGTCTTTGTGTGATCTACAAATTGTTGTTTCGGGTCGGGCTGTGATGATTATGTGAAACCGTATGTTTGTAAACGCACCCATGACACAGGAGAATGAGAAAATCCGAATGGGGTGCAAAGATTAAAAAAAAACAGTAAGAAAATAAAAAACGTGGTTCCGTTGGACTAAAGACTCTTTCGCGAATAAATCGTACTGGCGACGTGAAATAATCTGTGGAGAGAGCTGTTTAAAACAACGTTCTCGTGTCACTGCAAATAAATCGGTTTTGACAAAAATGACAGTATGTATAAAATAAAAAAAATCATGTGAAAAATAAAATAAGGTAAAATTTCAATATAACATGTGACTTTAGTAAACTTCAATTTTATATATAAGTAACATTTCTGTGATATGCCGGGACCCGATGTGAGAGCAAATGAAAATGTACTCGGCGAGATGTCGACAGAGCCTACAGCGACTGTGCATAGTGGCGTAGAAGCGAAAGCTGAAAGAAAACTAACAGTCCTTGAGTCACATGGATACGTCCTTGGTCGAACCATTGGGTCTGGTTCTTATGCCACCGTAAAGGTACCAGATTATTTCTCAAATGTTATAAGCCACGAAACATTCGTCAAACACATTATTATCGAAACAGAAAGAATTGAAGGCACTAAAGACATGTAGAACACGATTGGTCTTTTAGACAATGCAAAATATTTTTTAGTTAAATCGAAAGCTCCTATTATTAATGATATTGAGATAAATTATTTTATTGATATTTTTTGGAATCCATCAACTGATGATGACGTTATTTGGATGACGCACAGTTCGAGCTATCTTAATGGCTTTCAACTCTAATGTCCCGCTAAGGCTAATTTTGAATTATCATCTACAGGTTGCAACCAGCGACCGACATAACTGTCAAGTGGCTATCAAGATAATTAGCAAGTTTCAAGCACCTGGGGATTATTTGAAGAAGTTTCTGCCGAGAGAAATAGAAGTTGTAAAAGGTCTTAAACATGAGAACCTGATACGATTTCTTCAAGCTATAGAAACCACACACAGGTACTAGGATAACCGCCTCATTCTAGAGACACGTATATTATAACTATTCCACATTCAGATTGGATTAAATAACCTCATTTCATATTTCCATGAATTTGCTTATCCAGTAGTGGATTTATTATGTTATAATATTACGCTCATTTCACAGTATCGCAAACCGCAAGAATAACCCTTTTATAACATTGATGCCCAAACTACCAAAATTTCCGTGAACAAAAAGGAGGTTTTAGTACTGGTGGATTTTCACCTCTTTTCTGTTAAGCATCAGCTAGCGGCTAGTCATAAGTGCCAAATTAAAAAAATAAATAGGCTACTTCTACGTGTTTTCCAAATTAAACCTATCAGATATCTCTATGCCTGATTACGTTGATGACAAAGAAGACCCATAAAGCACTCTAAACTTTCTTTTGTTGCACCTATCTATGTTGGGCACAAATTGCTAACTTTAAGATGATAGGAGAGCTTGTTTGCCCTTATCCCTTAAAAATAAATAAAAGGATGATTATGAAACCTTATTATGGCAACGAAATAGCGACTGTTATTAACTACTCGTACTAGCTTCCGCCCGCAGCTTCGCCCGCGTGGTATGTTGATAAAAAGTAGCCTATGTCCTATTCAGGAGCAAGTCCTATGCCTGTGCCAAATTTCATTCCGTCGAGCCGTTTTAACAAACATCCAAACATCGTGACTTTCGCATTTATAATATTAGTAAGATAAGATAAATAAAAATGGAATTGTAGATCCCGTCTCTGAATGAGCCACGTTCCTCTTTTGTTCAGATTTGATACTTCACTTTCCAGGGTTTATATTGTGATGGAGTATGCCGAAAACGGCAGTCTCCTAGATATAATACGCAAGGATCAACATATCGATGAGGTGCGAGGTCGACGGTGGTTCCGCCAACTCGTGGAGGCAGTTGACTACTGTCATGAACGAGGAGTTGTTCATAGGTGACCTTACTACAGCGTAACTTTCCAAAGCTTTGATAGAAAACATGGCAAAATTCCCAGTGAACATAACCTACTCAACGTGGTTTTCTACTACCTGCCCTGCCTGTGCAGATCAGTGTCAAGTCTGAAAGTGTGACGAGTGGTTTCTGCGAGTTATTTAGGAATCCAAAAGTTGTCTGTAACAAGTCGCCTTGTACGATAAGACCGACTGTTGTACACTCTATTTTGTATCTACCCTACGAGTTGTACAATCAAGTATAGGTACATAAATAAATACTATCTACCTTAAACCAGCCATATTTGAATAAAGAGTATCAAATAAAAAGTACTTTTTCTAAAAAGCGTATCATAAAAAACCCTCTCTATTCCAGGGACATAAAATGCGAAAACTTGCTAATGGACCATGGCTTGAACATTAAACTTTCGGATTTCGGTTTTGCTCGAGGACATATGAAGCCGAAGAATGGAGTATACGCACTGAGCGAAACTTTCTGTGGAAGTTATGCGTATGCATCACCAGAAATCTTGAAGGGAGTTCCCTATAGGCCACAGGATTCTGACATATGGAGTATGGGAGTCGTCCTGTTCGCCATAGTATACGGAAGACTGCCTTTTGACGATACGAATTATACTCAGTTGCTCAAAGTAAGTTTGAATAGAGAAATTGGATTAATTTTCTAGATTCAACATTTTATTCTCCTATTCATTTGTTGTTTCGAGGATTCTTTAATCTATTGTACTTCTTATGATCTTACCTTTCTGGGTATATCGGACACTGCTTTGCTTCACTGGTGTTCTTCCAACTTAAGTAAATTTTTAGGATGAAGGTAAGCAATTAGCGCCGTTTGGGCAACCGCAACACCAGGCCACTATTGTCCCTTCATGGTTAGGAATTAATTGAGTGTAGGGGTAGGTAATTCATATTGATTATTGCTCTATATTTATTAGAAGGTATGCAACCCTAATTTTCAATTCTATTCACAGCAAGTGCAAAACAAAGTAACATTCCCGCGCGAGCCGAAAGTATCAACAGACTGTCGTAAGCTGATCACGAAAATACTAGCTCCTTTAAAAGTGCGCGTGAAGATACCTCAGATCCTGGCAGACCCGTGGATCAACCCCAACCAACCAGCCAAGGACGAAGAGGTGGATACAACACAGGTGACATTAGATGACATTTGATGAAACAGACTTGTAAAATATTTCAAAGTGATCAGTGGACAAACGTTTGCTTTTACCCATCTGAATCATTTCATCATGAAATCGTCAGCATTTTTGTCACCGTCCAAAATTGTACGCGTCTGATGAACAGATTTGTGTCCTTACTGGTTTCCAAAAATGCTTCTTCCTTAAGTTTTTGTGACGTTCTTGGTCCAGTGGATAACCTTGTTCCTCTCCGATGCACAAGCAGATCCGTGGATAAATCCCACTGTTACGGTCGGTACGCACTGCGGTTTACCCCGGTAAAAAGCAAAATTATGTTTTCTAAACTGTGCTACATTATAATTGAAATAAACTCCTTTCACAAACTCCATTTTTGTTTAATTTCATGTTCTACTAGAGGCCCGTGGCTTCTGGGTGGGATTTCCAAAATCTATGAAGTGATTTTACTAAAAAACGACAAAAACTAGGCCTATCAGGAACGTTATCGTTTCTAGACGCATTGCTCAATAACTGGAGTGAAATTAATTTTAATCAAAACTACTGGCAAATGAACTCGGAACACCGAACTTAAAAGTGACTTCTAAACGTTTCAGTTTACCTAGAACAGGCCCCTAAAGCTTGCAATCCTCAACCATGCTAATTAAACCAATTTAAGTTGGAACGTAATAAGTAACGTTGTTTGTTCGACCGTTTTTCCCTCGTGGTCTCATCCACAACGGGTTACTGCCCAAGTCCCTTTAATTAGAGCTACACGAATAGTAATTACGTTCATTACGTTAAAAAGGTATCATTTTTCAGGAAAACGCGCAAGTCAGCAAAGAAGAAATAAAAAGCGTGAACATTGGCACTGTGACTTTCGACAGGAAATTAGAGGAAGTGAAATAATAACATTAAAGCAACCAAACGGACAATAGTGAACGATTTAAATAAACAAATAATGATTTGTTATATTTTATTGTTTTTTTACTATCATAAAAACTGCAAAGATGTATATAAATTCACGAGTTTGTCCCTCAGGGTTGGTTTAAGCTTTATCTTTAGTCCCTCATCTTAAGATATGCGAATACACAATAGCCGCTATATAGATTGATAGGTCGCTAGGTACTGCTGTTTTTTGTGGTTTTTGTGGGCATGCAACGACCCTTGCGCACCTTCTGCCGATCCGGACTTACGGTGGTCTGAGATTGACGCCCATGGTTACTCATCATTCCCTCGGCGTCCTTATTTGCGAGCATGACGGTTAGTACAAGGAAATAACTGCGCAGTTCTTCTTACTCTGCACCATGACCTGGGTCATGGCCGGGCTCGAGCTTACCCCTGGAATAGGCGGTGTCCAGCCCAAGTTGGGCACATACAAGTACAATAAGCAACTGCGTCAGTTTCCACCTGCAGATTGTTGAAGATGATGAGGCGCCACTTTAGCCACTGCTAAAATGCTTGCTGCTGCAAATAAGAGTCTCACCACTGAGACGACTTCTGAGTAATTGCTTTGACTCTTCCATGAGATTGCACTGGAGCCAATCCCACAACGCACTTAACTGGTCGGCAGGGGAGTTTCACCTCGGCGTGCACAAACAGTTCCGATACGATATCCACGGATCACTCGTATGGCCCACTAGGCACATGACCAGTGTACACAGAAACCCCGTAGAGGGCCACGGATCTTACACTATGCAAACTCAATCAATCTCCTGTAAGAGGCGTTTGGTCCGTCCGTTTCATTATGAGAGATGAACTGGCTGTCGAGGACGAGACCTTCTTATGTACTTCTTTGTCAACTCAACGCCGATGGCAACCCCTTTTGCTGTTATTTGGGACTCACCCGGGGGTTGCAAAGAAAAAGACGGAGCACATAAGGGAAATATCCTCCTTACGTCCCAGCCCTTACAGTAGGAGACACTCCGAGCGTCGGGGATTGCGCGACGATCTCCGGCTTCCGTCAACGAGGGTCAGCGAACGGCCAGCAAGGGTGGCTCGCCCGACCAGAACCAAACCTGGAGGGTAGGGCGCACAGAGATCCGCGTCCGCCTCAAAAAGCCAATAAACCACCACAGATAGGACCGAAAAGGGCTGATATTCAGCCAGGGTTGTGCCCCACCAAGGGCAAGATAAATTATTTGACTTCTCCCTATCAATAAATTAATGAAAAAAAAACCGGAGATGGCCCGTCCCGAGCAGCCTTGAAAACAACAGATTAACAATATATTTGTGCTTAACTTCAACGCTATGAACATAAAAAGAAAATACTCTCCAACTTGAAAACCTTAGGTATTTTATTAATTAAGTCAATATTAAAAAGGATGAGAAATTTATTTAACTTTGCTGGGTTTCGTCTTCGGAGGCGGCTTAGGAGTGCATATGTACTCGTCATCCTGTAGCTTCAAAGCTTCTAGTCTCATAGACTTTTTGGCTTTCACTATACACCCATACGAAATAACGATGAAGACTATGTATATTACAGAAGCAATCCAACAGTTTTGCGCCACCTACATACAAATATAATATTAGTTGGTAAGCACTTGTAGGTACTTTTTGTCCTTATAAATTACACATAGGTAGACGACACGCGTGTCAGTCGCAAAAAGTATTCTTAAAGTTTGAAACACTATTAGCCCATTAATAATACTTATCTACATATTATGTATTTACTACCAAGGACTAGAAGTAGTCGTTGGAAAGCACGTAAACCATCTCGTATTGCCGTCACATCAAATCAGAAGAATGGGAGAGTGCAAGGCACACGCCCTTACTCATAATCATCATCATATCATCATATCAGCCACAGGACGTCCACTGCTGAACATAGGCCTCCCCCATTGACTTCCAGATAGGCTGGTTGGAAGCGACCTGCATCCAGCGGCTTCCTGCGACCTTAATCAGGTCGTCTGTCCACCTTGCGGGTGGACGTCCCACGCTGCGCTTGCCGGTACGTGGCCTCCACTCGAGAACCTTTCTGCCCCAGCGGCCGTCGGTTCTACGCGCTATGTGCCCTGCCCATTGCCACTTCAACTTACTAATCCGCTGGGCTATGTCGGAAACCTTTGTTCGTTTGCGGACATCCTCGTTTTTTATACGGTCTCGCAAAGAAACTCCGAGCATAGCCCTCTCCATAGCGCGCTGAGCGACCTTGAGCTTCTTTATAAGGCCCACAGTAAGAGACCACGTTTCAGTTCCATAGGTCATCGCTGGTAACACACATTGATTATAGACTTTCGTCTTAAGGCACTGAGGTAAGTTGGACGAGAAGATGTTGCGTAGTTTCCCGAACGCTGCCCATCCAAGTGATTCCTTCTCGAAATTGGACCTACCTAGCTGGATCACTTGTCCCAGGTATACATATTCGTCAACAATTTCGAGGTTAGAACTCCCAACTGATATCGGATAGGGCGTGACATGGGCGTTTGCCATGACTTTCGTCTTGTCCATGTTCATTCGGAGCCCTACCTGTTGAGAAACTCTACAGAGGTCATCGAGCATTGTGCTCAGATCCTCCAGCGATTCTGCCATGACTACAATGTCGTCGGCAAACCGGAGGTGAGTGATGTACTCGCCGTTGATGTTGATGCCAGATCCTTTCCATTCCAAGAGCTTGAAAGCGTCTTCCAATGCAGCGGTAAACAGTTTCGGAGATATGGCGTCTCCTTGCCTTACACCTCGCTGCAGAGGAATATTCTTAGTGCTCTGGTTTTGTACTTGGACCGACATAGTGGCGTTTGTGTATAAGCACTTCAAAACCTCGATGTACCGAAAGTCAATATGGCACCGCTGGAGAGATCTTAACACAGCCCAAGTCTCGATCGAATCAAAAGCCTTCTCATAGTCCACAAACGCCAAGCATAGTGGCAAGTTATACTCCTCGGTCTTCTGTATAACTTGCCGCAGCGTATGGATGTGGTCTATGGTACTATAGCCTTTCCGGAAACCGGCTTGTTCGGGAGGCTGGAAGTCATCGAACCTACGTGTGAGACGATTTGTGATGACCCTCGAGAATAACTTGTAGACATGGCTCAGAAGTGAGATGGGTCTATAATTTTTCAGTAGAGTGTTATCTCCCTTCTTGAAGAATAGTACCACCACACTTCTGCTCCATGCCGCCGGCGTTGCTCCTTCGAATATGACGGAGTTGAAGAGCTTCTGAAGGACTCTCAGTTACTCATAATATTACCTACATAGTTGATTAATTTCATATTTTGATCGGATTTTTATACGTCAAACAGATGACCATAGGTCCCACCCATGGATTCTGGCAACACCAGAGAAGTCACGAGTGCATTACCGGACTTTTGGGCAATTTCGTCACTGAATTCATTATCCTGCGATTAGCTTAAAAGATAGAACTAAGTAAACCTAACTTACAGCGCGATAATTATGCTGAGTTTTATGAATAAAATCGTCATAATCGTCATACTCTTCTGCTTCAACATCTTCTAAAAGAGTGACCACTTCGAAATAGTAAAATATTCCCATGAAAAACTGAAACCAGTGAAGCAATGCGTTTGTTATAAATTACTAAAAAGACTAATTAGATAGTAGGTATTTAAGTAGATTTTAATAAGAATTTCTCTACTACCTATTGCAACGCTTCATTCAAACTTGATCTAAAATAGAAACTAAAGTTCTCTACTTCAATTCTAATTGTTACTTAAGTGGGTAGGTATATACGGTTACGTTGGAATGTTTTTCATGTCTAACGACAAGTAGAACTAGGTACCCTCACCGACACCACTAATTTGTGTTGACCCGAAATGTTTGAAACATATTAATGAAAAACTGATATACTACCAGCTGTATCGTTCCCCATATGCTGACTAAGGAACAACAAACACCACAGTTAAATAAAATACTCATTGCCAAAGCGAGTAAAATAAGTAAATAGATAATATTTTATAATACAGCTAATTGATAACAATGAACCAATTTCTTGACGGTTGTTTATTGACAGCGGTATCGCCATCGCCACACAAGTAGCATAGTCTAAGAAGTTCTTATGAGAGAAAAGTAGCATTGTGACAGGGCAGTGTAAAGCCTTGTTCACACTTTAGGTAAAACAAATCAGTCAAAGCAAAAAAGAGGAGGGCACACGTGATTACCTAAATAAACAAGTTCAAGCTCGATAAAGAAATAACGAAGAACATGGGTAAGTCCTCCATACACATCAGCTCTTACAGGAATTTCTGGGCGTCGGGGATCGCCAGATCGCCGGCACCTTAAGCGCGAATCTTCGGACGAGCAAATACGCTCCGACCAGAACCAGAATGGTTTGACCGGAGCCAGGGCCCAAGTGCATGGCTTTCACGATATTCAAATAAATTAATAAAAAACTGGAAATTTAAAAATTAGCGGCAAAAATGAAACAACATTCAACATCAATACCTTTACTTCAAGAAAAACTAAGCAATGTAGTACCTACAGTAATAGAATATATTATGTACAATTTATAGCATTCATTCATTTGTAATACTTATGCACAATAATTTCTGTTATTCAATTTGATACATTGATTTTATGTTGGAACCACTAGATACTTACAAACGATTCACAATATAGATAATAATTGCGGGACCGGCAGTCCCGACAATAACAACAAAAATCAGTCACTAAATCATTTTATAAAATTAATACCTTTACAACCTTTGAAATATAATTGTTTTTCTTGGATGGCAACTGAGTCTCCAATTTAATGTTGTCGACTATACTGCCAGTGTCAAGTAGTGACGACAGATTATATGCCCATTTAAATTTAACTTTGTGGTAGTTTGTTGTTAGTAAACCTTTAAAATTTGTTATAAGGTTGAAAATATATTATATAATGGAACTTTTAAATAAGCACTGTCTATTGTTGTCATTGTCAGGGCTCCCAGCAGGTATTTATTAATTAACAGTTAAATCTTATCAGTTTACAGGACAACAGACATGGAAGGTAAAGCATTGATCATACTATGTAGTTTTCTTTTAAATACTTTAAATAGAATTAATTTATTTATTTATACACGGAGCTATGTTTTAAGAACATTGATAAATTACTTTGGATGTAAACATTTTTTTATTATTAAATGCTAATTTATAACAACCTTCATGTGTTATTAACCTATGTCTAACACATGAACAGTACCTATTTTATCTGTGGTCTAATGTGTTAATTTTTGAGTTGAATAAATTAGCTATGGCTAGTATGAATGATGACCACAGATTCACAATCATGGCCAGTAAGGTAGGGTAAGAATTTAGAGGAGGAATATAAAATGTTTTTGGAAACTCTTACTCAAAGAGCTTATATAAATAAATTATTAATGGAATGGAGTTATTCAACAGTAACATAACAACTTACACCTCCGCACTAGTAGCATAGATGATGATACCACTGTTTTAACCCAACTCTTACATACTAACTGAAGAACGATTGTTCATCCAGAACTGGTGACCAGATACAACAAGCGTGATGACATATAGCAGGGCGGCGATCCAGCAGTTGTAGGCATTCTGAAATAGTAAAGTAACCAATTGTGAATCTATTTTAATTTTATTAACAACTTTTGAATGCCAATCAAATAACTCACAAATGTGTGAATTATTCAGATGATGAATTCAAGAAAATTGGTTTATGTTGTAAATTCAGATAACTTGAAAGGTTATATTTTAATTTTTAACATCATGCCTCTTTTCCTGTTTCTTAGTTGGTTTACTGTGTATCTGAATACAAACTGAAACTGATAGACTGCATAATGTGGTTTTGTCTTACAAAGCTACTTGATCTTTTATCAGAGGCAACAACCAATAGAGACTTGAAGTCAACTAAGTAAATAAGAATGTGCACTGATATTTATCAATAATCTTGATACATTACTGTATAAAAGATAAAGGAATATTGAAGTGAAAATCGTATTTAAATATTAGACCTTGAACAGAATCAAATAGCTTTGTGAGACAAATCTGTAAGTAGGTAAGGACAAATACAAGTTTGACTAGTTGTTTATTGAAGATGATATGTACAAGGAAGAAATGATCCATGACCACTGAGTGCCATGTACACACAAACCCCTTTAATCAACTACGACCATTCTTATTAGGACTGATGACTAACCTGAGTGTATCCAGTCTCAACGTTAGTGATGAAACTGTCCATTGAGTGGTGGTGCTCATCAAGAGGGAGGTCTTCTAACAAAGCCACAGCTCTGATATAGTAGAAGACGCCCATCAAAGTCTGAAACATTCGTGAGCGTTAGTACTTACATCCTCAACAGAATCTTAGGTTTTGTCAAATAATAGAGTTCCACTCACCAATTGTATGATTCCCCAGACGCTCAATACGAGCCCGCATAGCGACAGCTTAGGACCACAGAATTTGCAGGCCATTTTATTGGTTTATTTATCAGAATTACGAGTATTACGACCACTGTAAAATAAAATGGTATCGACCACTAGCTGTCAGCTGGTGTCAAAAAATGAACACTCACATGATCTCTGCATTCTGTGATTTGTCTATGGATTCTAATTTATTGATATTTTCATTTTATTTTATTTTCATTACCAAAGTTATTTTCTACCTGTGTAGTTATTTTATCAGTATCTTTAATTAGAAGCTATTCTACTAATTCAATGTTGCAAAAGAACAAGTAACTAATTGCTTCAATACAAATTTGAACAGCGTAAAATGAAACGTTTTACACTATTGCCATTTTATGAGAAATCTACTCCTATAGTACTTTTTTAATAAATTTCGAAGCCCGTATAAAATATTTAAATATCGAATAGTAGCCTTATATCGATATTTTAACTGTAAATTAGACTGCCCAAAATACTTTTTAAGATATTGTTTTACTAAAAAGCATAAGTTGATATGTACTTTTCCAAATTTTTACTTGTTGATGTAAACGAAAGTTTGACGGACTGGCAGAATTATGTCCTTTGAAGCTGGCAATATATTCTATGAATGACACATTTTTCTCGGTCGTATCTACGAGAAAATAAATTTCAATAATGGTGGACCGTTTAGGTAGGAAAATAATGATTTAATTTCATGTAATAGCATTAAAGTACTTAGAATACCGTGGTGTATTTTGTGTGAGATCATCTGAAATAGTTACGTGGGATATCAGTGTCATTGTTTGCTTGTCGCTCACTTTCCTTTGACGTCAAACTTTTATACCGTAGTGCAATTTTTAAGTAGGTAATTTTCTTTTTTTCAGTGAACAGTGAGGCCAATGCTCGAAGGATTGCTATGGTTGAGAGCTGCTTCGGCAGTTCTGGACAGGTGAGCATGTGAAATTGCAAAATATAAGTTTTTACTAAGTTTAGAAGTTGTCGAATGCCGTCATATCATCAACCGACAAACTCGGCGAGATAAAATCTTTAGTACATCGTTCGTGTGGGATTGTTCTGACAGAAGATATCAAGTGTTTATCAGCATTGTTTTTCATCATTATACTGTTATGTGCAATGTTTCATGCTTTCTTGTATCTGAATATTATTTATGACATAGCCATGAAAGCACGATAGAATATAATTAAATTACTTAGATTAGGGATTGATTAGCCTACCCATTATCAGTTAGATTGCATGTTACTATTCCATGATTAAGACTGATGTAGTGAATCATATCAGAATCCTAAGCTGTTGGATGTTTTATCTTCATGTGTATATGTTGGATTTCCTCACCATAATAAACCATTTTTTTAATAAATGATATTGCTATAATTGATAGACAGGTTTTATCAACGTGAGTCTGGTGCATTCCAATTTAAAAAATCTTCAAACAATTCACTAAAGATACCAACTTATAAACTATCAGATTAATTCATTAGCAATATTGAAAGGTTTCTAACAGTAAATGTCAAGTTTTACATAATAAAGAAATCTTATAAGTCACTTATTAAGTAGCTTATTCAATGTAATTTGATCTTGTGTATTTTTTGATGTGATATCTACTAATACTTGAATTATGCATTTTATTTTACAAGTGTGCAAACAAGCTATTAATATTGATATCATAATAAAACTTTTTGGTATCCTTCATATAGCCAACACAAATATATCCTGTGCAAATAAATTAATATATTTAATATTTTTTATAGCCTCTGGCAGAACAAGGCAGGGTCCTTGTGGGAGAGGGTGTCCTGACAAAAATGTGCCGCAAAAAACCAAAAGCCAGACAGTTCTTTTTGTTCAACGACATACTTGTTTATGGGAATATAGTTATAAACAAGAAGAAATATAACAAACAACATGTTATACCTCTTGAGGAGGTCAAGCTGGAGTCACTGAAGGATGATGGACGTAAGTTTTATTTTCTTATTTAACAGAAATTTAAGTGGCAAATATTTCACGAGTTTCAATACCAATTATGTTCTATAATCAAACTTATCTGTAACATGGCGGTTATCTAGAAATTTCAACCCCTAACTAATGCCAGTACTTGTTAAATTGTTTCGGTTCTTTGCCCTCTAAAAGCAACTGATTTAAGCTCTTATGATAATTTTATTTATATCACAGAGGTCAATTCTATAATGTAAACAAAAAATATTTTTAGGTTGTACTACTGTAAAACTGTATAAAATGCAGATTTGTTTATATTACAGTAGACCAAAATAATTTCTCTTTTTATCCAACTACACTAGAGCAAAGCAATATTGAGGGTTACAGGCTAAGATATGTAAAGATCATTAAGATTCAGATTATTTGAAAGTCTTCTTGTTTAATACCAATACTATTTTTTTTACAATTTTATTATTCTTTGAAACCTACTATTCAATACCAAAATATTTACTTTATATTATATTACTGTATAGTTAGGTGACAAATGCCAAATAATTAAAAATAAAAAGTGCTTTATAGATTATTTTATTGGTCAGCTGAGTCATTAGTGTGAATGGCCAGTGAATCATCAACATATTATATGCTGCTACTAGATATATGTTGACATTGATCTTGGAAAGCTTGTGTGACTCAATGCTGCATATATTATTATTATATTTTTAGATTAATCTGTTGCCCCACACTATGGTTTCCTCCTGTGTAGTGGGTGCGTTTACAAACATATAATTTCACATAATGCATCATACCCAGACCCGGAACAACAATTTGTGGATATACAAAGAATTGTTCCGTGAATCGAATCCATGACACGTTGTGCGACAGCCAGTTGCCCAGCCACTGCGCCAATCATGCAGTGTAAATTAATTTGTAGCTGAAAATTAGGCTAAAATCTTATAATCTACATAAGTATTGATATCTTAATCATTAAATAATGAAAATGACCTTGTTGTTTTTGAACTTGTAATATTATAAAATTTGTATAAGATATAATAAGCATCACTACAAAGCATAAAATAAACTCGTTTTCTCTGCCCATATATATCCCTATGTAATCTTAAATCTTTTAAACTACTCAACAGATTTTGATTTCGTTTTAATAGGTTGATTGATTGAAAGGGAAGTTTTGTATGTATAATAACATCCAATAAATAGTGAAGAAATTTTGCATTGCACCCGTGTGAAGCCGGGGAGGATAATGAAATAAGAGAGTGTCTCAAAAAATATTTTGTTTGGCTATTCCTATCCAGCAGATTTGCATGGAAACACATTAATACAAGCTTGTCTGAATGCTAAAATGTCTAAAAGTGTTGTAAATTCAATACCCACGCAGAAAATAATACGAATGTATACTTAAATCTAGGTGTGACGTAAACACATAATCTGTGTTTCTAAGGACCTCTTTCATAATGTCTGGATAGCCACCAGATAAATATTTTACAAGCTAAGCTGAGGATAGCTTTTTTGGGACTGTTCGACATCGTTTGTCGGCAATCATATTACCTTATTATTGGTAAGCAATCGCCGCCATCCATGGACACCCGCAACACCAAAGGAATTACGAATGCGTTGCCGTCCGTTTGGGGATAAAGGTAGGATATTTAGGGATTGGAAGGGATGGGGGAGGGGGAGGGATTGGGCCTCTAATAACCTCAATCACAGGTAATGTTTAATATTGTTACAGAACTTCGCAACGGTTGGTTAATCCGCACCGCGTCAAAATCCTTCGCTGTATACGCCGCGACAGCCACCGAGAAAGAAGAATGGATGGCCCACATAGAAAAATGTATAGAAGATTTGCTAAGAAAAAGTATGTATTCATGATTACGCTATTCATTCGCAAAACTCGCGTTTCCAATTGATATGAGGGAATCTATGGGATTAAAAATTGATCCTCTACAATTCGTGATCCATTTTTAAATGTAATAGGTCGGCAAACAAGCATACGGATTACCTAGTGGTTAGCTATTATCGCCGCCCATGAACACCAGCAACAACGGGGTAGTTACGAGCGCGTTGCTGACCTTTTGGGGATTAGGGATTTGGAGATTTTGGGATTGGGGTCATCTCAGATTTTTGTAATGACATTTTTGAAATGATTTTCTACTTACAAAACTCAGTATAAATACTTTGAAATTTGAATAGCGTTACATTTTTTACCGTGAACCTTGTCTCTTCCAGGTGGCAAGCAGCCTCCGTCGGAGCATGCAGCTGTATGGGTGCCCGATAATGAGGCTTCTATCTGCATGCACTGCAAGAAGACACAGTTCACTGTACTCAACAGGAGGGTACGATTCAAACCATACTTTAAATATTTCTTACAGTTAGTTGAAATATCAAAAACGTCGTGGTGGCCCGGTGCATAAAGCGCGCGCTTCTCATACATGGAATATTGCTCAGCAGTAGGTACTTATAGGCTGATGATGAAGCTGGAATAGTTTTGTAATTAAAAAGGAGCTAGGGAATTTGTTTGTGTTCTTTTTCATGCTTAAATTATCATTTTTAAAACCAATATTTTGCTTTTAATCAAAGACAGTTAGTTATCTTTCTATGTACCTCTTACTATTTTAGTTTTGTATAAATCAACACCCATTTTCTAGTAATCGAACTTATATTAGTATTGATGGGCGTTTGTTTAATATTTACCTACGATTTTAATTAAATTTGATATAGAGTTATATTATAGAATATATAGGTTGTAATACCTATATATTCTATAATATATTTTCCCACTAACCGTGTCTAGTAATTTAATTAACGCCTCTAGTAATTTCACACTTTTCCTTCCTACGGCGAAACTAAACTAGTATTTGTAAACTGTAAGTATCCAGTTGTTAGAGGATGTTTGGTTGCAGCACCACTGCCGTAAGTGTGGGTCGGTGGTGTGTGGGCCGTGCTCGTCGAAGCGGTACATCCTGCGCGGCCAGAGCGACAAGCCGCTGCGGGTGTGCCTCCAGTGCTACGACGAACTCAACCGGGAGCGAGCCCGCCCCCCCACGCAACCACAACCCGCTAATATCACGCCCGGTTAGTAAACATTTACGTTATTTATTGTCTCTCTCGAAAATCCGGAACGCAGGTCTACGCGAGACACAATGTGTTTTCTATTGTGTATACCTGCAGACGAGAGGTTAAACGTCATGGTGGTTAAGGCTCCTCAATCCTTGCTAGTGCCAATGTGACTTTTCCAAGTCATATGTACTTTCTATGATTATTTAGACACCACTGACGTACGGTGAAGGTAAACATCGTGAGGAAACCTCGACTCATATTTCTAATTATAAGTTTGAAATCGCCAACCCGCATTGAGCAAGCGTGGTGATTAATGCTCTAACCTTCTCCGTATGAGAAGAGGCCTTTGATAAGCAGTGGGCACTTATAGACTGATGATGATGATGATGATTAAATCTTCTTCATGAGAGAAGAGCCTCATGCTCACTTACAGGCTGATGATGTGATGTGTAATGTCCATTATACAGATACGAGTCTAAGTATCCCCTATATTCTTTGTAAGCATGGAAAACCATGAGAAAACTCCTCCCTGCAAAAGGAGAAGGAATTTTCTTACTAACTAAAATCCACATCGTTCTTACTCAGTCCCGTGGCTACACTACCTATTGGCAATTTAACCACACCCACTGTGTAGTGGGCCACTTTGTACCAAATAAATTTGACCAATAAACATAATTTGTAGAAATTGTTCGCTCCGGCTTCACACAGGTGCAATGCTTATCCTTATAACTTTTCCGCTATTTAATGAATGTTATTATACCTACAAACTTTCTATCTATTAAAAAAATCGCGTCAGAACCCTTTGTGTAGTTTTAAAGATTTAAGCGTACATAGGGATGTATGAACAAATAGGTGACTTTATTTTATAATATGTAGTGATAGAAAGTGATGAAAAAGGCTCTTGGTCTCTCAGATTTTGGCTAGAAGACCTACTTTTTCGTTACACTGTTTCTCTTGATTGATTTTAAACCTCATTTCATGTAGTATGATAAAAGTCTGTGCAGGCAGTGAATAAATAAAAAAAAGGTTGTTTATTGATTTTTCATTTATCTAAATATTTATTTATACAATAAAGATAAAGGAAGAAAGTCGATAAAAGTCAACACGATAAGAAAAAGATAGTCCTTCCATAAGAAAATTTAGCCAAATGTCACCTTTTTGATACATACAATATACATTATACAAGCTTACAGAATTAAGTGCATTGTTTACTACAAAATGACTCATAATCATAACGTTACTGACATATAGTGGTCAAATAAATTATCTTCCCTTTCCGTCCATTATAAACATACAACATAATATTATTAATAAAGTTTTATTTCAGTTCTTACTAAAATATATTCCTAACCGTCCAACTAACACCGTTATCACCAACACTAACTTAATTTAAAGGTTTATTTACTCTCATATAACTGTCGATTAGATAAACCCGTAGATAACTTATCTGCACCGTATTTTTAATCGAAATTTGTCGCCATTATAATCTGAATCAACAAATGTAGCTACGAAGATACATATTATTTCCTGATCAATAAATTCTTGTTGGTTGAAAAACTGCTTTAACTGATAAACTTAGTTCTTGATATATCTTTACTTCTATACTAATATTATAAGGAGGTAAAATTTGTAAGTAAGTAACTTTGTACGTAGGAATACCTCCTACGTACAAAGTTACTTACTTACAAATTTAGTAGTAGTGTGATGTTTTATATATAGCCTATAGCACTCCGGAATATTGTAGCTATCTATCAGTAAAAGAATTTCTGAAATCCGACCATCGGTTCCAAAGATTACCCCCTACATACAAACTAACAAATTTTACCTCTTTATAATATTAGTATAGAGTATTAGTAGATATAGACATAAAAACCTTCCCCTTTTTGAAGGGAACTTGATATCATCCTTCCGATACCCTAGGCATGCATATAGATTGAAAATTGGACATTTAGACGTTATTATGTGCAGTTTAATACAAATAGATTTAATTTATAGAATCAGGCGTTACTTTGCGGAAATCCATGACATTAAATGTTAGGGAAAATATTTAGTTTTAATTCCGCGACAAAAATCCAGGCTTGTTGCAGGATGCAATCCCACTCCTATGCAATCATGCATATGCCCTTGCTGCATGTGCATATGCATGATTGCATAGGAGTGGGATTGCATCCTGCAACAAGCCTGGATTTTTGTCGCGGAATTAAAACTAAATATTTTCCCTAACATTTAACAAATAGATTTGACATATAGAACAAAAAAGCACAGAATCAATATAAAGAAACTAACACCACCCTGATGACAATAATATGATGTTATAAAACCTAATTTAGTTTAGAAGCAATGTTTATTTATCCAACAGTCATCCTTATCTACCCTAGCCCTTCTAAACACGTGTGTGTGCACTGTGCTATTTCAATTGCAGATTTAATAAAGAAGCGATGAAATTTCGACACGATCCGACAATATTTTGAATAAACGTGGACTCTGGTGTGGATACTCGAACGAAATACGATTTAAATTTAGGGCTGATTTTTCAATGGGCAGATAATAAATATTATCCGAGGAATAAAATTGTTGCTGTCACTGTCTTATACAAACATTCTGACGCGACAGCATCAGAATTATTCCCCAGATAACATTTATCTGACTACTGAAAAATCAGCTCTTAGAGTAATAATTAATATTGAAACAAATAAACACGTGTGCGTTTGTCAAGACTGTCAGAACTAGACAAAACAAAAAATAAAAAAAAACTTGCTTTCATTGTCCCTATATCCCTATAAAGATTTGAAACTACGCAACGGATTTTGATGCGGGTTTTTTTTTCAATAGATAGAATGATTGAAGGAAAAGATTTGTATGTATGATAAATAACATTCCACACCCGTGCGACGCCGTGGCTGTTCGCTAGTTTACTTATTCTTTGGAAATAACGAGGTCTCCCTGTATTCGCTCATATCCAAGGGCAGGTACACCTTTTGGAAACGAACGTTGCTAGTTTGTTGTGTTACAAGCTTGGGTTTCTTTTTTCGTTTATTTTAGAATTGAATTAATAGATGGTAATGTATAATGTATCTTGCACGGTAAGGATAGCAATCCACGAAATTAATATAATACTGGATTCAGCACGTGTATAAAAGTACTGCATCTCAGGATTTTCAAAATAGTAGCGTTTAAAGCGAAAACCCGACAGAATTTCTCAAATCAATTATAAGCGAGGGCGGGGCAAGACTAGTCCTACGCCAATATAACGCGCGCAACCCCCTATCTAGGTCGAAGCTGTCAGAGAGAAAAAACTGTTTCGCGCGCTTTTGTACCGTAAAGCAAATTATATATATGTCTATTTATTAATTTTATGGTGTTTTTGTGTTAAAACTATTTATCAGTGAAAGAATTTTCGATCGAATCCGACCGGAAAGAAAGAAAGAAAGAAAGAAAGAAAGAAAGAAAATATTTATTTGTGAGAATGTAGTACAAATATAGGTGTTTGTGTTATGTGTATGGAATCTCACACATTCTACCGAATTGGTGTACAAATTATTTCGCTTAATATCTAGTTATAACTATGAACTACTTATTCTAAGTCTATGATAGGTCATCTAAATAATCTTTAGTGGAATAATAACATTTATTTAGCAAAATCTCAAACAATTTTCTTTTAAAAGACATTAGGTTAAGATTTTTTAGGTCATTTGGAAGTTTATTGTAAATTTTGATAGCCATGCAATATGAGTTTCTGCTATATAATGTTGTGCGTTGGCTCGGTACAAATAATTTATTAGGGTATCTACTATTTCTACTAGTAACACATTTTTTCTTAATAAAGAGATCCGGGTTTTTGTATACAAAAATAGAAATTTCGTAAATATACAAACAGGGCAAAGGCAGGATACAATATTTTTTAAATAAAGGTAAGCAGCTGTCTAAGTAGTCTGCACCACATAATGCACGTAGACATCTTTTTTGTGCTCTAAATGCTCGGATTAGATCCACAGAGTTCCCCCATATTACCACTCCGTAGCGTAAAACTGAGGATACATAGCCGTGGTACGCACATAGTGTAGCATTGGGAGTCGCTACTTGTCTAAGTCTGTTCAAAACATAAACGTAACTATCCAGTCTAGAACAAATCTTATCTATATGTAGTTTCCAACTGCAGTGTTTGTCAATAGTTAGACCGAGGAATTTAGTTGAATCTACTTTTTCTATGGCTTTGCCTTTTTGAGTGATATTAAGAGAAATTTGGGTGCTGTTATGTGTTTGGAATTGAATTATATTTGTTTTATTTACATTTAAGTTTAAGTTGTTATTATTTAGCCATGTAGTTACGTTATCTATAGTGTTATTAATTTCTGTTTCGTACGTATTTTTGTTGTGAGAGTGTATCAGTAATGTGGTGTCATCCGCATATAAGATGCATTTGTAATTAGTTGAATCTGGTAAGTCGTTAATATAGACTAAGAACAATAGCGACCCGAGAATACTACCTTGAGGTACGCCGTGTAAATTTAAGATGTAATCAGAACGGTAAGATGATTTGTGGTAACCGGATACACTTGGAATTTCAACACACTGGTAGCGATCAGAGAGGTAACTCTCTATCCAGTTGAGGGCATTGCCTCTTATGCCGTATCTATCCAGCTTATTTAAGAGTATCCTGTGTGATACAAAGTCAAATGCTTTGGACATATCTAGAAAAATTGCAGCAATTGGATTTTTTTTATCTAGATACTCCGTTATTATTTTTATAAGATTGAAGCAGGCTAAAGTAGTAGAATAGTTTTTTCTGAAACCAAATTGTTCTGGTTTCAGTATATTATGTTTCAAAAAGAAGCTATATAAAATACTGTGAAACGATTTTTCTAATATTTTTGATATAATGGGAATTAAAGTTATTGGGCGGTAGTTGCCCATTTCGGTTCTTACGCCCTTTTTGAAAATAGGTTTTACTATAGAATATTTTAATCGTGATGGAAATTTACCATTAAAGTAGGATAAATTTATTATGTTGCTTATTGGACCTGATAAGCTTTTTGCACACTTTTTTATTATTTTAGTGTCAATGTTATCGTACCCCGTAGAGTTGGTGTTTTTGAGTGAATTTATAATTTTACGTACCTCTAGATCGTCAACTGGCTTTAGGAAAATAGTGTTTGGATTATTCGGTATATTTTTGAGAAATTTGTTATTAATGGCAGTAGTATTGGGACGTTTTGTTAAATTAATGAAGTAGTTGTTAAAACCGTTAGCTATATCTTCAGGTTTATACCAATCTATATTGTTATTTTTTATGTGTTTTATATCTGTAGTATTAGTATCACTATTAGAATTGGTTTTTATTATTTTCCAAGCCGCTCTACAAGTATTGTTAGATTTAAGTATGTATTTAGTATTTTGTATTTTATGAGCTTTAAGAGCGCATTTTTTTAAAGTTGTTTTATAGACATTGTACTGCTTGAGATGAGAATGTTTGTTTTCTGATGAATTAAGATATTTTAAATAGAGCATTCTTTTAGTTTGACACGATTTTCTTAGACCCTTAGTCATCCATTTATTTTTTATGGGTTTATTGACTATTTTGACATTTACAATAGGGAAACATAGGTTGTAGAACAGTGTTATATTATCATGTAGAAGATTGAATGCTTCATCCACATCCATACACTCATGAACATCGTTGAATGATAGGGCTTCCATGCAAGATATAAATTTTTTTGTGTTATCTTTGCTAAAGCTCTGGAATAAACACAAACTTACAAAATTTTACCGCTTTACAATATTAGTATAGATTTAGTCATAATAAACAATTCTACCATATTCCCCTATTACAATGTTTAGGGAAAACCCTATTTTAAATGTTTTATCCGCCTTTCCTGTTTTTGCGACGATATTACTAGGTTCAACGACAGACGTAACTGACGATTATTGTTACTTGATAAATTCATTTGTGTGTGTCACCTTTGTTATTAAACATACTTTCAATTTGGTTATGGCATCCATATTGTAAAACTAGAAAAAAGAGATTTCGAAAACTGATAGGCTGTTTGACCAATGATAGGAAAATAAAAAGGAAATAATAGCTATATCATAAATTCGTAACTTAAAGCTAAACAATACATATTCAGTTTATTTTTTATATCAAAAACAAATATTTAGCGCTATTTTATAAAAGTACGTTTTATTATATTTTAAGTTTGGTTAAAAAAAAACATTATTACGTCACACCGATGTACTTACGTGACGTCACAATATGCATATAATTACCGAGACTTAACCCATTATCAGATTTTCGACTATAACAGAAAATGAAAATTTATTAAAAACACTACAACACGTTTTAAGTGTAGGAGCGCCATCGGCGGCGCTGTTGACTAAAAGTTAATAAAAAATTTGTATGTTTTTCAGTAAAAGACACGGCTGGCTCTGGTGGAGATTCTTCAGCTGATGAGGACAGTGATGACGATGATGACCGCGTCACTGCCGAGGAGAAACATGATGAGGTGAGTTTGAGAAAGTCAGAGTGAGAATGAGAGTAGTGGGGCAATAATGTAAGGTATACAGATACGTTTCAAAATTTATGGCCAATATAGATTATCTTTTAAGTTGCCTACATTCATCTTGGGTGCATTTACAAATATACAAATTCATATGAGTGTATATGGCTACTTGTGTGTGGATTACACAGAGTTCTCTTCACAAGTTCCGCAGCAGCTCATTCCCAGTGCTTCAACCATTCAAGTTACCTCTATTACCTTAAAAAGGAATCTCCGTTATATGTATTCGTGACCATCCAAATTAACAACTATGTTCTTGTTATTATGACGTCACCATACTAGATTTTATCATATATGAAATGATCTACATCGAAAAACAAAGTGGCCATAAATTTTGAAAGTATCTATACTATTTTTTTTTCAATTCGGTATTGCCTAATGCAGGCACTAGGTATTTCAGTATTGTAGCTCTCTACGGACCTTTGGGGTTGCCTTCTGCACTGCAGCCTTGTTTCATTTTAGTATGTTTATTTATGCTATTATATTTATGGGATAGTTACTTAATATCTGAAAATGTTTTATGGGAGTTTAATTAACACGTAGCTATTAGCATTTTATGTATTTCTTAGAAGATTTAAAACATGAAAAGTTGGAAAATACACTGTAAAATAAATCTTGGCTTACAAGATTTTCAGATGTGCTCTCTGTAATCAAAGAATTATCCTGGTATTTTGGACGTTGGTGGGGGACTAGTGGTCACAAGCGTGACACGTAGTCTAAATAAAGTATTTCTATAAAAAAAAATGTATTTCCTAATGGGAGTAACTGTTGAAAAATGAGTGTCAACTCTACCTCTTCAGACAAAAGGACACAGTACCAACAGTATGTTATTTATTTCTAGGGTTTTACAAGTTATAACGGTGTCAAAAATGGATATGGAAATAGAGTCACCACAGTATAGTACAGAATGAGATTGTGTAAGTGTAGCGACCTTCTTTAGGCGTTTATTCATGCTTCACAACTGGCCGAAATTTGTAATCGACCTTTGTCCAAAATCTTTTGGAATAATCTGGGTTTTTGACAGAAAACTAGGGTCTAGTTAAGGGAAGTAGGGCCATTCCAATTAGGTAGTGATACAAGGGCCTTACACAATCCCGACGCTTGTTTCGATTTTTGAGTGTAATTATCACAGACCCAATCCTTTACCGCGCCCCATCTCCAAACCCCAAATCCAAATAGATCAAATTCCTAGCACCCCACAAAGGCCGGCAACGTACTTTTAACTACTATGGGCTGATTTTTTATTGATATCAGGTGATATATCTGCTCATTTGTCGCCGGGCTTTACGAACCATCCATTAATTAATTTACTCGAGCAATTAATGTCAGTTTTGCTGTGTCCTCCTAAAATATTTATCAAATTAAATATTTGTCGTTTGTCCAAATTGTTTTTACCCGACGGCAGAGCAAAAGGAGGGTTATGATGTCTAATGAGGTGAAGCCTTGTGGCATACAGACAGACAAAGGAGACATATTATTTTTCCCATTTCCAATGGTAATAGGACTTATGCCAAAAACCCATATCAATCCAAAAAATTGGGTCGGTTATTAATTTCGGCTTTTAATGGTTGAGTTTGTTGTGTTCTCACGTTCACACTTACGTATTCGTCCCTCATTGGAAATAGCTAGTTACTATCATCGCAGCAATGTATAAGTACTGTGATTTTTGAGAAAATATGTTAAAATAGGCATTTGTTTGATCAATTTTATCTTTTATTTCGTTACGATATTTGTCTATATACTCACTTAGAACAGTTATTTCTAAATTGATCAAGCAAATGCGAAATAAAAAAAAGAAACACATAGATACAAAAATCAACATATTTAAAACTAAAATGCATTTCTGTCACACTAAAACTTACCTTATTGTTATATGCATAAATTCTATTTTGCACTGTGCATTCTATTCGTTCATTTATTTTTGTCCTGTGTGGTTCTTCATTTGTTTGAGTTTGGGTTTACTTCATGTCAATAGATTTTTTTTCACTAATTCGTTTGTCGTGTTGGTTTTTTTACTCATCCATAGTGTTTGTTATCAATTTTTAAGCTAAAAGCAGTATTTTTCCATGTTATTTTGAGGTAATATTTGATCTTTACAGCACTGGCACATTATAATAATAATTATTGAACTGTCATTGTTAAACAATTCCGTCATATTGCAACCACGAATTAATTGAGTCACATTTTTTTCTATAAGGCACACATTTATTTCGATATTGCCTTATGTAATACATGTACATATGTGCAATACAGAATTTGTTTAAAGAAAGAATTTTCGCTCGATATTTAAGGAAACACTGAGCCTAATTTTGCTGTAATATAATTCAAAAAATATTTCAGAACATTTTGCTGTAGCGATAGCAAGGTCAGAATAAAAAAAATACCATTAGACCCAAGCTATAAAGTTTGTATTAACATCAAATATTTTCCTTGTCTTTGATATTTGGTCCTTTGTTATTGCGTGTAATCAAATTAATAATTTCTAATTACTTTTATACAAAAAAAGACATATTACCTACTGAGCAGAAGTTTGCTAGCTAAAAGCATCGCTAGCTTTTTTTTACCTCAAATTAAAGTCCAAGTAATCATAATTTACTTTACGATTTACATATTCAACAACATAGTTAGTTATAGTATAGAATAGTTGACGTATTTGCTCCATTCAAACAAAGTACACACCCGCTTAGAATATAAATTAATTATTATTCTTTTATAATTTCCAGCCAAAGTTCTACGGTGACAGTGATAAGACTGAAGAGACCAACAATCATTCGTCCAAGGATTCCGCTAAGTGAAAATCTTGTTCAAGAGACCATTCTCCGTCACAGGTTTAACCTAAACAATAATATCAAATAATAACAAGCAATTTTATAATATAAATACTTCATCTATCGAAACAGAAACCCCCCGCAATACAAAAATAAACTCTATTTCTAAGGTTTTACGGCTCAATGTAGGTCCTAATCTATAAAACTCCCTACGTCTAATTCAAAAGACTGTACTTTGTACATTCGGTTTCTTACTAACGTCCTTCAAATCACTTTGAACGGGATCAATTTATTAGACTTGTGAGTACTGTACCTGTGATCTATATAGAATTTCTTCCCAAGTTTAATCAGGCAGACTAATAAACTTACTTCATAAAGTAGGTTAATGTTAAAAAAGGTAAAAACCCAGTTGCCTTATTGCCACTAGGGATTAAACACTACCGATTATTTCAATAAACTTTTTCCATGAAAACAGTATTAAACTGTGTAAAATAAATATTAAAATTAGAATTCGTAAATAGTGTAAAAATTCGCAAAACAATCGTGTGGCGCGATGTTAATCCAATATTTGTTTGGACGGTCTCCGATTTTACCACAATGGCCTTTGAATTTTTTACCTTAGGAAGAATTTGCTAGAAAAAATCCTGTATCATGGATTCTTTAGAGGAATGTTAACTTTTATACAGCATACCTGACTGTGGTCAATGATTTTAAGAACGAATATAATTACTAGATGTTTCGCTGGACTTGAACAGCTTTAAACCGCTCAAAAGTGAACTGAGGTGGAGTTTTTTTGTTTAGCATAAAATCATATTTATTATTTGATAGTAAGATATCATGGTTATAAGACGTTTTTAACAATATTTAGGCTTAGTCATGTTATGTCAACATATTAATATTTACATACGTTATGTTAAGGTTATTTTATTGTAAACTTTATTACGGTCATATTACGTTTGCTTTTTCATTGTAGCTATTTCTGTGTAGTGAAGAAAGCAAGTTGGAATGAGTTTCTATGAGTTCTTAAAGAGCTCTGGTGCTTGTTTTTTTAATCTCTTTAGAGGTTATGTCAATTTATTAACGTTTTGATAACTACATTCTCTCCTGAGATGAATATAAAAAACAACTTTCTCGCAGTATTTTAAATCAAGACTCCATGCCAATTTTTCAATACTGTATCCCTTATGGAACCTAAAAAACATTACACTCAATGTTTTAGAAATTGTGGACATCATTTTGAGATAAATGCAAATAATTTTTTTTTAAATTATGTACGCTGGATTACGTAGCTTTTATGATGGAAGGCATGGTTTAATGCCTTTTGAGTGTTCCTTCCATGGTTTTATAAAAGAGACTTGCTTTCTTATCAACTACTTACCTGCGGTGAAATATTGAAAGAATTGAAAAGATTGGGATACCTAACCGCATCTTGGAAATGTATTATGGTACAAATATTTTTGCATTTTGTCCAGCATAAGTCCTTACATCTACATTTCTTAAAGGTCTACAGTTTTTATGAGATATAAATTAAAGGCCTATAGAATATATACTAAAAGGGAATTTGGGGAAATAACATTTTTATATAATGTATTCGTTGTTTATTTAAAATTGTTTAGCTTACGCTTGTTCTTCTATTCAAGTTATTGTACGTGTCCGTACAGGTGAAAAAGACAAAATTGTACTCGAAATCAATTAAGCGAACTGTGTGATGTCTATCATAAATTCTTAAAGGATTCGCCGCTGATTGGGATTTTTTGTCACTAAGTACCTAATAAAGATATAGGAAAGTACGTGAAAATACGGTGATTAATATATTTATGTATTGATTTTTAAAATCGTTGCCCCACACTAGGATTTTCTCCTGTGTAGTGGGTGCGTTTACAAACATACAATTTCACAAACACACCATACAATTTGTGGATAATAAAAAAGTTGTTCACCAAAAAGTTGCCCAGCCACCACTCCAAACATGCAGTCTGAATGCATCATCACTGTATAGTACTATGGAAGTCTGCTCACTAGAGCCTTTTTTTTCTTCTGCTTATTTAATTTTGAATCCATAACACAAATAAGTGCGATTTGTCACTTGAGAACAGTTTCAGCGAGCGCACCGTAGCTGACAGTAACATATTAAGTCACAATCAGCGGCGGGCCTGTTTACTGTGACATTTTGAAGTCGCATCACATTTCATTAAAATGTATACAATCCAAACTAATTATAGATTTGTATGTATATTAGAGTTCTAGTTAATAAGAGGTGCATTAAGTTTGTTTCAGTTCGAAACACGGTTTTTTATGTTTAGGTATTTAACACGAAGCTTGCAACACCATCTATAATGTAAGTAATTCGTAAAGAAATTATTTATTAATTTAATATAGGCCTAAATGTTAAACGATTTACACAAGTTGTGTTAATTCCCGTAATACTAGTAAGTGAAAATTATGTTAATAAGATATTGTTTAATTTTCAGTTGACAAATATAATATTTTTTAAAATTATTGGTTTTTATTTTGTATCGCACTAAATATCCCAACCCTATACACAATATACAACCCTACCCCTCAACCACCAAACCCAATATACAACCCTATATAACGACGCTGGAACCAGAGTGATCTAGGGCACAATAGTATATTTCTGAGAAAATGAAGGAAATGCGTTACGCGTTATTATTTGAAATCTATGAGCTTTTTATTATTATTTATTAGTTATATGTACTCCATTTAAGTTTTAAATAATAAAATAACAATTTTTATCAGCATGAGTTATATATTAAAACTAACAACCTAAAGTTTTACAAAAAATAAAAACACTTAGATCACTATGGCAGTTCACAAATTTGAAAAAATGTGATAGTAGTGGGGATAGGGATATAGAAGTGTAAATTAAACTCGGTTGTAAATACTTTGACGTAGGCACTCTTTTTTAAGATTGGTTTTCCTTCTAACTCGCATTTTACTTTAAAAAGTTCATACATTTTGTTCATTGAAAGATCCGGGCGCAAATATTTTCGTGCTGATCGTCTTTCTAAAGTCTTAATGACGCTGCACAACCATGTTGTTTGAGCATCCCATGAGGTGAGCTGATAAAACATTACGTGTATTGCTTCTTGATTTTCACGTGGAACCTGTTCACTGCATTTAAACCTACAGTTGCATACAACTGGTGTAAATACTTTAGCCAGGACAATATTACCACGTACGTTGCGATATTCTTGGCCTGCAGTTCTTTTTCGCTTCCTTATATTCTTGGCCCATTTGTCGAAATTTCGAACTCTTTTTCTTCCTCTGACAGGCTCATCGGAATCTGGATGATTTATTTCCCCCAAGTTACCTATAGGACCCTCTGGATATCTTATTACTTCATTATCTGTAAAGAACAGCATAAGCTTTTTATTATAACTTTCGTGAGTCATTCTAAATTATGTATTATGTTTTCGGAGGTTTTCGGCTTACTCACGTAGGGTGAAGTCCACGTATAAGACATCTGAACATCAATGCTTACAGAGCATATAGCTATTAATAAGGGCCATAGACGAATGGGACAGGCTGTTATTGCAGCGGTAAGACCCCTCTTTGAGGAGTGGCTTACCGCCTGATGCAGGTGCTTACCGGGCACGGCAGCTTCGGTAGGTTCCTGTTTCGGATCCAGCGGGAGGAAACGCCCGAGTGTCGTCATTGTGAGGAGCACCCAGAACACACGGTGTGCCCTGCTTGGACTGAGCACCGCCGTGTCCTCGGGGAAGTGACCGGCGGCGGCGACCTCTCGCGCCCGGCCCTAGTCGAGGCCATGGTGCGTAGCGAGAGGAACTGGGAAGCCGCCTCCTCTTTCTGCGAAGCAGTGATGCTCGGAAAGGAGGTGGAACGATCCCCGGCCACCGTAAGCGCGCGGGTCTGCGGACGGCGAGTAAGGGTAGCTCGCCGCCCCACCAGGTCCAGACCCGAGCGTACGGCGCGTAGCGTTCCGCGTGCCTCAACGAGCCAGTACATCACCACAGACGGGGCCCTATAGGGCTGGTGTTCAGCCGGGGTTGCGGGTTAAGCGCAGTGAGTCACCAAGGCCTTGGCCCAGAGCAGGAGAAGGAACAGGGGGCTTTTAGTCAGTGAGAGTCTGGCACTCTCTCGCCTCACCCAGGAGCCGAGAGCATTTATTCGACGATTTTTCCCCTCATATTCATCGTCAGCCTACAAGTGCCCACTGCTGAGCAAAGGCCTCTTCTCATACGGAGAAGGTTAGAGCATTAATCACCACGCTTGCTCAATGCGGGTTGGGGATTTCAAACTTATAATTAGGAATTATAAGTCCAGGTTTCCTCACGATGTTTACCTTCACCGTTTGTCAGTGGTGTCTACATAATCATAGAAAGTACATATAACTCGGAAAAAGTCACATTGGTACTTGCCAGGTCTCGAACCCACATCCTCATGCATGAGAAGTGGGCTCCTTAACCTCCGGGCCACCACGACATAAAAAGACCCAAATAACAAAAAATATCTTAGAAATAGAAGACTTATTTGCTAAACTTGGTTTAGATTTCCGTAATGTGTAGTTGGAGATGCATTTTCTACATTTAGCATTTCCTACCAACGCAGTGTACCTATGTACGTTGCCTAGACACCGCGCCAACTGTGCAGTCAATCGTTTTTTTGTGCTAGAGGTAGTATTTGAAAATACTCATATGGAAGCAAAATATATTTCTTTTTGGTAACTTTGGTTTTTACTTCTGCGCTCTACATCTCTGTAACCGCTGTCTGATAATTTGGAAAGGATAACGAAACAATAACACCACTTTGTCCGACAAACATTTATTTTCCAAAAAAGACATACAATACGTATCTCGCTTACAGCAGTCATTTTTCCTATCCTCATACATTTCATCACAGTTCAATCCAGTTCAATCATTGTTGAAATTTTCAAGTCTTTTTTTTTATCTTTTCGTTACACTTACTTATACTAGTCACGACATAATTATATTAATGACTGATTTTAATAATTGAAAAGAGAAATTACAGAATAGAATCGGATACATCGTAAACTATTAATGTTTCCTGATTTGACACACTACTGATTAATTATTACGAAGAAAAAATACAGTTACAATTTTTAAGACGACAAAAATTGATAAAATTTCAACTACAGATTACACTTTTCTATTGAAGCTACTTTGATTAATTGTTACACATAATTATAATGAAACATCGAACATGTGATACGGGCGTAATCCATAAAACATTGAGCAATCTGCGATTGATTAAATAGACACCTATATCTTATTGCCGCCTATCCAATGGGATAAAGGCGAGCATATTGTATACATATATAAATCTTACTATAACCTAAATACGTCACCGCCTCCCCCCACCTTCTCTTTCCAGGTGTTCTAAACGTCTGCCAAGGGACGCATGAATGCAGCAGCGTTTTTTAATGAACCTGATCGTTTTAAACTCCGATTGCAATCCTCTTGGTAATCTTGGTGCACTATCGCAAACATGGACCATCAATTACTGACTAATAATAATAATGATTATTATTATTACTGCTATTTAGTTGGCGGTATTAGCAGCCAATTCAAACCATTGACGAAGAGCGTCGCCCAGTACTGTGGGTAGGGCTGACATGTCCCGTAGTATCAAATAGAATGGGAACGGGAATGTGTCTAAGTATGAGACGAAGCCGGTGAGAGCGTTTGTTGTAGGGTCAATTAGCGGCCGCCTGATGTCCATGATCGAGTCCTGAAAAGAAATAAACTAGTTACAACAAAATGTTTATATATTCATTGCTTTTCTATAAGACATTATTAATTTTGCTATAAACTTTATATGAATGTTATAAAGCATGTTCAAAAGATTATTGATATTTTTAAAGCTTTTCTTTGAGCGTGGAAACTCATCAAATGACTTATCTCTCGACCAAGGTGGGGCGAGAAGGAGTGTCAGACTTTTAATGACTGCGGTACATAATTGCGCAACCCCGGCTGACATTTTTAAAGCTTAATTTATTCATCTGTCGAGTTACAAAGTGACGTCGCGTCACTTCTCACGTTCCATCATAAAGCATATGGGTGTTGACCAGAATTTAAATTATTAATTTTATTCAAATAATACCTTATTATCAGGATTATCGATGATGACGTAAACTAAGAATATTCCCTGCTGCCTGGCCCGGCGTACCGCCTGCAATACCCTGGTCTCTCCTTCAGAGAATATACCTCTACCATCACTGACAATCACTAACAACTTCGCATTGACTGCATCACTCTTCATCGTCTGCTCTTCAAACAAAACGGTGCAGAAATCAAGCAGCTGTGCTATCTTAGTCTTAGTTTGTTCAAAACGCAACTGTTCTAGAATCTTCGAGCCGGAATGTTCGGAAAATTGTTCTGTAAATGGATGGAGTAGGTTCGGCTTTTCGCCGAAACTCAGGACGGCTAAATCACCAGATTCGAGGAGGTTCAACGCCTGTAAAAACAAATAATGAAATTAATATGAAAATTAGAAGTCTAGTTTTGCTATATAATTCATGTTACAAAATGGCGTCGTATAACTTTACTAGTAAAATTTTGTGGAGAGAGACTGAAGATCAGTGGCGGAAGATAGGAGCCTCCATGCCACAGCCTTGAATAATGACCAAATTTGTGATTCGGTAATGCTAATTTTTTCTTTTAAATTACAATAACTTTACCAACAAAGTTTCTTTATTTTACCCTATGTATATTCAAGTACAACTAAAAAGAATATTTACTAGGTAATCCTAGTAGACTGGCTAGTAGACTAACTTTTAAATTTTCGCGTTCCATATTTACATCATATAATTATTAAACTGGCCACTTTAAAATTACAAAATCATTTCCATACCTGTGAGACGAGAGCCAGACTCTCAAAAGCGAGTTCCTTGCTCCTATTATCGGACATAGAGCTTGAATCGTCGACGGCTATAGCGATCTTGTACTCGCGTTTAGCCGGCTTCGTGCGGCGCAACCAAATGCGATCCTTTCTGAAGTGGGACGCAATATACGGGATGACACGACGCATGTTGATCGAGCGACCCGTTCTGAAGTCGCCTGAAGAAGGCATTCAAAATTTAATAATATATTAAAAAAAAACGATTACTCACTTGAACAAACTCAAGTCACTAGTTTGTTTCTATAGATTGAGTATGTCTCGCGATAGTTACTATTTCAAATTAATAATGATAATGAATTTTGTTTTTAATATGGTTATAAATTAAAAGCTGATAGGATATTTTTATTAAAAATCTAACTTTTAATAAAACTGCAGATTTTCATAAGCTTTTGGTAAAAAAATAGGAGCTAGACTTGTTTTCCATCAAGTTGACATAAAATAAAACAAACTCTCAACTAACTTTCCTAGAAAGAATTATTGTCAGAAGATGCAAACAAAAATGTGGGAAATCAACGATCGCTTCAGTTATAAGTTTAGTCAATGACTATTACAAAATCAGCAGCATTTATTAAGTTTCTACACTTAACTTAAACAGTTTTAAAAACATACCAGCTTTCCTAGACCTTCCAGTAGGCTCGAGCACAAGCCTCAGTCTCTCACACAGAGCTCTCGCGGCGGCCGCAGAGTCTCTCCACAGAGACCGCCATACTGGTACCGTGCCCTGAGCCCGCGAGGGACCGCTGGCCAGCCACTGACGAATGCTCATATACTCGTCCACTGATAAATCGTCGGCGTAGCTTTGGTTTTCGTTTAGCCTGTAAAAATATGATAGATTGTATGTGTATGATAAGAACAAAATCATTATTCTAACTAAACCATAAACAGGTGTGTTTGAAATGACAAAATATAATATTATTATAGTCTGTCAGTCAGTTCGTCAGTGAAGCTAGGAGCGCGTTCCAAAGTGTAGATTAAAAACGAGGAAGAAAGTCCATCGTAACTATTTGTTTAAATATGTTTTTCACCGATAGCTCACTAATACATTTTTAAATACACATTATTGTACCTATGTATGTGAGAACATACATAGGTACACACACAACATACATTTGTTAGATAAAAAAAGAACAAACGAAGGGATCATCCATCATGTATAAGGTAAAGAAGGGAATTTCTTCCGTATTTTTCAATATTTCATAAAATTAAAAAAAAAAACTATTTCTACTAATTAAATGCTACGTACATAAATATATGTTGTAGTTCACTTATTAAATTTCAAATTTTATTTCATGCTATTTTTATCAACAAAGTATATTATGAAAAGCAATCTCTTTAATTATATTTTAAGCATCATACTAAACCTGTCTAATCCTCCTTGCTTTAACTACTATATAATTATCAATATCTGTATTTGCTTACCTATAAGAACATAATCAATACCACGAGTAACCAGATAAAAAATTTAAATATATTTTTGAACTAGGAATTCCAGAAATTAAATTATTTACATGCCACAAAACATCTCTATAACGCGTCAACATTAAATAAAAAAATGTAGATGAACCCTATGAAATCCTTACCTAGTATGATAAGTAGTATCAATTCCTCTCGGAACGTGTGCAGTAACAACGACCTCCCCCTCCACTTCCACTCCCGTCTCTCCTGTAGGCTCCTCCCCGCCCTCATTCTTACTTCCACTCTTATCATCTTCTTTCTCTTTATTTCCCTCTTTCATCTTCTCTGGTTTCAATTCTTCGGCTTTCTCCACCTGAAGATTATGGAGTGTTTAAGAATGTCATTTTAATTTTTATTAGAATTATTAAGTGTTTAGTAATATGATGTTACGATGCCCGAGGATCTGTTAGAAAAGAAGCATAATGATGATGCGACGTGTGGTTGATTGGTAAGAAAAGCTACAGAAGACGGATTATGATGAAAAAGTTAAAGAAACCAGAAATGACAACAAAATATATAGTAGATGGTATTTATAGTAAATGGAGTGATAATAGAAAGGTAACTACCAATTTAATACCCTCGCTAATACTTTCTGTATTTTTAATATAGATGATGTCTTATAGTATTATATAATTTTATTTATAAGTTTGTGCTATGAATATGTATATTATGTTATTATATTACTTTACACATATTTTGCAATGTCATTTAATAGCTTTGTTAGTATAATTAGATCAAATCCGTGTTAACATAAATAAATAAATAGTAAAACCTCAGTAGGATACCACATATTCTAACAGCCGGTTGGTAGCATGGCTCATGATCAAAAACCCATCACCAGCAACAAAACCTTCACCATAAAACCCAGCAACTATTCAACTATATAACCTGTAGTTCCTCTTCATCTATATCCATAGGAACTTCTTCGTCTTCTTTGAGAGGCTCAGCGTTTTCTTCTTCGTCTACTAACATTGGCTGCTCGTCTGCTTGTTCTTTTGTCGCAGCGTCTACTGCCTGCACAATTTTAGCCGAGTTATAATTATTGTCAAAAGATTTTAGACCAAATTCTGGGTGGAGTAAACCTAAAAATCTAATTTTATTAAAAGGCCGGTCAAGTGGTTTTGGTTGTGGTCTTTTGGTTCGTATTGAGAAGCCTAACTGAATTAGTAAAGGCCAATAACCTATCTGTAGGTACCTATCTATAGATATGCTTAGTAAAGATAGATAAGTTTGAAAAAAATTGGCTATTTTACAAATTTCGTAATATTTTTGTGGAATATATCGGTACCGTCCATATATTCCCGTGACATCGAGTACCTTGGTTATATTTTGGAAGTGTAGGATTTGGGAGTGGGGGCTTCGGATTTGAGGATTAGGGAAGATAGGGGTTGAACCTGGGAGGTAACATCACTCACAAAGCGAAATACAACAACGTTGTTCACACAACGTTCGGTTTCTGTGAAGCCGTGGAATCATTTAGTTCGCGCTAGTCAATTCATGCGCCGAAGCATGTTTCTCCCACACTTAAAAAACTTTGCAACTGGGCGTTAATAAAAGACTGTATTAAAACTATTGACCGTCCTTTTAACAAAAATCTACAACATCACATACTATAAGGGACAAGACAATGCATACCTGAATTCCTGGGCAATCTGTGTACAAATTTACTTTATTTAATAATTTACCTGCAAATCGTCCTTTTTAGCTTGCTTCACGTGTTGGTAAGCGTCGGCTTCTTTTTCAGCATCCTCATCGTTGGCGCCTCCTTCTTCAGCGTCCTCGCGTTCCACGTTAAGGGTTTTGGCTTGTTTATGTTTCTTTTCGTTGACGTCGCCTGTTTTGTTATCAATTGGTTTATTTAAATTTACTACTATACAATTTAGACAAGGCTACGCGCACTCGGAGATAGCAACTAATTGTTAGGAAGATTCCTAATTGACTTCAACTTTCTAATAAAGTCAAAATTAAAATCATTTATTTCAATTACACAACAGTAGGCACTTTTGAACGTCAAGCAAAATTAAGGAAAAAATATTTTAAGAGCTTTAACATTAAGCGTGTCAGTCTGTCAGACTGTCCTATAGTGACGCTATTTGCTCGTTCCAAAGTGAAGATCAAAAAATCAAATGGTAATTGAATAGAAGGAAGTATAGTGGCACAATAGAAGAAGAATAGGTGCGCGAAGCGAGCCGGCGTTTGCTTGGGGTTTCATGCATTAAAGGAGCACTGAGAGAAAATCCTACTACTAATATAAAATCAGAAAGTTTGTGAGAATGTATGGGTGTATATTTGTTATTTTTTCACACAAAAAAACGGTTGAAATTTTATTGATTATATCTGATGTGATACCTTGGATTCACACATTGGCTGTTTTTTAGCAACACACCACTTGACGAAAGCCTCGGGCGAAAGCTAGTAGCCCATAATTTCCATTAAGATGGTACTTATCAAGGCTGAGAATATGGGTCTAAATAATACTTTCTCTAGTACTTTTGTCTATAGACGTATTTTTAAGCAATCAACCAATCATAGTAGTAATAGATTTGATCGACGTGAAGCCATGTCGCTTATGTTTCGACAGCAGAGCATATGGCACGTGGGTGCAAATCTCTTACGCACCGCCGTGTGTGCATAAGACAATATTAAACAGCAGTTCTTTCATGGTCGCGGTTATTTTAGCTTTAGTTTCCATACTCACAGTGGAAAAAAAGGAATAAATTATTTCAAGAGCTTTAACATTAAGCGTGTCAGTCTGTCCGTCTGTCTTCTAGTGAAGCTATTTGCTCGTTCCAAAGTGTAGAGTGGAGAAGAACAAGCAAGAAACTCCATGGTTACTCTTTTTCAATCAGATTTACAATACATTTCTTTGTTACATCATTTAGTTGGTTCTGATATGTGAGAACAGTGTAACACTAATGTTTAGGCAAAGAATCCGAGAGATAACCTCAAGGACAACATATTTAGACAGCCTGAAGATGACCAGTCCCAATAGGCGGCGCCCGTTCACGAACATGACACGTACACCAGTACCAGCCAACTCAACCATATTATAGGGAATCGAGTGATCCAGTGCCTGTGCCACCGCCAATGAGACCTCTGAGTGAGCATGACAACTCCCAGCTCACACAAGTACCTATATTCTACAAGTCTAACTCAAAAATCAATAGCACTCCAATTACTTTAGTTGACTTACCAAGTGTCCGTTCTTGATCAGTCTTGCCAGGTTTATTCTCATGTTTCTTGCGTTGTTCCTCAGCGCGATCAGTGCGGCTCGCTGCCTGTTTCTCGCCGCGATGTCCCTTGTCACTCTTATCTAATTCTGAACGACCCGTCGACTGTTTCTCTTCGGCATTTTGGTCTTGCACTTGATCCTGTGAGAAGTCGAAGTCAAAGTCAAAAATCATTTATTCCAATTAGACCTTTACAGGCACTTTTGAACGTCAAACAAAATTTAAAATAAAAAATAGTGTCAGTCTGTCGGTCAGTCCTCTTAGTGAAGCTAGCCTCTTAGTGAGATGAGATGGAAGCATTGTTAGTATTGGCGACCTTAATTGAAATTAGTTTATACACGTAATTACAAGCACAAATTATTATTAATCATTGTTAATTTAATTACAAGCTTTGTAACTTTGAAATAAACATGTATATCAAAGATTCGAATAATATTATGTATTGGAGCATGATTATTTTTCTTTAAACACTTTTTACATATGTTTACAAGTGCTTCTGCAAGTGTATTCTTAAGATCTATTATAAAGCAAAATTAATAATAATTTGCGAAGCGCTGAGACTAGCATTTATCCTACATCAAGAAACTCATAATTGCATACGATACTCTTCATTGCAGTTTACTTAGCAAGAGAAAACAATTAAAAAACATCAATAACACTCACATAAGGGCTGGATTCATCTTCCTTATTCTGTTCAGCATTAGTTTCCACATTATCATCCGTTCCTTTCTCCATTTGCGCATTCTCAGCCTTATCTTCTGCAGTTGGGTCATTGTTCGACGGATTAGCTTGAGGATTGGCTTCTTGGTTCTTCTGTTCTATTTCATCCTCTTCTTCAATCTTTTCAGGATTCTTTGGCAAGTCTTTCTCTTCGTTTTCTGGTGTTTCTGATTCTTCTGGTTTTTCAGTGTCTTGGTCTACTTCTTGACCGCCTTCATTTTCTTCGTTTTCTTCTGGCGTATCTTCTGGACTTGGTTTTTCAGTATCGTCTTCTTCTTTGTCTTTTTCCTGGCAAATGATAATGGTTTTGTTAATAATTGTTTTAGCTTTGAGAATAACACTGTGATCGTAGTTGGTGTAGAATGCTAAGTTTAATGTGGGTTTTTATTAAATAGATATTTTTTCTATGTGAATAATATTAATTTTAAAGTTATAGATAAGAACTACAGTTATTAGTACAGAAAATTCTTCCGATTTTGTAAATATCATCTACAATGATATCTACAAAATCTTCATCAACACATACCTTGTCATCATTTCCTTCATCGTTTCCATCTTGGTCCCCTCCTTCTTCCTCATCATCAGAAACATCGAGTCCATTGTTCGTATCCTTACCGTCTTCACCTTTATCATCTTCTTTTTCAGGCTCTTCTGGTATATTCTCTTTCATCACATCTATGTCAAATGGATTCTCTGTTTCTGTTTCTCCATCCTGTTCCTATAATTGAGTTTCTATCTTTATTACTAGTTACAAGTTTTTATAATTAGCAAGTCACATTTTAATATTTTCAACATCTCTCAAATTATTAATAATTGAGGGCATGTAAAAAGAAAATCTACTTAATCTCCAATTCTCAAACCGTTTTTTAAATATTAACGGCCTGGACAAAAGAGTCAAAAATATATATCATTGTCTTCACTTTGATTACATAAAATCATACCAAAAAGTAATTGAAATAAAATTGAACTTACATCATCACCAAGATCATCGTCAACATCCATGTTCTCAGGTAGCTCAAAATCTTCCGGTTCAGGGAGAGGCTGTTGGTTACCATGGTACGGATCCGTCTAGAGGAAAGTAACAAAATTATAAACGATTAAACTTTAAAAAAAAACTCACTCAAAATTTCAAAGACGTGTTTAAATTTATGAGTCTGAGACTATATTTTACAACCTTCATATAAGTACCCCATAAAGTATGTGAAACCATAAAATATACGTTCACATATTTTGAAATTTATTTAGCACATAGTAATTATCCCCATATGTGGCACATAAGCCTTAGGATCTGTTTCACCACGACCAATGATACTAACTGAATCTATCAAAGACGAGCTTGGAAAATAATTCAGAGCACTAGGTGTATGAAAAGTTTCCACTGTTATTGTGGAACAGACTATTTCAAATTAGTCTTCTTTGTTCTATATTTCTTTATCTGCACATAGTATTGAAGCTCACATTGAAATGAAATTGCCTTTATTATTATACTAGCTCTTACCCGCGGCGTTGCTCCCGTCATTTGACTACCTACCCTACTCTACTTACCCTACCTACCCTACTTTACCTACCCTACTCTTCCTACCCTACTCTACCTACCCTACTCTACCTACCCTACTCTACCTACCCTACTCTACATACCCTACCCTATCTATTCTATGTCCTTCTCCTGGCTCTAAACTACCTCCCTGCCAATTTTCAGCTAAATCGGTTCAGCCGTTCTTGAGTTATAAGTGGTGTAACTAACACGACTTTCTTTTATATACAGGGTGTAAGGGACAGCCCTCCACAAATTAACAGGGTGCATTCAGCTCCTTATTCTGAATCATATTCCAGTGAAAATTCTTTCAGGAAAATTTTCAATTTTTTTTTTCGTTTTTTCAGTTCCTACACCTCTATTTCAATGTATAATTACATTCTATGTATGAAGAATAACATTAATGTGAATAAAACAGCTAAAACAAAAAAATACGCAATGGTTGTGTGAATTCTCTAAAGAACTACGCATGAAATCAGCTGTTCAATTTCTACCTAGCGCGAGTCGTTTGAACTCACCGCACCGCGGTCACGGCGCATCGGCTCGGCGCCCCACCGCGCCGATCGCCGCGCCGCGCGCCGTAGGTATAATACCTACGATCCCGTCCAACGTACAGAATAGCTGCGTCCCTTTCTATCGCCCCGCCTCCGCGTCTCCCCGTCTCCCCGATTCTTTGCACAATGTTTGCCCGATTGAACCAGTGTTGCCAATTTTTAACTTTTGTTACCTCAGGTAGTAAACGAAAATGTTAGAACTAGCGAAATTTATCTAAAACTTGAGAACTCCTTTGCATTCATAATTACGTTGATGAGTTTTTCATTAATCAATTAATGAAAATCTTATCGCGCACATAAATTGAATAAGAAATAAATAAAGATTAGTCTAGTTTTAATTTTAAAGCATTTACAAATACTACCTAATTTATTAATTGATTGTTCTTTTTAAGCGATTACTGGCTAGTTTTTAAACTACTTACAGATTTTTACATGGCTTCACAATAGCCATGAATTGATAGTCGAGCCAGAAATAAAACACAATCTCCCTGGAATGGAAGCACAGCTTTCTATCACACTGCACTTTTATTATTCTAAATTAACTAAACAATGAAATTAGAATTAAATTGATTTAATCAATTCATTTCTCTACAAAAAATAACAGAATGATAAATTACGACCATGCATAATTTTTTATTTTTTACCCCGAAATTTTGTAATTTTCGTGTAATTGGCAACAACAGATTTATGTCTGTGTGTGTCTCATCACATGCAGTCGCCATTGTGCCTTGTTGCGATGTTATTGTTTGTGTACCGCGAGCGTGTATCGGTACGGATCGCTCGCGCATTCGGCTTAAAAGTTTTGTTATAAGTAGTGTTGTTAAGTTTTATTAGTTATGTAGTGTGTGAAGTGTAGTGAAGTTTTGTTGTAGAAATTGTGCGAAATTACTACCTAGGTACGTTTAGCGCGCGTGATTATGGGGAGATGATAATGTGTTGTAGTAGTGTAGGTATCCTGACCGTCGCCATCCATCAGACTCCAGGATAATTACTGGTGACTATCAACGCTTGCTTGAAAACCAGCCCATTGTTCCCAGACAAAAAGGCGCCGGAAGACCAATACCTACGTGGATTTTGGAATTGGTTCGCTAACGTAACGAGACGCTACCACTTATTAGTGCTTTCCTATTTAAACGTAGTTTAGGTAGGTTTGGACCTCAACCGTGGCCAGCACGATCCCCAGACCTAACCCATTTGGACCCCTTTTTGTGGGGTTACGTAAAAGAAAAAGTGTTTGTGAGTGCGTGTGCAAGTGAGTACGAAATGCGAGACCGCATCACAAATGCTTTCCAGAGCCGGAAACCGGAGCGATTCTAAGGTACCTACGCATTTTTCTTTTTTTATCATTATTCAGTTACCATGTTATGATTGTTAGAATTTCTTTTGTTAGTAATGCGGCTATCTTTTAAATAATAATTTATTGTTATTAAAACGTGGCGCGAGCGCGATTATTAAATTGTCTTTTGTAAGTAATGCGGTTATCTTGTAAATAATAATTTATTGTTATTAAAACGTGGCGCGAGCGCGACCGTTTGTCCGAAAGGTAAGGTCGCGGGGCTGCCCATAGTGTAAAGTAATAATACTAAAAGCGCTGCCGTTCGCTGCGTGCGTTTGCGGTGGTAGCGACACATTGCGTGTAAGGTAATGAAACAAATCGGTTTAATTGGATTCCCATAACGTTCCTGAAATAATTTCATGTACCGGTCAACTTAAGACGATGTACTGAATCCACCCTATCAGTTTGCGGAAGGCTGTCCCTTACACCCTGTATATAGATTTATTAAATTCAACTTAACTAACCTGATCATCATCCAACTCAGGTTCTTCCATTTCATTGATATCTTTCTTCTTTTTCTTATCTTTTCCATCAGTACCATCATCAGTACCTTGCTCTTCATCATCTTTGGCCGCTATATCTTTCTCTCCTGTACTCTCTCCTTTACCCTTCTCTTCCTTATCTTTTTGTTTGCCCTGGTCTTCTTCTTCTAAGTCTTCTTCGTCTTCTGAACCCCAGATTTGTTGGTCAAGTCTGTAAGAAATAATTTATTTTTGATGAAAATTACATGAAAATTATCTATAAAGTTTTAGTTAAGTTCGGATTTCTGTGGTTAAATATGTAAACAAATCTTACTTTTCCGCAGCGTTATCAATGTCACCCATTTGTTTATCAGCATCGTCTTCATCATCTTCTTGGTCGGATTGTTCGCCATCTACAATTTCATAATGAAATTTTAGAAATAAAACAAATGCAAATTATTTTCTATGGTTTTATTATAAATTTGGTCTTGTTAGGATTAGACTAACGAGGCAGTCGTCATTGTTTCCAGTTCTGCCCCTACATGAAATAATACAAATAATAATATCCTACCTTTTTTATCAACATCTTGCAGATGAGAGTCAAAGTCGTCAGTCATATTGACTCCTTTTTCTTCTTCTTTACAATCTCTATTCTCTTCCTTTTTCTCCTCTCCGGGTTGACGGGCATCATCTAACTGGTCCTTTGGAAGAAAATTTACTATTAAAACTACGCTACGTTGTTTAATTTTTAAGTTGCGACAATATATGCTAGTTAGGTAAAACATGATCCTGAACCATTATTTATTTAAAAATCACTTGATTAACTTACTTGATTCTCAATTCTATCCGACACATCTTTCTGTCCTTCTCCCTCTCCGAGACCCATACCGCCTGATAGCTTGCCGGGACCTCCTTCACCATCAGCGTCATCCATATCTAAGTCCGAAGGCTTGCAGAAGCTGTTGACAATATCATAGATTGAGATTTCATCGTATCCATGCCTCTACTTACACCCGGTTTCCGAAAGGCAGATCAATGTTAAAGTCAATTTAATCTCTTGTCAAGTCATCTAATTGGTTGACTGAATTATCAACAACCAATCAGACGACTTGACAAGAGATTTGACACCTAGTTAGCTGATTTTAACATTGATCGGGCTTTCGGAAACCGGGCATTAGTCTAAGAGAGATCAACATTTTATGAAATTGGGGTTAGACGAGCATAGACTTGTCAAACGGTAAGCGATTAGTTCCGCTTAAAAAGACCCACAAGACTAAAGGACTGGACTAAAGTGCTGGCCTTACAAATTGTTATTTCTCTCTCTACTATTTTCACTCCATCCCCAAACACATAGTGCATGTGCCAGATGGATGGCTTCTAAAACAATAATATTAGTAAAATGCTTCAACTTACCCTTTCGAAGCCAAGTCCGAGAAGATCTTCAACAACACAGACAGCATTTTGCACGATACTCTGTGCACCGACACTTTCTGCGTCACAAAATATTGGACAAACAGAACAGTTTGTTCCAATATTGGCACCACTCTCATCACTGCGGTCCTGACTTCTTCATTAACGTTATTTATAGCCAAGTATTCCACGTAGTTCGAATACAATAACTGAGTTTTAGAAATAAGAGATTCCAATTGTAGCATTCTAGTATCGTTGCTAAGTTTGTCTTGCAAATGTTCTTTCAAATGTTTGTCTTCAACTATGTCCTTGGACTCTTCTTTGTCGCTCTTTATTATTTCATCTATAGCATTAATTACTTCAGCATTTTCTGTTGTGTCTGGTGGTAAATGTTTCTTGTATACAGATTGAACGATTAGCAGCATGGTTGCTACCAAATCTTCTGTCTGAGCCACAAGTTGGTTGCTTGTAACTTTAGTTGGTTTAGGAGTCAAACGTTTGTCTAATTTGACCAGTTCATGAACTGTTTGTTTCAAATAACTTACAAGTTTATTTATACTCTTTAGAAGTGGATGGCTTGGTGTATGTTCGAAAGTAGATAGTTTGAATTTGAACTGATAGTCTAGTAGCAAGGTATCAATGTCATTGATCATATTTTCTATATTAACTTTACAATCGTTTGCAATATTAGCATGGTTTTGAGACGCTAAAGGATTTTGTTTACCTTGTCTTATTTCCTTGGGCATGTCATTCGATATTTTATGTAGTGTGTTCTTTTGTTTATTAACGTTTGTTATTAGAGCTTTAATTCTCTTATTTAGATCGCGCCATTCATCTGTATTTTTGTAACAGCGAACTATTCTGGAGTCAGAAAGGACGGAATCAAATTCAGGTTCTGTTTCTGAATCTAGACTTTTTTCTGGACAAGATTTTAGTACGACGTTGAATTGTTCTAGAACAATGCCAGTATTAGCGTAGCATTCTACGAGTAGTTCTATTTTTGATCGCAGTGAGGAAACGTTTGTTTCCGTATCGTCAAAGTCGAGAGCGTCAATTAGGTTTGTGGAAAGGTTGCGAAGGTCACAGAGGTAACGTGAATATTTTGATATGGATTTCTTTTGGGTGTTTGTCATTTTCTGAAAATAAAACATAATTCTATGAAAATTGTGCTATTATTTTTAGCACAAGATGGCGTTCAAGAAGCGTTGAGGGATTTTCGTGGTATCATTTTAAAGTAGAGAAAGAAAAATTGTAATTATCAAAATTTTAAGAATCAACAGTTTACATTTTAGGTTCTTAACTAGATTAGGTTATTTAGGTTGAATGCCATTATTTTTATAAAAAAACAATCATATGTCAATAAATAAGTATTAAATAATAACATAGTTTGACTTCTTACCAATAATTGGGCAGCAAATCCTTTCACTCGTTCAATGTTCTGCATGCCAAGGTCTTGGTGTGGTGACTGCAGAGCTAGAGTGAGGGTCCTATGTCGAGCAATATTCTTCTGGAAGTATTTCTCACAGCCAGACCACAGGAGAGACAGCGTGGTGTCGCATCGTCTGAAAATGAACCTTGTTGTATTATTTTATTGTTTACATGTAATGTCACTCATTTTATATTTAATGCGCATGAATAGTTTTGTTTTCACATCATCAGACTATAAGCGGCCAATTGTGAGCGAAGGCCTCGTTTAACACGGAGAAGGTTTGAGCATTAATATCGCCACGCTTGCAGAAATTATAAGACCAGGTTTCTCTAAGATGTTTTCCTTCACCGTATGTGAGAAAGTGCATATAACTCGGAAAAAGTCACTTTGGTACTTGCAAGGTTTCGAACCCGCTTCCTCATGCATGAGAAGCATATCTTTTACGTTGGTTAAAATAAATAAATGCGTGTAATAATAATGTCGTGGTGGCCCGGAGGTTAAGGAGCCCGCTTCTCATGCATGAGGGTGAGGGTTCGAAAACTGACAAGTACCAATGTGACTTTTTCCGAGTTATATGTACTTTCTATGATTATTTAGACACCACTGACATACGGTGAAGGTAAACCTCGTGAGGAAACCTGGACTTATAATTTCTAATTATAAGTTTGATATCGCCAACCTGCATTGAGCAAGCGTGGAGATTAATTTTCTAACCTTCTCCGTATGAGAAGAGGCCTTTGCTCAGCAGTGGGCACTTATAGGCTGATGATGATGATGATGACGATGATGATGAAATAATAGCGCGGCACCGTTATAACTTGATCTATCGCTTGAGGTGTCTTTGTTAACTAAATACTGAATTAAAGTTTGACTAAAAAACTATTTACCTAACCCTGAAATGGTGTGCGCCCAAATAGCTACTATAATGTATTCTAATCAATATAATATGTTAGAGTTCAACTATGATAGTGTGTCCTCACTTTAGTGTATAATAAAAAATATACGTTTTTTAAGAATACTCACCGGCTCTTCAAATTACCAACAGCAGGTTCCAAATCGACGGGCGGTATAGTGAAATCGTATAGTTCTTTGCCCGACGCCAATATGACCAAGCCTGTACGATAGTTGAGGCCAAGTTTGGCCAAGTACTTGAATAAATCTGCTAAAGCTTTACGCTTTTGTTGGACGAAGTTCTTGGCTTGTGATGTTTGTTTTTCTTTTGGTAAAGAGGAGTCGACCTGTTGAAATAAATTAAAGTGTGTAAAAAATTATCTGAGTGGTTATAAGTATGTCGTTGGGGACCAAAGTACATTATTGTTTATTTATTTATCTTAATAATATAATGTTTATCCGTATCAATATTGGTCAGGGGCAGGGGCCATATTATTTCCATAGTTATCATATCCACCAGTCCATAGCAACCCATACCTATAACCCTATAAATTTTTACCACATTTCACAATAGTCCTGCATCAACCGGGGATTGTCCTTGGGCGCACTTTTATAGTGCATACAGGGATAATTGCCGGCTGATGTCCCATCACATTTAGATTAAAACTGTTCAACGGGCCTCTGCGAGTTGGCTTCGGCTCCTTGTACGCCTTCCAAAGGTCCGGGACCCTTTGGTCCCGTGAAAGGAAAGAATAAAGGTAAGTATATTATAAACTAAGCCCCACCGTTTTAGTGGGGTCATCAAGATTAGTGGCAATACAGTACAATGTATTGAAATAAAATTATAATTAAGTAGTCCATGGATGGAGTCGTCTTCGGTCAGAACTGTCAAAATGAATTGTGTGTATTTTCTTAAAACCTTTTTTAAGATATGGCTCAAGAAGATGTTGAAAAACCCGGTTCACATCTTAAGTTATTCACTTAAGGGACCAGGCGGTGCTGATCCTTGTGATCGACTAGAGGATCCTCCGACCAGAATGTTTTAAGTACTTTGTCGTATAGTGGAAAACTTAAAATATCAGCCTTAGGTGAATTTCTTGCGGGAAAAAAAAGCCCACTAATACCTTCTCTGACCTGATAAACAAACACCAGAACATACAACCGGCTTTTTCTCAAATCGAATTTATTATTTTAACATAAGAACCACTTTCGGTAAATAAAATATTGACGTATGGATCACTCATGGGACAATTATAGAGTATTTTATGATCATAAATAAAAAATAAAAGCCAATATACCAATTAAAAAAACTTAAGCCCTTACCTCCAAAGACCCAAGATGCTGGCTGGTCTCGATGACAATCGTGACGAAATCATCCAAAGCTTGCACGAGCGAAGGATAACCAGTATTCGTAATAGTATCCTTGCAAAGAGCCCTAGTTTTGTCCAACAAACTCGAAATTCTTAACAACAAGCTTCCATCAGCTAACAACTTGGAAGGCTCCTCCAATGAAGATATATATTTCTGATAAAAAGAAACTTTATATGAAATTTTCATGAAAAAATAAGACAATGTATCTATTTCACATAAAAAGGGTATGGCGACATTTGCTTTTGGTTTTAATGTTAATACTATAATATTATAAAGAGGTAAAATTTGTAAGTCTGTAAGTTTGTATGAAGGGGGTAATCATTGGAACGGCTAGTCGGATAGCCAAAATTCTTTTACTGATAGATAGCGACAATGTTCCTGAGTGCTATAAGCTATAAAACATCACTCTACGATCAAATGGAGCCGAGCAGCGGGTGAAACCGCGTGAGAGTAGCTAGGTTCGGTCGTTAGAGTAGGTTTTTTTGGGATTGGTCGGCAAACGAGAAGAAGGCTTACTATCCATAAGCAATCGACGCCGCCTATGGCTACTCGTAATACCAAAGGAGTTACTATAAGTGCGTTACTGACCTTTTGTGGCTTATTAAGGATTTAAGGATAGGGGATTTAGGGATTGAGAACTGAAAGAAAGTGTTAGAAAAAAGAGAAAATTTAATACATCTACGAGTGACTACATTCATAATTTTATTTTTAACCTAACCCTTTCTATGTGAAATGAACTATAATGTTAGCTATGTGTTAAACAAACAAGTGTATTATTAAGAACAAATTCTACCCCGCAACCGCTAAAATTTATTAGAAAAAAAAAACAAACACCGTATGAATTAATTTACCTACTTCTGTACACAATTGAACTTTAGTTTCATGAGTCCTGTGATACTTATAAGAAATTAATTTTACAAAGAATTAAATCAAGATATATCAGGGTCCCTTGCTTTTTAACATTTTAAATACTTACACATATTTGGTTTATAGTTGTTTTGTTTAAAGTGGTTTACATTTTTCTTTCTCTTTTTTAAATTTTGACATCAGGGAAGTCCAAACAATAATAACTTTAATTTCTTACATTGTTAGTATCAATTTCGTTTAATTTTAACAAATTCATTGTTAGACATAGTGTCCTCTATTTCTTGAGGTATGTTATTATAAACTTTAATGGTCATAATATAGGAGACCACCAAGAGCCTTATGTATATAAGTATAATGCAGGAAAGTAGGTTCAATTGCGTCCAGAAGTTGTGCAACAAAAAAATAAAAAAAAAAATAAAATAAACTGAACAAGCAATACTACCTGTAAATGCTGTGAATTAAAAACAAAACTAGCATTAGTATGTGTTTATTATAGTGTATTGCAAAAAAAAACAAAATTCATTAGAATGGAGCGTGTGAAGTGTGCAAGTAGAATTCAACCGTATTGTCGCATTGTTATAGTCTATTTTACCAGTTCGGGAAGCAGTCTCTTATAACTTCTTGTTATTGTTAGAATTATATTACCAAAAACCACAGCACAAAAATAGTTATTCTATTACTACTTTATGCCAAAGTGTTATTAAGATTTTAGAATATTATTTATTATAATAAATATGTATTATCCCAGTACATATTTTATTATTTAGAAACAAATGTGAGTATTGGTTAATTACTTTTCATTATTTATAGGCAAACTACTAGATGCAACAAGTAGTCAAATGCAGTTAGTTTGCTATGTGTACCTAATGTGTATCCAGTATTGAAAAATGTGTTAATCATTGTCAAATTTTGCGCGAAAACAGTATGTAATCCATGAACTGTATTTACCTATTACCAATAAAACATTAACCTATCAATTGTGGATGTAGACACAAAAAGATCGCGTCACCGGCTTTCGCGTAGGGTTTGACTAAAGTAAATAATCACGATAAAAAAGGGACGAAATTCAAAAAATGAACTCCTTGTAACACCAGCCTCATACAAAAAAAAAGCAAAGCAAATTCTGCGCAAAAATTGACAACGATATTTATATAATAGTTTCCTGTCCTGGTTTAAGGAACTGTCTGTTTCTCACAAAAACTATAGTAATTGGCCGAGCGATAGGAGCCCATATTATGCATAAAAATTGATAACATACCTTTACATTTCGGCTAACAACCATATAGTTCTGCACATCGATCATATAAGCGCCTCCAGTGGGTGCGTTCGCCGTCGTTGTACGTTTGGGCCGGTCCCAGATACCCACGTGATCTCCTATTACTTCCGTAGAATTGTCCACAATACAACTCGTTACGCTTTCTTTTAGAACATTCTAGAAAAAACAAGAAATGTTTAATTAAAAAAAACAAGAGCATTGTTAACGATATTAGCAGTTATTCAGATAGATAGCACCCTACAATCTATTTTTAGGGAAAAATAAACTCTACATAACAAAAAATAAAATTCAATTTTCTAAAATACATTTTGTGCGCCATAAAAACAGATAATAACACAGCCTAACTTCAATCTGAAACAAACTTTAAGCTTAAAGAATGAAGTCTTAAATCAACAATTTTTCATCTACATACCTCAAACTCCTTAGTATGTTTATGGAGAGCTTTATGTGCCTTTTCAACTGTGTCCTTGACGCTCCAGTAACTTAGATCTCTGTCCCAAGTGCATATCTTCACAAAGTCGCGCAATTTCTTCTCAATCGGTGCGCGTTTCTCTTTAATGTGGGCGGTTACTTGTGCGCTAAATTGCGCATAGTAGTTGTACGTATTCCATAAAATGGCAAGGAGCTCATCTGTAATGGAAATAAGTAAGTATTATTATAGTATAATAATAATTATATAAGTTCTTTGGACATATGAAGAAGAAGAAGCAAGGTAACATAGAAAGATTACCTGATGGTAAGCAATCAGCGTCGCCCATGGACGCAACAGAGGAGTTACGAGTGCGTTACCGACCTTTTAGGCATTAGGCATTGGGGCAGGGAAAGGATTGGGCCTCCAGTAACCTTATTCACTCGGCGAAACACAACGCTGTGGTTGTTTCACTCTGAATCTTATCAGTATCAAAGTAGCAATAACGTACCGCGGCCCAAGACGCGGAGCAAGAGAAGGAACGAGTGTTTTTAGTCAGAGTCTGACAATCCCAAGTAATTAAATGATTTTACCCCTAAAATATATATTAAGTTCTATGGCGGTTATAGCAGCAAGGTCTATCAAGTTCACAAAAATAAGTAAAACAAAATACCACTCACCTCTCCTCTCCGAAGGTTCCAAATGCACCAAGTGACAGTGGTACACGAATATGATATCCAACCTTATTTCGTACTCAGCTAAGTTCGATTTTTCCATGAAGTCTTTGAGCACAGTTATGACCCTATCAGCCGGTACGGGTTCCGTGGTGGCGTCTAAATATGAAGTGATGACGGAATATAGGTAGAACCAATACTTATGTGCTTCAGACTGTTTCCTGAAATAGTTTGGTGGAGTAAGCAAAAATGTGTCCTTATTAAGGAGTTATAAGGTTTAATGAAACAATGAATTTATTTTTGCAATTAGGCCATAAAACGGCACTTTTACACGTCAATTTATATGTGAAAAACTAGATAAAGCCGAGGTTCAAAATGTCATAACAGATTTATAAGATTTTAGAGTGATATGTTTGTGAATAGTATCTTATATATTTTGGACATATGTTTCTATATGTTTTGGACACCATACATCACTTGGTTTTTCAAAACAGGTAGCCTAGTCCAAAAAGATTTTGCTTTCGTTTGACGGTAAATGTGTCAAATCACGAAACATATGACTATAAAGAATCAATCATATAATAAAAATCTGCATTCATTTAATGGATGTCAATCCGAGCTCCCATCAATTAATCAGTAACTTTTGATTGCACGGTTGGCGTAGCGGCTGGGCAACTGGCAGCCGCGCAACGTGTCGCGGGTTCGATTCCCGCACGGAACAACATTTTGTGTGATCCACAGATTGTTGTTCCGGCTGTGGGTGTGATGAGTATGTGAATTTGTGTGTTCGTTAACGCACCCACAACACAGGAAAAAAAAGTGTGGGACTAATTAAAAAAACTTATGAACATACTATAAATATGAACAAATATAAAAAAATATATATATGAATTTTTCACAGACAACTCACCTACTATACAGATTATTAAGACACTCTTTCCAGTGTGCCATCTCTAGTTTCCTCCAGTTTATAATCTGTTGTCCCACTGCCAGAGACACTTCGATCATATTGTTCCCTTTATGGGCGTTTTTGTTCCACTCCTCTATCTTGTCCCGAAGCAGCTCTAGCCCAGTGAGGAACCGACTGACTGGACTTGTGACCGGGAAACTGAGGATCCTGTTTACTATGACTATTATCTGAAATGTGATTGGTAGTTTGTTAAAAAAAAAATATTTCGACTTATAAAACCATAAAAATACTTAAACATAATCCCACATTCATTAATGCATTTTACGATATATTTAATATTCGTATTTTTAGATAAATCAAAAAAGTGTTGGAATAAAAAAATATGACGTCACAACGTGCTATTTCATAGAAAGGTACGTTTGCGACATCTAGGAAAAGTATTAATTTTGGACAGTTTGAAAGTACCCTTTGCCATTTTAGAAAAATGCTAATCGTAAATCTGTTAAAAATTAAGGAAGTTTTCTTTGGATAATCTAAAATCTCTGATGTGAATATGAATACGGCCTTATTATTAAAACTTTTCAAATAATTACTCACCTCTTTCAAAGTGGGGAAGTCTGGCCATTGGTTAAGCAATTCATTGGTGTTCTCCTTCACCCTGTGTAGCAGTGGCACACACTGCTTAGTTTCCGAGACCCAAGCTGATCTGTAGAAGTCTACCTTACTTGAAGACTCTAAAAACAAAAAATAAGTAATTTATAACATGTAATCATTCTAATATTGCCCTTTGAAACACCCTAATTTTTATTATGAAGTATCCACACGCTCCACAAATAACCATTAGACTACCACAAATGGGGTTTACTGGTATATTGGTCTTTATTTGTATATTTACCGCATCCTCGGCTATATAATATCAGCTATTCGGGTTGCGGTTACAAACACAATAACGACCAACGACCTAAGCCCAGAGCAGCAGAAGAAACGGGCTGGTTTTTAGTCAGTAAGAGTCTGACACTGCCTCTTGCCCTACCAAGGACGCGCGAACTAATCGGACGATTTTCCCTATTTCCCAAAAAATACTATAGGACAATTCGAATTAAATATTGTGGTAGCTGAAGCACTTATGTAACAAGGCTATAAGTATTACATGCGGTGAAAAATAAGGAGGCTGGCAATCTTTTAAAACTTTGTCACCCATATTTTAATGTTTGCGAGAGTGTACAAGAATGAAATATAAAATAAAATGTCTTACCTTCTCCATCAACCTTATCCTTAATCTGAGCTATAAGGACCATTATACTCGGCGAGATCTTCCCTTCGAACTCAGCGTCCAAAGCCTCCCACGAATTATTTACAATCCGGCTAAATGTAGGATACCTTTCCAAGAATGGACTAACGACGTCATTACCAACCAACTTCTTTCGGTCGGGTAACCAGTCCGCTGAGGTCATATTGCGAACTAAATTGGAATGCCATTTGTATACTAGAGAAACATCTTCAGGAGTAATTAAAAATTTTTGTTTCGGTTTGTCTGTTTTTGGGGTTTTTACTGGTACTTGTTCTAGCGTTGGTGGTTTGAACTCTGCAAAGTCTTGGTCAGAGTATGACGGGAACATCTCCATCATTTCCTCTAAAGCCATCGCTTCTTCATCTTCGTCTTCACATTTTGATCTGGAAATGAAGTTTCGTTTAGTGGTTCTCCAGAACAAGGCATGTAGGACTACACCATTCACTATGGATTGTTTAATGAGTTTTGATGTACAAAATACTTGAGAGAGAGCCTGGCACAAATGGGGGCCTGAGCGGAGCGATACTAAGACCTCAATGAAAGCCGGCGTGAACAGAAATGAAAAAAGGTTACCGGAAGCTCGATCCTTCCCCTCCCCCAATTCATAATCTCCAAAACCCTAATCCCGAAAAGGCCAGCAACACACTCTTAACACCTCTGTTAGTGCAGGTGTCCATGATTGCTTACCATCGGGTAATATGTCTACACGTCAAAACTACCATAACATAGAAAGAAAAGACACTGTCAAATATATTTTTTTGTATACTTTACAAAGACAGCTTTTTAAGGACCAAATCGGGTGCATTAAGTTTTAAGACGTCTGCTGCTGCTAGATATAGGCTCCAAAGACCCCATAACTTCCAGATCGGCGAGTTAGAATAAAATACAAAGAAAACTTACTTAGTAACATATAAAGCTTCATCATCCTGTTTCTTCTTCTCTATGTCTCTCTGTTGTTGTTCCCATGCCTTCACTAGAGCGTTGAGAGTTGTGAGTATAGCGTCCATTGATACTCTGTCGATTTTGTCTAGCGCCGTGCAATGCATACGCAGTTCCAGTAGGTTCATTTTTAACACCCTGTGAATATGTTTCTTTGTTAGAATGGTAGAATTGTATAATCATATTTTTTTATATTAATTTAACACATGGAACGCACAGCTTTCCGCGTGCTCGAAGCCCTATAGTGATCGAGAAATAATTGGGTTTTTTTTCCAATACGACTTATGTGGAAACCATCACGATACTCATATTTCCCTTATTTATATGTAATAAATTATACACCAAAACAAAGCTGAGAATAAGGGTCATGATTGATGAATAAGCGTATTTTTGTCTAAAGTAGTATTTTTTAGTAAGCCAATTACAGTAGCAATAGATTTAAACGACGTGAAGTCAGCCATGTCGCTTATGTTCCGACATCAGAGCATATGGCACGTCGGGTGCAAATCTCTTACGTACCGCCGTGTGTGCATAAGAGAATAGGGTAGTTTCCAACAAGTCAAATTCAATACTTTAATCGAAATGTCAAAAACAATAATTTTCTATGAATCTTGTATGAAATAGCACGTTGTGACGTCATAATATTTTAACGTCAAATAGCATACCTATTTCTCTTGCATTAAAAATAAAAATACGAATATCAAGAATAACGTAAAATAATGAATGAAGGTATGATAGGTTTTCAGTATTGTTATAGTTTTATACATTAAAATAATTTATTTTTGACTAAAGAAACAAGCCAATTCATGAGTTAAATTAAAAGATAAGTGAACCAATATTTAACCAAAAAGGAGTGTGTTTAAACCATCTACACAATGATGATCTTAAAATCAAAATATCGTACTGTTGGGCAAAAATAAAGACGCAAAAATGATAAATAAGAATCACAAACACTTACTGAACAACCTCCAATTCAGCAGGATAGGAATCCTCAGTACCACCCATGACATTTCTAGCCAAAAACTGACTAAATTTCATAGACAGAAATCTGTTCAAATACATCTCTCTACCGTTGATATTAGGAATATCATTGGGGAACACCATCAAATCATTTACAACCTCCTTTAATAAAGAACCTTGTTCGATCTTAACTATCAACTCCTTAGTCAAATCATTCAAGGAGGTTATACTAAAAACGAGTTGGGATATGGAACATTGTAGAGGTTTTGCTAAGTCCGGTATTGCTTCAGAATAAGTTTCAATTTTCTTATAAAATGCGTTCACTGAATACAGCCACGAAGAAGTTTCTTTGACGACTTTCTGTGCCGTTTGGAGTACTGTTTTGTTCGTAGAGTTGGTAACTATGATTCCGTAGAGCTCCTTACTCGCGTTAATAAGGTTGGTAGAAACGTCTTGAGTTGTTTTTGAGGATAGAACTGATTTTGTGAAGTGCTTACAGTCCTGTCAATTGAAATAGAAAATATAAAGTACTTTTCGATATACATAATTTAGTTTCTGAAATAATAATTAGGTATATAGAATCCACAGTAAAATATTGCACATTTTAATAGAAAACAAATGTGTGTAAAGGCCTATTTACCAATGTCGGAATAGCCATTAAGTACTAGACAAATTAAAATATAGAACAAATTTTATATGAAATATGTGCCACATAAGTTTATCGGTCTTATATGAAGGATGTGTAAAGGTATGATAAATTAGTGAAAATGGCTGAATCTTACTATCAAAATAAATAGCAAAATAATCTATACTTACATTAGCAAAGCTGTTATAACTCGGCTCTTCAGGTCGGAAAGTATTCCCAAGCTTATACTTGCTAACTTTATCAACAGTTTTTTGTCTAAGCTCCATTATAGTACGGCAATGTGGATGCACCTTTAGCAAACCACTTTCTTTACTTAACCTGCTGTATGTGACTTGGGAAGGTCTATCAACACTGCCAAAATGGTCGATGCTACCAGTCACTATGCCATGGAAGTAATAAACGCTAAGTAAGGCGTCAAACATTTTGATATCTTCGTCTATATATTTGACTTTAAGTCTGTATTTGGCTACACGATCCATTGGAACGATCTCAGATAAAACCTTCGTTATTAACACGCTAGTATGCACAGATAATTGTGTTGTTATCATTTTCATTCTTAATTCATCAGCATTCTTATTTAGAAGTGTTAAAAGCCCATCATAAGCTATGTTAGCTTCGACTAATATGTCGTCGAAATTGGTATGTCTGTACCGAGCTCGAACGTTTTCGGTAACGTTGAAGCGTCGCTCCTCGAACGTTTTCGTTTCGTTCTTAAGATCTAGAGCTGAGTATAAAAAGTTTATGAGCTGCTCGTATTTCTTCATTTCGAATTTGGCATCTGATATCCTAGAAGAGAGAATATAGTAAAGTTAGTTTTGCATGTAGGTATACGTTATAACAAACTATAACGTTTTAACATTGTACAAGTGGAACTATGGATCATTCGTGATCTCAGAGTACACCTCGTGTATCGATAAATCCGATATACTTTGTAGTGAGAATTTTCAATTTTGCGAACACACGATAAATATTCAATTTGCCATTAGCAAATATTCTACTGCGCATTACACCTAGAGCAACACTAAAGCCTCTAGAGGAGCTAATACCCACATTGAATCGCTCTTAGGACATAGCATAATAATTTGCGACAAAGTGCTTTTCGAAAATTTTTTATATGAATAAGTTAAGTCACGTGAGTTGTTATTTTTTTCAATAAAGCTACGTTTATGATCTAACTAGTAGTAGGACAATATAAAAAAAATATACTTACAACTTCAGCGACACCGCAGAATCCAATGTAGCAATATTTTTCCATAGAACATTCAACACAGTACCCAGTTGCATGGAATAGTTAGTTCTATCCTCCATCGACACAGCTTCATACGCCAACAAATGACGTGATTCTGAAAATATTTAGATCAGTAAGAATTGAATGAGAATTTAAAATATCAGCCAACTGACTTGAAGTGTGAGTGCAAGTGAGCAAAGGGCTCGAATCTAAGGATTAAGAAAGGATTGGTTTGTTTAGTTACGCAGTTTGGAATTATGCGCTCCGAGTTTAGCATCAGACTGAATCTCTATTACATAGAACTTGTCTTATTTGAAGAATTCACTGATGTAAAATGGTTGGTCTGCTGGCAGAGCGACCAGTATGGAACAATTATTTGTAAGATTCTCTGTAAGAGTGTGTGTGAATTGTGTATTTATAGACCAAATATGAGAAAATCCTAGTTCGTAGCAACAGTTTCAAACAATTAATTTTAGTGGAAATCAGTACTTAAAGATGCTTTAATTATATAAAAAAATACACATACCTGGATTATCAGCGGAGACGGTAAACTTCTGCAGATAGTACGGAAGCAAAGGGAGATTATTGGACAATCTCTTGCTGTTCACAGGAATTTCTTCTACGACATCATCGGAACTGCTAGGGTCGTATGGGTTTAAGAACGGCGTCGGATAAAAGGCTGGTGAATAGACTGTTGCCTTGTAATACTCGTCCCAGAACTTTATAGGCAGTGAAGATATCCTGAAAGAATTACTTAATGTTAGTTTTAATGTAGCATTACTGGGACGTTATTATAGATAAATCGTTCAAAACTCTTTTCAATTTCTTTAATAATTTAGGGACTTTTATAACGCACAGCGTATGTCAGCCCTATCGTACTTTGAGCCAATAATTTAGCCAGAGCGATCAATGGATCAAGTCCATAAATTCGGACAACTTCCTCGTATCATCTCAAAACTTATTATTTTAGGATGTTATTGTCTCTTATAATAAATGCGGTTTCTTCTAACTAAAAAAATTGGCATAAAACAGCATATTTGATAAAAATATCTTTACAATTTAACACAATCGAAAAGTATCTCACCTTTCACAAAGTACGCTGCCATCATCATTCTGAAGCTTCAACAATACTTCCATTAAATTCAACAGAGCTTGTGGAAATCCTTTAGTTACCTTGCCCAAGGTCACCAAACTGGCTAAAACTGCCGAGGTCTCAATACTGACAGTCACTATGTCTTCGTTCTTTGATATCTCCGTCAAAACGTTTAGGAAATCTCTTTGTAGGATGGTCAGAACCCTTTGAACCACATAGGAGATTATTGGGAGAATTTTCACATGAGGTCCTGGTTTCTGAATCACCTTACTCTCAACTTGTTCAATGTTATTCTGTATTTGTTTAAGCTTGTCACTGTCCGGAACGTCTAAAGCCATTGTCATGTCAGTTACAGCATAGTTATCTACTGACAACCGAAGCAGTTGTTTCGAAATAGGCTGATTTAGGTCCAAAGATATTTTGTTGTAGATCTTAGATCTCTCCATACAAGCGTCGTACTCTGCCTTGTTATCCAACAATTTTGGCTGGCCGTACGATTTGCGGAGTTTCTTGCTTAACTTCGTGTACTCTGTGTTATCTTCTTCGCTAGACATTGCGATTACTGCTGCAGAATCATTAAAGCGCCTGAGCAAATTATCGCGACCTGTCAGTTTCAGTAGCGGGAGCAGCAAATGCTTTTGCAACCACTTACTATGTGCGTATAGAAGTGGAACAATGTCTTCTCTTAACACTTTGCGTCTACTCGCTTCGTTGCTCTCAGTAAAGATCTGCTCGTGAGCTGTCCTAAAGAACCTCTGTCTCCAGTTCAGAAGTTGGAACATGTGACACGCTGTTTCGTCGTCCAAATTACTCCTCGTTATGCCAAGCGAGATGAATTCGTCAATAAGAGCAAGATATCTTTGACAGAACTTCAATATTGGGTATTCGGGAAAGTCGTCTGTCAATTTCCCTTCCATTACAGCGTTGGAATAGTTAGCAACTGTAAATGTACCTTCGGGGGCGGATATTTTCAAATAGTATGTAATAAGATTATTGTATAGTGTAAGTCCTTCCCTGTTCCCCATACGTACCTCCCTATCTTCTAAGCTATACAATTCTGGATAGTACTTTTTGTATGCTTGCAACTCGCCATAAAACTTGTACATTTCAAAGCATATGTCATTTAACGTCTCGACGTATTCTACGTCAGTTCCGCGGCACTGTTTCTTCAAGATATTATTGATGATGCCGTAAGTAGAAGTAAAATACGTAGGATGTACTCTTTGGTACACTGAATACAAGCCAAACATTACGTGTAGGGGTGATTCTACTGTGGAATCTTTGGTTTCTTGCACGGCAATGTAGGCGAGTTGTTTGGCGATTTCAACTGGAGTATTTGTACAGAAACCTTTTACCCTGGTAGTGTGGAATGTATCTGCAGATACGACAGCAGTATCGCTCAGGTTTTCTCCATTCACAGATTCTTCTAAGGCTTTCAACATGGAGTTTTTCATTTCAGCGAGTGAAGCGTTTACGTTGGACGCAAAATCAGAACCGCTTCGTGGTTTGATGTAAACATCGGAGAAACTGCTGACGATGGCAGTGGTGGCTGAAATACCACGGAGCAACTGTTGCCATGTCAGGTGAGCGGCTTGCAATAGATGGGAAATAGTTGGACGATCGAGACCTGAACAAAGGATAAATGATTAATATAAGTTAATTAATATGAAACATGTTACATCGATACGAACACATACATACCTTCAACAAACGACTGCATTAACTCGTGACATTTAATGCACAAGTCATGGTATTTAGTAGGCAGACCACAAGACGACAGTAGAGCCGTCAAATCAAAAAAGTTCTCAGTTTCAGACACATACAAATTCTGCAACTCATCTGGTCTAAGAAGGGATATCTCCACACCTCGGTTTCTCATAGCCCTTGAAATCTCACCATACTTAGGATCCATGGTGAAGAAGACTCGGAAATTGGGATGAGGTTTGATTTCACTTAACTCTCCCCTTTCAGGAATGCTCAGTACACCATTTGGTTCTAGTAAACCGTTCAGTCTATCGAGAACAGCTGCAGAAGTAAGATTGACATTGTCCAGGAGTAACCAGGAACCTTCGATCATGGTTTTCACAAGCAAAGAGTCCACGAACTCGAACTTTCCACCAGCATTTACTGATGACACTTGGGATACTTTGTTTTGGAGTTTCTTTAAACTATTAACGATATCGTGCAGTTTTTTTAGTATTTGTTCCTGATACTCGTTGTTCTGAATTAATTTCTCGCAATGGGCAAGAAGGAATTCGATCTTCTGGTTGAATTTTGCTGTATTGTCCTCAGACACTTCATTACTAGTGTTTTTGTTCAGCTTCTGGTACTCATGAAGCTCGGTTAGTAGGTGATTATTTTTCCATTCAAACGCTCTTTGTAACATCCACATGTTTCGAATCGTTTGTAACGTTAGGGCCTCAATTTTTTCGAACAAGCTCTCCAAATTTCTATTGAAATCCACCTGCTCAAAGCCACCAAGGAGGTCAGAAACATCCATTGCCGATGTCACTGGTATAACTTGCAGCTCATTACCTGTCAAGTCTGCAAGTACTTGCACAATACTGCTTTTTCCTGTGGCTGAAGGTCCAACTAGAATGGTCAACCAATTCATCTTAATACTTTGAGCCACCGCTTTTAGAGTCGGTAGTTGACTTCTAAGAACAAGTAAATTGGTCTCAAAAGATCGACGATTCTTGAACTCCTTTTGTTCATTTCTGTTTAAGGTGACATCACCTATGACCACAGTTGGATGGCTCACATAGAATTGGGGTGTAGGGTCACTTCTCGGGTAATCCGGAAGAAATATTTTATCGTAAGCTTCGATCATTTTTTCCTTATCTTCCTGTGTTCTCATACGATTGACGTAGAGCATATCAACGAATTTCCCAGGAGAGAGAATTTCCCGTTCTTTCTCGTCCAATATGATTGCCTCGCACCACCTCTGGATGTCTCTTAAGTTCATTTCCCAAGGAGCTCCTCTGTGACCCCAGGATTGAACCTCTGTCACTTCATGAGCAACTTTGCAATTAAATTCTACTATTTTGTGTAGAATATCTTTAGGTATAGATGAGTATTGTGACTCCACTATGTATATCAAGTCTTCTTTAGTCAATGTGTCAATATAGACTTGAGTAAATCTGTTCAAGAAGGAAACAGGAAGGCCCCTACGCGCTCCACCTTGCTTCAAAGGATTTTGGCAAGCGAAAAGCCGGGTCTGCTCCTTAACTTTGAAGGTTCTTCCTAATTCTGGAATGAATACTTCACCTCTATGATCCAAGCAAGCATTAAGACCTTCGAGGACGGGTTGTGGGGCCAAATTCAATTCGTCTAGAAGGATCCAGTCGCCATTTTGCAGTGCGCTCAGGAAGGCACCTTCTTTGAACATGAAAGATCCATCTTCTGTTGGAAGGTCAGTTCCGAACAAGTCTGTTATATCCTGTGAATATGAAAATTGATAATTAGGAACACCTTAGTAAAAAAATCAACAACATATTCTTTTTAGAAATACTTACAGTTTGGTCACTCAAATTGATCCGAACAACCTTGTGACCGGAAGATTTTGCAAGAGCGGTAACTAAGCTCGTCTTCCCAACTCCAGGGTTTCCTTCTAGAAGTATGGCTTTATTCAGCTGCAGTCCACGCAACAGTCTCAAAGTATTGGCACCAGTTGTTGGAGCCGTGAACGTGAAATTTTGTTCTACTTCAGTACTTCCTTTACCAACTTCTATATAAAACGGCTTAATCCCAAACTTCTCAGGACCACTCTCTGCTACAAACTTAGTTTGTTTGTTACTTAGCATTTCTCTCAAACTCGCCATGTATTCACTTCCACTTGATTTTATTTGTTGTAATAATAGATTAATAGCATTTTTCCGAAGTAAACCTAGTGTTTCCGAGTCTATATGACCTGTTAGCGCTGTACCGAAACAATCTAAGAATGTCATACAAGCGCCGTGGACATACGCTTCTGGAGTGTCTAAAAGTCCTTTAGCAACTGTTATATTAATGAAATTGACCCACGAGAGCAAATCACGAATACTGAAGGGGAATTTGTTAGTCACTTCAGAATTCTTTAACCAATCAGTGAAGTTAAGGATAGAAGTACCAATTCCTGAGCTACCATCTTCTTGGTTGCCAAGGGATACTCCTTTATGTACGCTTTTCTCAAGAACTTTCAATAAGTCTTCCCTGGATGTGACACTATCACACCATATTTCGGTAAATCGGTTACGAAGAGCGGGTGACAACTCTTTCTTGCCAAAATCACCTCCAGGGTTCATAGTTCCTATAAAGTGGAAGTTCTTACTCGCTGTAATGACAACAATGTCAGAATTATTTTCCATTCCTCTTTCGGCGAGGACTAATTGTCTTTCAGGTTCAAGCAGAGAGTTCATTCTTTCCAAAACGCTGTCGTCAGCCAAAGAAATTTCATCAGCTAAGAACATGTTTCCTGTTTCCATAGCCTTGATCAATGGTCCATCTACCCATTCAAAGAGTCTTCCGTCGTTTTGGTACTGCCGTACGGGACGGAGTCCTCCTAGGAAATCTGAACTTTCTGTGTGCATATGACAATTGACGGACAGTAATTGACGTTTTTTCAGGGCTGCCAGAACCTGGCATATGGTTGTCTTTCCACAACCGGTTTCACCGACCAGCAAAACTGGTTCATCGAAACTGAAGCACTTTGCTATCAAAACTGCAAGTCTTCTCATATTATACGTCCAAACAACGTGTGAGAATTCCTCAAGTTGGTTATTAAGAATAGTCTCCAAGACTGATTTGGTAACAGGAGACGTGGCTGGGTGTAGACTAAAAAGATTGTCAGGATTGACCTTCCTTTTAATATGTTTCTCTATAACTTCCTCAATAATGGATCTCTCGTCAGTCTGACGGACTTTTCCAGCTAAGATAAGGTAGCCCTCATCAGCTATATGTTGGTCCCAGTCGTAAAATTTATCGTCAGTCAACGATTCTTTTGAGGCACACTTGTATCGTTGACCCCATCGGAACAAGTCCCTTAGGGTTATAAACCCATCTTTGCCCTGAACGGCTGCGGAACCACGGCGCCTAATTTGAAGGTCCGCCATAACCGCTATCATTTTCTTACTATACGCTGGAGGAACGTGACATCTTTGGTGTAATATAGTTTCCAACTCATTCTTTGGTATCTCATCGAAGTGTAATTCTACAAATCTGTTTCTAAACGCCCTAGACAACATTTTACGACCTCCGTACAAACCTGGAGGGTTTTGGGTGGCAAATAACATGAAGTTGGGATCAGCTTTTACAACTTGTTGAGTTTCTGGTATGAACAACTCTCTGTTGTCGTCTAAGACTCGATTTAAAGCCTCTAAAACGTCACTCGGGGCTAAATTGAGTTCGTCTAGAATAATCCAGTAACCTTTCCTCATTGCTTCAACTAGGACGCCTTCTTTGAAGACTAATTTACCATTAGAGTCCGTGGCGTAAGACCCTATGTACTCTTGTAGGTCAGTATGTTCGTGATTGTTTATTCTGACGCAATAATTTCCTGATGCTTTAGCTATGTATGTGATGAGAGATGTTTTTCCTACGGAGGTGTCTCCTTGAAGCAATATAGGTAATCTACCAAGGGAGATAATTCGAGCTATATCGCGAAGATTCTTTCTTACTGTTGGAGTAAGGATATATCCTTCTGGGATAGCTATTTCTAATTTACCCTGAGGGATCCAATGACCTTCGAAGAGCAAATAATTTTGACCTTGGACTTGTGGCTCGGGAATGAGTTGATTGGTTACCGTTTTGACATTCTTTTTACCGATGACAGCCCTGGGAAAAAGAAAACAAAAATTGGAATATTGTAAGAATTTTCATATATACTCACAATTAAATATTTACGTACTTGGCAATCATGGCTTCTACTTTGGGGTGTGAGGAGCTGTCCAACTGAGTAAGGAAGGATAGGCAAAATGCTTCGTAAAGAGATCTGGATACCGTTCCACATCTTGCTTTGGCTGCAGCTGTTAGAGCTCTGCATAATGTCCTAAGAGAATAGTGTGGAGTATTTCCTGAAAGAGAAAAGAAAATTGTTAGTATAAGAACTGTTGTGATGTTTTTTTACTATCATTGGAAGAATTTCTAACCTGATCCATCCACGAGACTCAATTTCGCTTCCTTCTTAATACTGGCGTAGAAACTATATATAGCTTCCAAAACCGCTCCGCCAAGGTTCATGTGGTACAAATAGTCACCAATGAGCAACATCAAATCGTTGCGCTCATTCAACTCATCAATAAAGAACTCCGTGAAGCGATTTCTAAGACCAGCGGGCAAGTCCTTTTTACCTACATCAGTAGCAGGGTTCATACAAGCGAACAGAGTGAAGTTAGGGTGCCGTTTAATAGGAACCTTGTCTCCCTTTTCCAACAAATCGATCGTTTCATTTTTATCTTCCAATAACCCAGCTAAGCACTCCAAAATTTCCGCTGAAGCCAAATTGATTTCGTCCAGCAAAACCCAGTGGCCTTCTTGCATCGCTTTGACTAGAGATCCCTCAATAAATGCGAAGGTCAACTTCGACGCTGCTTTAACTTGCTGCTCCAATTTCTGCAGCTTAACCCCAAGAGCGACCCACTCTTTCAGCTTATCTGACTTCTCTATCGTCAACCTCCCAACCGCCGCTTTCTGGCTCTGTTTCATCAATGCCAGTAAAGCGGTCCAATTTTCCGTCTCATAACAAGTTTCGATGTGGCCCAAAAACTTTTTGTTTTTGTCTACATTGTAGTAATTACGAAAGAGCTCCTCAAAATGGAGCCGAATAGGCCGGATTACGTATTTTAGGTCGACGGGTTTGTACCCTCCAAGTAAATCAGCCGAATCTGATTGTTGGTTCATGTTAATGACCACCAGTTTGTTCCCTGTTTGCCTTGCTATGTATTGAACTGACGAAGTTTTGCCAGTTCCTGTCTCACCAACGAGTAGGACAGGTTCATTGGAGGTCACGCAGCAAGCAATTCGCTCCAGCAAGCAAGCAGACTGTCGTGTAAACGAAAACACAGTCTGTTTAGTATCAAAATCTATCGTTTCTAAACTTTTCTCTACTCTTGGCACCTTCGACCTGCCCACTTCTAAGAAATTCGCAGTTAGTGATACATTTGGTTTGTAATGTTTACAATAGAATTCTGATTTTGCTTCTGGTATTCCGAGGCACAGGCCAATTTTCTTGGACAATTCAAGTCTATGCTCAGGCGAGGACACAGAACAAGTGAAAATATCTAAAGCGTCCTGAAGGACTTTGAGTGCTGACTCAGGACTGGACACATCGAAGCCAACTACTGCTCTAGAGCACCACTTCAACAAGTCTCTCGTCGATATCAGTCTTGACCCTCGCATCAGAATTAAATTCTTTTCTTTATCACTATCCACTACTTCAGTAGTTTGAAGGGATGTGTCATGACTGCCTACAGAGAACATCATGAATACTTCGATCATTCTAGAACATATTGTCGTAAGCGCCGGGTACACAACCTGTATTATCTCTGCAAGTTCAGATCGTGATAAAGGTTCAACGTTTATTTGTGTTAAATGCTTTTGAAGCAATGTACTGGAACTGGACATTTTCTTTTGGAACCCATAATTGGTCGTCAATGTTCTAAAACAAAAGACGTGTGATAAAAACTGAAAATGAACTTTAAATCTGTAGTCAAAGAGATTAGTTTGCCATCTTACCGTTGTGTGACGAATAGTTGAAACCCTGGTGTTACTGGCAAAGAATCTCGGTAGCCAGGTACGCATAGTGCGTTTCTTTCTAGCAGGGAACTGAGGGTCGACGCTACATCTAATGCGGCGCAGTCTATGTCCTCTAGAAGGAGCCAGTGTCCGTTTTGTACAGCCTAAAAGAAACAAGGGAACATATAAATCAAATAATTGCCACCATTTCATTGATGCACGATAAGTAATATAAAGCGAAATGAAAATCCTAAATCAACTGTAATTTACACTAGCTGTAGGCACACAACTGTTCAAACAAATCATGAATAACGAGAGACCAATAATTTTCAATAAGTACTTATGTTTAAAAGCAAATAATGGAAATAATTTTCGTTGTTTTTGCACATTTAAAAATGATAGAGAATCGGAATCAAGTTCAATAGTAGGTAAAAACATATTCGCAGCGCAAAAAGTCATTAATTATGTATAATAAAAAAAATAAACAGTTCTACACACATCTGGATTTGATATGACAATAATAAATTTACTGGTAATGTCATGGTGGCCCGGAGGTTAAGGAGCCCGCTTCTCATGCATGAGGGTGTGGGTTCGAAACCTGACAAGTACCAATGTGACTTTTTCCGAGTTGTATGTACTTTCTATGATTATTTAGACACCACTGACATATGGTGAAGGTAAACATCGTGAGGAAACCTGGACTTATAATTTCTAAGTTTGAAATCGCCAACCCGCATTGAGCAAGCGTGGTGATTAATGCTCTAACCTTCTCCCTATGAGAAGAGGCCTTTGCTCAGCAGTGGGCACTTATATGCTGATGATGATGATGATGAAATTTACTGGTAATTGAAATAGCAGAGATAACTCCCAAATGTCACTTACCTCAGTCAAAACACCGGGCCTCCATACAAATTCTCCAGGTATATCAGTACATTGATGTGATCCTAATAACATACGGGAGTCCGTCTGGTCTCCAAGCTGCACCTTCTTGAAGGCCACACCCTTGCGGCCTGTGATAGCAGCCAAATGTTCCACGAGGGAAGTCTTTCCGGATCCTACTGGACCCATAAGACTAAGGGCTTGGCCTATGAAGGAGGATTATTATATTAACTTTTTTAATTTATACTAATATCATAAAGGTAATATAGTAATATTTGTAAGTTTGTATGTTTGTATGTTTGTAAGTTTGTATGTTTGTAAGTTTGTATGTATGGGGTAATATTTGGATTTGCTGGTCGGATTTCCAAATCTCTTTCAGTGATAGATAACAACAGTGTTCCTGAGTGCTATAGGTTATATAAAATCACGCTACGATCAAATGGAGTTGAGCAGAGGGTGAAACCGCGCGAGAGTAGCTAGTAAAAATTATATGAATAGTGATAAAAGAAAATTGTTGACTACTTGACATTGACACAACAACACAACAATAGAACTATTAAGTTAATAAAATCTACAAACTTGTCAACTATTAATAAATAACATTGTATTTCCTCTTACCTGAAGCAACAGCCAAAGCCAAGCTCCTGAGATTATTGACTGTAGACTTCACAGGAACTAAATTTCCTTTTTGGACATTATCCTTTTCAAAAATTGGTAACAGTATGCCATCAATATTAACGACATTGGGGCTTAGATCATCTTTAACTATCTCATCCATAGTATGAACGGGATCCATTATACCTTTCTCTAAAATTTCATGACATTCATAATCTTGTACTAACATTTTGACTGAAAATACCATTTGCTGTGTGTCCGTCATGTTTGATAAGATGGCCATGCATTCCCGTATCATCCTGTTGGTTTCAAGAAATAGTACACAACTTAATAAACATTACTTAATACACATTTAAAACGACTCACACAACTTGCTTTACGTTAACGCGATCTTAAAGTTACCGTCTAGCTCTCTGATTAACTTAACCTAGAGCAAACCAATCAGAATGCAGAACGTCACAAACATGTCGATCGCATTAAAGTAAAGCAAAGTCGCACAAGGCAAGAATGGGATTTAAACAATTAATTTAATACAATTTCTGTTAATCCAAACAATATCTAAGGAAAAATACACAATCTTTCTTCTTTCTTTATTTATTTTTAAAACGTTGCCCCACACTAGGTTTGTCTCCTGTCCGGAAAAAACAATTGTGGATCACACAAAGTGTTGTTCCGTGCGGGAATCGAGCCCGCAACACGTCGCACGGCAGCCAGTTGCCCAGCCACCGCACCATCCATGCAGTCAAAACAAACAATTTAGAATGATGTGTTTAACTTTTATCTGCCATTAACAAAATCAAGCTTGATTAATCAATCAAGCTGTTAGTGGCAGAAAACAAAATCAAATAAATTGATGATGATTTTCAAATAGAAAAACAACTTACCATCGCACATCCGCCCGTCCATGATTTCCATACGTCCCAATAAACTTGGTCCAATCCCATTTTACGGACATTTCATTTGGTAATTTTTTAAGCAATGTATAGCAGCATATAACGACTTGTTTTTCGGCAATTTTTTGCCCGCAGTCAAGCAATCTCCGCTTTTTGGGTGCCACATTGTATGAGTCCTCATGATGGCAAAACACTTCGAATGGTGCTACTGGATTGACTTCAAAATATTTTAATGCATATCTAAAATAAAGGAATATGATAAGATTTTATTTTTTTATTTTATTTTATTTTCGTTAAACAGTTAAACAAAATGTTCACAAGATTAATATGATTCCAGTTAAAGAGGTTTTTTGTATTCAATTTAGTTACCAAAGCCAGCATGAAAACAAAAATAGTTATTGATTTCTGATATCTACCACCCGAAATGTAAATTTTTAATCAACAACAGGCTCGCCTTCATTCATATTGAGGTTAATAAGATAACATAACAAATCTGAATTCTGAATCTTTAATGAATGGTTTTAATATTAATATTAAGTTTCCTTTTTTTATATTGCGCAGTAATTGCATTTGTGACCAAGTAAAAATTCTTGGATGGCAATTATTAAATTTATTTAAATAAAATGTTTGGCAATTAGATTATTCTTAAATTTCTCAGTTAAAGAAAAGACTGGAAATTGAGCCAAGTACAGAATAATGGGATAAGCCCCCATTACATAGGTGTAGTTAACTGATGGAAAATGGATGTAACATTGTGTAGGTATGTGATGTTCATCTATAAGCTCTTGTGGGCAAAAAATATCTACAATCTTTGCTAACTAAGGGTAGCTTATATGTTGTTCAAGTTCGCAGTGCCAAGATTTCACATAAAAGACTAAGAAATATAAATCCATACTTAAAAATTAATAACAAATACAATAAATAAAGAACATTTTATAACTTACTGTAGAATGTCAGGATGATCACTCAATGCAGCTAGTATTATTGAATATTCTAAGTGACAATTTTTTTCCGAGTCACTACATGTTTCATAATTGATATTAGAAAATACAGGTTTGAGTGGTATCTTAGCAGATACCAACGCAAGAAGTATACTAGATAAGTATTTCTGGAATAGCTTTGCATCTTCGATTTTAAGAATAAATTCAGATAATTTTGTCACAGCATTTTTAATATCAAAAGTGTTGGAACTTATTGATTCCTGGAAAAAAAACAACTCAATTTGAATAAAATTAGGTTACAAAAAGAAACAGAATGTTGACATTAACAAAGATTGTATTGTATGTAAAAAGGTTTGTTTAAAAGGTAAATTTCGAATACCGGAGCATTTCATTACATAAGGAAAATGAATAATTAGCATAATTAGGAAGCACATGTTCTTAGACTATTGAAATGACATTGAGTACAGGTTTATTAAAAAGTGTTACCGAAACTGCATCACAGATCATAAACACATTATTCAAACAAAGAATTTACACCTACATGGTATCAAGGCTATTTTATTATGTCATCGCTTTTTAAATATACAGACGCTTGTCATAAAATACACAAAGGAAGTACTATACAGTAAGAAAAGACTTTTGATCAGTTTTTTTTAGCAATATTATGTAGCATAACTGCTAATCGGTGTAATCCTAAACATTATTAATATTTTAATATGATATAGTAGGAAAAGTTAATATTAAGTGGTATTAAGAAGATTCAGAATTATTTCACTATGACCAGGTTTGGTTGTAAAAGTGAGCAATGTACAAATTCAAGGGCAATTAGAAAAAAAAATACAAAATTGCAAAATTTATTCCTTATTTAAAAATGATTTTGAAACTTTTGTTTATGGGAATCCTTTTTAACTGATTTATTAATACTCCATAAGGGATGAGACATTTTATAAAATTAGGCAATAATTTGTACATGTTTATTTTTTTATCATAGAAAGATTAGGTGTCTATAGCCTGTCAAGAGCTATACATATATGTATATTGAAAGGTGGCCACACCCTCGACCCTGAGGGGCCTTTGTCTCAACATGTTCAAAGTAAATATGTATGATACCTTTTTGGAATTTACAGTGTGGTGAAAAAAGTAAATTCCTTAAAAAATATTATTTTTTTATATTATTCAAGCATGTTTTAAGTAAGTTTTAGATATACAATTAGGTACATATATTTTCTACATAAGTTTTAACATACTAAAGCAATAAAACTGTTGTAAAAACAATTATTTCAGTACTAACCTGAAGTTCCTCGCACAATTTTGTTAATTCTGGGGTTTTAGTTTCAGCGCCTACCGCTTTGAGTGCCATCAACATATTGCACACCGACATTTTATCATTCCGGTAAACAAAAAATAAAAGGTTTAAGACAAATATTTGCCTAAATCAAAATAAAAACGATTACCGGCCGCGTGTTTTGCATTTACAAAGCAAAGCAACACGTGAATTTAATGTCCATTTTAGCTGTCATGATGACAGTGACAGTCATATGTATTGATTTTGATTTATTGATTTTTCAGTAACTTTTTAAAGTACTTCGCTCCTTAGCTGAAGCTATGGCATTTCAGCAGACAAAAATTAACTGCTCTTTACATATTTTTTTCCCAAAAAACAAGAACATGTGAAAGTATGAAAAGCATGAGCAAGTAACTTTAGTCCGTACTGGAGGCATTCAATGATAGTAACTGTAGACAATGATAATAGAAATGGCCTTGTCATTTCTATTTTCTTATCGTCGACTTCGATCACAGAGACCTTTTAATTCCCTCGCCAATATCAATTCGTATTCTAGTTATTTGTAACTAAATAAGCTAGGTATAAATTAAATTTTAGTTTGTAAACAATTTCACTTATGTCATCACCAAATGTTGATATGGATGTAAATACCACACATTAATGGTTTTGGTTTTAGGCTACAAAATACTATCTAGGCACTAATCAAAATTTATCCAGACTGGCTATGACTAGTCTGGATAAATTTTGATTTCACTAGCGCCCAGTTAGATGAACTGACGACATCATCGAACTCAGCAGCGTGCAATAGGAGGTGTTTATGTGGAAATAATCAGGCTGATGATGATGATGCTGATATGTGGGTCTTCTCAATATAATCATTCAGTTTTGTCCACATAAAGTTTTCTTTTATTTTTTCCGGAGGATTTTTTCCCTTTTAATTGTTGTATTTTACGTGAAGTTCTTGTGTCGATCTTCTTGTGTATTTTGCCAATCTAATAGGTAGACATAATCTATTTCTATGTTTAATTTGCTAATAAGGTATGTCTTTCAGGCATCTTACCCAATAAATGCAAGGTTTTCTCATAATGTTATACACCTGAGCATTAGGTAAGTAGAATGATGTAGTTAAGTTGGGAGGTAAAAGCTTACCAAAAGGCCAGCGCAGTTTTATCGGAGGCAATGGACTGCGGTTGAGCTGACCCATTCGTACAGGAGCTAAGTTTTTCCATTCTCAAGTAAGCCCACTAGTACTAGGAGTACAAGCGCAAGCGCATAAGTCAACAACGCCTGAATCAATTATTAAGGTAATTCTAATTTTTAATTGCAATTTTTGTTGGGTTTGTTTTGGGCAGAGGTAGTTTTTGTAAAGAAACATTCTATTAAAGTAGAGGGGTATGTAATTCAGAAATAGACCCACGTGCGACACAGAGCAGGCTGCAAGTTGAAACTTAAACTTTACTCTTAGCTTAAACTGCACGTAATCCATAGACTGTTAGATTTAAAGAAAAATGAGATTGTCAAATTGCTAACCAGCTGTCAGTGTAAAGAAATTGAGCGGGATTATTTTTGCAAAACTACAAACACGGACTTGTTATTGAAAATAAATGCTTTAATTAATTAATTTCATTAAATGAAGTCATAGAATCAAACATGGACAATTCCCAAAGCTCTGACTTTTTATCTGAAAGCACTGATATATTTTGTAATAGTCCTGAAGATTGTGTAATTGTATCCTTTTACAAGTTTTAAACTACGTAAACAAAACTTCACTCCAAAAACTTTCATGTTTTTCAAGTTTATTTACTTAACTCAAACATCAGGTGGACACGGCAAGTTATGAAGCTTTGGTTTTACAAACAAAATCGGCATTTTCCAGTAGTAAAACTGAAATAAAGAAATCAACTTTTTCTGTTTACTTTTCGAAACTTATTGATGACTGCAGTACTTGTGTTTCTCAGGTTTGTCAATAACAACAACTATATTGTAGTATTTTAATCGAACCTATTGTGTAAAATAACATTCACAGATTTAGTTTCGCTGATATTTTAACATAACAAATGTTTTCTAGGTAATAATAAACTATAATAATTTATTTCACAGAGTTTGGACCTCATCACACAACTCTTAGCCAACACAAATATAAAACAGAATCAATTAAAGGAGTATATGAATGATGCAGTCTGTCTCCTACAACTGCTGTCAGATCTTATAAAGCAGGTCATTGAGACTATGTCCATGTCATGCTGTGCTATGAAAAGTTTCCCCACTGCTACTGGTCGCATAATTTTATTGGTTTTCACACATTGTAGGGATAGGTAAGACAGAATTTTCTTTTCTTGTGAGCATGGTAGTTGATGACGAGGTTCTTTCCTTGTGTAAGTGTGATCTTAAAGACAGGTAAAGAATTCCTCAACATGAATAACATACTTGACAACTGTGCAACTACCCAATTCAATAAAAAATTGTATGTCTAAATAAGTAGGTAAGTATTTAATGGAAGTATTCCAGAGGTAGATGTTGCTCATTTTTGTCTGAGAGAACATCATATTTGTGAAGACAACTTTTAGGAAACATATTAATTTTTTCATTAACTACATAATGCCATAACATTGTATTAACATATTTTCAGTGAATCCATCTATGGCAGTCAGTTAAACTGTGTAGAAAAACAATTGAAGGATTTATTCAGAACTTGCCATGAACTACAGCTGACATATTTAATGGTTTTTGAGAAACATTTCATATTTGATTTAACTGAAAGAGAAGAAAGACAAATACTTATTGAAGGTTTGTAGCATTATTATTAAAAGAAGTGTTTTTGTGGGAAAAGAAAGGTATGCATGGAATGCTAAAAAACATTGAAAAAATACAATAATTGCATAGTAGTCATAATACATTACATGTAAGTGCATGAATGTTCATTTTAGGGCTAGGGGTAATTTTAGTTAACTTAGTGATTCCCATGAATCTTGTCACTGAAAGACAAGCAAATAGATTTTTTGTACATTACCAATTAAAATTAAAAACACAAATATCTAAGAAACTAAATGTGAAATCCTTAATAAAGACTTCTTTTAAAATACTTACAAAAATATTTTTACTTTCAGCATTAGACATCAACCTGAAGATAGGTGAAATAGTTGAGAGTCTTGATGTGAAGACTATGGCAGAACAGTGGAAGGCATACACTGTGATATGTGACAAATATTCCAACTGTTTGATGGATAAGAAGATCTATAGTAATTGCAGCAAGATACTAACTGCAATGGTAGCTAATAATATGAAAATAGCCTTGGAGGTAAGTTTCATCATAGAAGGGCTGTCCTGTATGTATGAGTCCATGAAGATAAAAGTTGTGATTCTAGGTTTTTCAGAAAATATGAAAAGTCTCATTAATTAGATTAGCCAAACTAGGAATATCTTGGTCAGACAATTTGTGGAGGCATATAAAAACACTCATAAATTTAGTTTTCATATTTTTCCTAAAGTTGAAAAATAAAACCACTATAATAGTTGTCTGAGAGAGAAAATACCTAAGGCATTTTATTAACCCGTATATACATATGTTTGTCTTTAAATAAAAATACTATACAAATCCTTTTTTTGTATTTCAGGAAAATCAAGAAGAAAAGGTAGTGATACGGTCCCTGAAAGTAAGCAGTTTCATGCTAAAGATACTGTTGAGAGTGTGCAATACTTTCAGGCATGCAGTTATGAAGGATTATTCACCTATTGTTGAACTTTTGCTATATATTCACATGTAAGTAACTCCTATTTGTCTCTCTAAATTGTCAGTATTCTCCAAAGAAGGCTATGGGTGAGATTTTTGAGGGTGGTAAATCATTGTCTAGTAATTTCTCCCGCCCTGTTTGGGAGAGAGAGAGAGTCATACACTTACTGACTAAAAATCACCCTGTTCTGACTCCTTCTCCGAACCACACGGCTTTACATTATTGGGGGCATCAGTCCTTATGGTGGTTAAATGGATCTGTGGCGACTCGCATAGATTGACAACAGTACACAACAGATGGCGTAACAAATCCTCCATCCGCCATCCGCCATCCGAAGTGTTCGCGCTAATAAAATCCCAACGATAACAACTGTTGGGCAGTAGCCCGCCAGATACAAGACCTCGTCTGGTCAGAAGATCTTCCTTTTCCGTTCTTACTCTCTTTTCTCTTAAAGATCTTTGATCAGATACAACTTCTTCTTCTTCTCTGGTAGTTTCACGCCGGTCTTCTATGAGGCAGTGGTATCACTCCGGTCGGGCCAACCGATTCGTGTCGCATCGTAGATCTTCCACACTTTAAAAACGGAAGAAGTTTTTCGATGAGCCGAAAGATGTTATTTGCAAAACCGAAAATACCTTAATAACATAATTTAAATAATCTATTAAATGTTACAATGTTTATAAAATATTATCTAGAACCAGTTTACCTATCCTGACTCATTAGATAGCAGAATATCGTAAACAAAATGCTAATTTCCTTTTTTCAGGAACAATGAGGCTTATCTGCAAACAATGCGTGGGAAATCTGTGCAGTTTGTTACTCTAGTCAACAATAACGTGACTACTCCAGCGCAGCTACTGCTAGCTGAATTGATAATGGATGACAAATTATTGCAAGTATGTATGTAGATATTTAGCTACGTTAGTCTGGCCGAATTATCTGATGGTAAGCAATCGGCCTAGTACACGGCAACACCAGAGGAGTTACAAGTGCGTTGCCGGGCGTTTGGAGTTTAGGGATTGAGGAATGATGGGGGGAGAGGGGGTGGATTGGGCCTGCGGTATCTTACGGCGTAACACCGCGTTTTCTGTTAGTCCTGTCCGAAAACCATCAAATGACTCTCGCACAGATTGTGGCGAGAGAGTGTCAAACTCTTACTGACTTAAAAGTTAAAACTATCCCGTTCCTTTTCCTACCCCATAAAGTGGGCGCGACGCGGTAAAGATTTAAATTTTATAAAAAATATCGTCATCGACACTGATATATATTGACTGCACCGTTGGCGAGGTGGCTGGGCAACTGCCTGCCGCGTAACGTGTCGCGGGTTCGATTCCCTCAAGGAACAACTCTTTGTGTGATCCACAAATTGTTGTTCCGGGTCTGGGTGAGATGTGTATGTGGAATTCTATGTTTTTAAACGCACCCACGACACAGGAGAAAATTCTAGTGTGGGGCAACGTTAAAAAAAAAAACTGTTTTCTACACACTATAATAAAAACAAAACGAGTTCAAGATAGAATACAAAAAACTGTCTTCCGATTAATGATTACTTGTGAAGCAAATTCACACATTTATAAACAGTTATTGTGTTGTCATTTAACACTTGACAATGTCTATTTAACATGTTTACAAGTTCCGTTTTGAATGACCTTCGGTACTTAATAGTATAGATTAACGCATTCACATCTCCTCTGGTGTTTCAAGTGTCCATGGGTGATACTGATTGCTTTCCACGAGATGAGCAGTCTATCCGTTTGACGCCCTATCACATAAAAAAATTTTATTTGCTACCAGTAATGATATGAATGTAATGTGGTGGCCCGGACGTTAAGGCGTCCGCTTTCTTAGCAAGAGGTTTGAAAGCTGGCAAGTTCTAAGTCCTTAAGATGCACTGACAATTGAAAAAGAGTAACCATGGAGTTTCTTGCTCGTTCTTCTCCATAGGAATCTACACTTTAGAACGAGCAAATAGTTTCACTAGAGGACAGACGGACAGACTGATACTCATAAAGTTAAAGAATTTGTTTTTTTGCTCAACGTTCTCAACACACATTTGAACGTAAAGCGAAAAAAAAAGATTTGGAAAATGCCTGGAAAAAAAGGAAATCTAACTTCGCACTTATTGCTGTCGTCAAGGAGGTCATTGCGTCCCAGTATGAATAAATCTAATTATATTTTCAGGCAATCTATAACTACAATGTCAATGAAATAAGAAAAGATGATAAGCTACTTGGCCTCATACTTTTAACATTGTCAGTAATGAAGATAGTGGTCCAAAAAAGTGGAGACCAGACCCTTCAAGTTCCAAAACATAAGCTGGTTAATCTTGTCTACAATTTTTTACCTTATTGTAAGTAAATGTTTTTGACTTAGATATATCTAAACTGTTACAAACCATTGCATATTTCTACACCGGTATCGGTTGCTATATAATATAAGATCTGTGTGCACCATGTACTAAGAAATAAATGATATTCTTCTTTATCTAATAGTTAGGTGTGTGGTTGCAACATTGTAAAATACATTATCTTTATTTTAAGTGGGTAAATCATCAATTATATTATATCCGACCTGGTTGATGTGAAAGGCAGTGTAAGATTTTTACTGACTTAAATCATTCTGTCCAACTCATGCTTTTTATAATTATGTTGTATATACTCCTGATGTATGTTACTCTTTCAAACTGAATGAAATTTGCCATAGAAATAGATTATAGTCTAGAATAACACGTAGGCTACTTTTTACTTAGTCAAATTCAATACTTTCATCCAAATGTCAAAAACGATACTTTTCTATGAAATTTGTATGAAACACTGAGGTATATCGTCAGAGTATTCCTGCGTCATGGTTTACTTAAATCTTAAAAATTTGCTAATACGTATCTAAAATTAGTTTTAGATATTTTTTTGCTAATTTTAATTAGTGTAGTGTATCGATCGATCAATGAATAAAAGTATAGTCATTTTTTCAGTATCTTATTGATATGAAACGTTGAATTAATTTATTTTTGAACTAGGAAACTAGCCAATTGATTTTAGTTTTACGAACTTCCTACGCCACTTATTACTACTTACTCCTTCCTTTGTGCTTAGAGAGAGTTCTATTTACTTGCACGCAATCAAACGTGGTAAACGTTTAGTTCTCTGATTGGTTGGTTAAATTGAAGCAGGGCCAATCAGAGCGCCGAACGAAATAAACGCGTCGATCGGTAAAACAAACTTACACTTTGCTTGCTTGCTGCTGCATTAGAATTTCGAAATGGAAATTATCAAAATTGCTTTCACTAAACAGTCATAATAGTTTTATATTTATACCTAAAAGTGCAGGCAGAGGTATTGAATTTAAATTTTAAACAATGAAGAAGTTTAAATCAACTTTATTTGCAATAGCTACAAGGTTTAGTTTTCAATGCTCAGTATTTGATAGTAACATTATTGTTTTAGTTTTCATTGGTCCTTGCACATTTTATATAAAATCGTGCATCATTACTTACATTTTTAATATGTTGGTGACAAATTAATTAATTTATTGAAAACATTTCCTAATGACGGTTGCACATTCATTCCTTTTATGCATATAGTTAAACAAAATGGATCTTTATTGCGATTTTTTTCAATAAATTCTTTCAATTTCCAATACACAGAAAAACTTTCATATAGGTAACGAGTTTATGAAATTTATTTATAACCCAACATCTAAATTTAGAGGTAGGAATATTTTCGTATTTAAGTGCTAAAAATCCATATTTTCAGGTCATATCTGGTTCAATATTGGACTTAAGTTCAAATGTGAGAAGGCAAGTCGTCACATTCAAACATACGGCTTATATGAACACTTACTTACGCATATGGTTGCATTAGCCGCTACCATGAACAATGAAGAAATTAATTTATTGGAAAAGAGAATGCTTGAAGCTCTGCTTAGCACTGAAAGTTACAGTGCTATGTTTTCTGCTAATCTATGGGCGCTGTTGGCCAGGTAAGTCCTTTTTTTGAGTCTTAACTCAAAGTAGAGGGCGTTGTAATCAGAAATAAGCTTGTTGACATGATTAAAATTTGAAGAAGGGTTAAGTTATGTTTATATGAGTATTTCAATTGTTTTTCTTTATATTTGAGATTCTGGGTTTGAAAATAATGTATTGTGATTTGTGTACCTATGTTGTTTATTTAAAATATTAATTTAGTATTTTGATTCATTTTATTTTAAATTACTTAGGGCCTGATTCACAATATCTGGATAGCCTCTATGTTTTTTTTGAGGAGAGAGAATCCAATGACTGCATGATAATGCAATGCCCTGGTTGGGAGGAGAGGAAGTGTCAGACTCTTATTTCATAAATTAAATAACACCCGTTACTCGCGGTACATTGTTGCACTTTCACTCATGCCTCCATGTTTTCCCGATAAATTTGAATATAGAGCGTAATTCGAATTTAAATTGACAATGTGAGAAGTTAATCGGGAATTTATATGACGGCGGTCAAACACGCACTAAATTTTTACCCACTGTTTCAGGATGACAAGCAGACAATACCTATTAACACAAGTAACAACATTATGCAAAATCTATCAAAAGTTAGAAAATAATCGTCAATTTGTAGATTCGCCACAAAAAGTCCACTTGACTCATACATTGACGAGGTTATTTGAAACGATGCATAATGAAGATAAAATTAAAGTGTATCACATGTTCCCTATAAAGGAAGATAGGAATATAAGTTTGTGGGTCTGTCTCAAACTGAATAATTTGTCCAGTGATACGCAAATGGATAGTGAAATGGTTGTCATGGAGAAATTACAAATGGAAATGCAAAGGCTTGCTAGTCATGAATATTGTTCAAGTATTTACGAATTGGTAAGTTCAATTTTTAAAATACTACCTTTTACCTGACGGTAAGCTACATCAGAGAAGTAACAAGTTTGGGGTTCTTACAACCCCTTTGTAAGGGTGATTTGGGGATTGAAGGTAAGTAAAATATTCTTGAGCATAAAGAGATCAGCAGATGCAACCGAAAATTCGATATTCCATCGATCAAAATTAACTCATACGGCGAATTACAATGCAAACGATATTTCACGCCAGTTTTATCATGTTATCACTCCGGTCGAGCCAGCCCATTCGCATCGATGCATATCTCTCCTATATGATTTTTGTAACTTATATGTATAGTATAGAAATAATTATCTGTTATCTGGTTTCTGTCGTCCTTTGCATGTTATAATATGTAGTGTCTTAACTGCGGTGGCGTGACTGGGTCTGCGAGCGAAGTGTTCTGATGTTAGGTATAGCGTCCTGTATAGCCGACACGAACATACCATTATCTATTTACGTTCACGTTGTATGCGCTGTGTCTTTTATGTTATATTTTGGTATCCTTGGATAATATAATTGTACTGAAATTACTGTTCTGTTACTCTTTTACAAGTTGAGTACAGAATAAGAGTTCTTTCTTGTGGTTTGTTTACTACTTATCTGAATGAAAACATCGTGAGGAATCCTGGACTTATAATTTCTAATTATAAGTTTGTCATTACAAATTGACTTTGAGCAATGGTAGTGATTAATGCTCAAAGCTTCTCAGTGTGAAAAGAGGCATTTGGAAATCTGATTCTGAAACCTCTTTCTCAATGGGGTGTGGGAGGGTTTAAATACCTCACACCCAACACCACGTACACAACACGGAAGACAACGTACTTGCGAATACTCTGGTGTTGCTTACCATCAGGTGATCAGTATGCTCGTCTCCCAACCTATCCCATGAACAAAACTTATTAAAATCAGTAACCAGTAACAATCCACTGTTGAACTACAAGCCTACTTGATATATGAGGAGTTTGCTATAATCAATACATTTGATACGCGGGTTTTTTTTGTGAGGGTAAAATCATCAGACTCTTACTGACTAAAAAAACACCCTGTTCCTTCTCCTGCTCTATGCCGACGACGTCGCGGTGCTTCATTGTGCTTACTCCGCAACCCCGGCTGAACATCAGCCCTATAGGGCCCTGTCTGTGGTGGTGTATTGGCTCTTTTAGGCGCGCTTGGATCGCTACGCTCGGGTCTGGTTCTGGTCAGGCGGCGAGCTACCCTTACTCGCCGTCTGCAGACCCGGAGATACGGGGTTGAGATCGTGATAATGACAGGTCCTGGTTTATAAAACAGACCAAAAATTGAAATGTTTTAATCAGCTGTTCCCCACGTAATGAAGACGGGTGGAAACTCATGTATCCAACTCTCTGTAACTATCTGATAAGACGCATTTGCTAGATAGTTGAAATTTCTACTTGACTCCTAAGTCAATGACATAGAGTTCATTATTCGACAGACTAATAAAAAGAGATTACATAATCTTGATTATGGCATTTTACTGATGACGCTATATTTTAAGCTTTATAGTTTTAATACAATAGTCAATTTATCATTATTACAATTTAACAATAAAAATAATAATTTGGAAATTTAACGTTGACATAACAATTGATAATAATGGGGATTCCCACTAAGAAACAGCGCGTCTAATTCTAATTGAACTAAAATATTTTTATCTTTAATCATATTTGAGATAAAATTAAAATGTAAAACATTATTTAGCCGCGATGGTCTAGTGATTTCATGATAAAAGTTTTATTTTTGTTTCCAAAATTATTAGCCGGATCCATTTACTTCATTTTACTGTAGGTATTACCAGAAAATCCATTCTTGCCTAATAAAAATAACACCCATTTTATCCTCCCTTTCAGATAAAGTTGATGCGCATAGCAAGTACATGTACGATTATAAGCAGAGAAAATGACATGGAAAGCATTTTACTGCAGTTATGGAGCAAAGCATGTCCGAAGAACATTTCAGACATAGTCATAAATATTGAAAATACAACTTTATGGTATTTTAAATACATAGAAGCACTGATAGCATTCACTAATTCCATGGAACATGTATTTCATAGTAGCAACAACTTAATAAAGGTAAGTTTTTAAACTAATTTAGTCACGTAAAATACTTAATAACAGCAACAAACAATAAATTTTACGATTTGTAGAATTGAAAGAAATGGTAATATTCTATTGTAGGTTCGACACTTAAACATGTCGCGTGAAGGACGGTGTCATTTGTAACCGTTTTTCATTGTAAAAGTCATATTTTTAAAATATACACTATTTTGACGTGGTACATTGGACTAAAGTCCACTAAGTCTTGTCTGAACATGTTTGTTTATTGATGGGAAAATACATTTTCTTATATTGTTTTATTTTTTTCAATAATTACTTTACAAAGGCTCTCCGTTTGTTTACGTTTTTGTCTACAATATTGAAGTATAATAGCTTAAAGTGTTTGGCAATTAGATAAGTACATGACGAAGGTCTTACATTTTGTCCGGACAAACCTTGTACTGAATTTGTATCAACAGAACAGATTAGTAACGGCCCTTTGTAACTATTTCATACATTTTTCAAAACAAACACTTCAAATAATTTATTTTACGTTTTTAGGTTCTGCACACAATATCTAGCATTGTTCAATCAGGGTGTAAAGAATTGAAACTGCTATTGATTAATATTCTATGCAAATTAGCTAATTTCGAAGCGCACGACATGAATAAAACTGCCGTAGATTCATTACTTACACGAGCATTTATTGATTTATTGCAAGAGACTGATGTTATTGTGAAGAATAAATTATTCAATATGATGAGGATACATAGGAGTGTAAGATTGGATCAAATAGTTTGTAAGGTAGTCAAAGAAGATAATTTATTGAGAGAAACTTGGAGCTGCTTTGTAAGACGAGGGAGGATAAAGAATGAAGACATTAATACGAAGGAACATTTACTATTAACGATGGATTATAAATACTCCCACAAGTGTATTGAAGACTCTAATTTGAGGGATTCCGGCTCCGTGAAAATGCAGAAGTCGTTAAGCAATAATTTCGATCTTGTTGATATGGACTCGCTGTTTGACGCCGAAAGCGACACAGAGCCCGCGTGCAAAAAAGCAAAACTAAACACCAATGAAGTGGAACAAATTATTTGCAGGCTGGAAACAGACGCATCTCTGCTTTGTAAGATAAAAGAGAACATTTTCACTAATGAGTACTTGAATAGAATTAAAAATGTATGCAACAAGTTAAACAATATACTGGAGTGATGAGCTCATCTTTTGTTTTATTATGCTGAAACGAAATAAAACAAAAAGTATTTCACATTTATATTTATTGTTGTGTTAAAAAAAATCTTTACAAATAAGTGAAATATAGTAATCATTATAATAACCGTACTTAAAACCAGTATTGCGGTTACACTGTCACATAAGATCTTTTCTATAAGTGTAGTTCAATCGGGATAATATGATGGAGTTTATAGTTATAACAGTGTCGCAATACTGGCACACGAGAATAAACTAAAATAGATTTAATTGATACTCGGAGGTAATAAGACCTTAGCTCACATGTCAAACAGTATCAACTATCATCAGTCGCACTTGAAATTTATGACTTCACCCTAAATCGCCGCTACACTTACACCTTGGTACAGTTGTACAATACCGTAAACCGAAGTATAAATGTCATGTAACACAGCAACAGTTAGTAAATAAATTCTAGTTAAATATTTATATCTAACGTACATCATTCACATAGCTTAACCCTATTCGTTCTATTGATCTCTTCATAATTGTGATGGCGAAATTTATAAGAAAATACTTAAAATTGGCTAACTAATAAAATTAAAATTATTGAATACATTGATAATATTGCCGTAACATGTACATACATAAAGGGAAACGAGTAGCGGACGTAGCCATTTCAATAAAGCATAAAGCCTAAAGCATATCATACAGCTAAAACTTAAAGTATTACGAAGAAATAAATTATAGAAATAATACACGAGAGTAAACAATTATAATGTTGGAATTAATTAATTATGTGAAATAAGAACGTACGACATGTTATATTAATACTTGGCGGACACATTTCCGAAGCCTTGACAGTGAACACTGCAATTAAACAATTTTTATCCAAAATTTAATTCAATTTATTGATTCTAGATAATCGTGCTCTATCCACAGTGCAGTGAGATAATGTCTGCTAACGAGTGACACGAGAGTTTGACAGAGGTTTACAAGAGTTCACTACATTAGAAAATGATTACGACAAACAAAATGACAAGAAAAGAACGAGGTCAGTCTCGCACAATAAGGAGGCGGTCACTCGTCACAGACCATACAATATTTTGTGACGTACAAATGCAAATATTTCAGGCACCTTACAAATACGTTTACGAATGTATATTTGTGCGATATATCAAGTAGTTGTATTCAATATTTTGTCGTGATATAAACAATATCATCATTGTAACGCCTAACTTTGTTTTTGTCGATTTCGGTAATATTGCCTTGATCCAATTGGAATGATCGAGTCAGTGGACCGTTGAGTATGAGGCACACTGCAATACCATAATACCAACATTCTTAATATCACTTATTACCATTACAACCAATACTAAACTGGAACTATTTACAAGTTAAAATTGTGGAAAGTTCAATATACAAGACAACAAAACATTGTTGTACTGTTCATGGTATTAGTAATTCATTATCAAATTAAATTAATGTTTCAAGCTTACATCGACAGTTTGTTTAAATGTTCTGAGGATGTAAGTTTACAATAAAATCTTTCGTAGCATACAAATACAAGCACCGGGTCTGAAAACAATAAATATTGCACATAACTGTGACATTTTCAATAAAAATGTGCAGTTTTTAACGAATGAGAATATTTACGTCCGACATTCAGTAATATAATTGAAAATATCTAGTATATACTAAGTTAGACTAATAAGTTAGGATACAAAACTTACACATTCAAAAATACTTATTTACTTAGGCCAATTATATCTTAGCTTTAAAGTAAATGATTAAATACGTTCTTAGTTTGTGTCGATACAATTTAGATTACATGTGGCCACTTTCAACTTAAACTAAAAGTCTTGGCACAAATAAAATATCAGTTTGGATGTATAATTTGTTACAATCAAATAAAAATAACAACTTCTTGAGCATGATAAATATTAAAATGATTACGAGAAACTAAAGTTCGCGAGTGGTGTATAAATGTCATAGTTACAATTATATAAATAGTTAAGAATAGCGTTCCATTAATCAGGTTTTAGAACAGCCTAAATTAAATAAAATTCTAACGTCTAAATACCCTCAGAACAATTAATTATGTATATAAAATTCAGTTCTTTATTAGGATTATTTGGCATCTATCACCAACATCGTTATTCTACTAAACATGGTATACGAAGGTGAGAATACCTAATCTGTTAATGCGCCTCTTCATAACATAAATCCTTACAAAAAGCGTACTTGGACGCTGGTATAATTTAATTCCCTGCCGAGCCTAGAGTTCCTCCTGTCCACACACACTAGCACTGCGTCGCACTACTACCGCTACTGCCTCTCCTGCCACACCACAGCGCCACTAGCATTCCACGCTCGTATGAAGACGAAACCAATTACATGATAGCCTCTTATCTCGAACTTGAACAATACAACTACATTGGATTTCTTTAGAGCCTGAAATGTATCCTTAACATTTATAAATCGATTCAAAAATGCAGCGAAGCAGAGAACACATTTTATTTGATTGCAAGAGAAATGACGTAAGAAGCGATCCGCGCGCGGCGCCAATACATAGCCCAATATAATACCGATGGTCGGAAGCGTTGTGGAAATGAATAAAGCGCTGATATGTCACTCGTACTATTGCCATACTTGAGATAGTTATTAGACGCTGTACATGGCGTACACTCCTTACTTACTTCGACGTTTTCCAATAATATCGTAAGTGATCACCCTAAAGAGGCTTATTAATACTTCAAGAATCGTAAATGTTAACCTATGGCTAAATACATTTAGAAAATCGTAGGCAGTCTAACTAAACTTATTACCGATCGAGGAGTAATAAAATTACGTCTACGTCGCCATTTCATATTAGCATTATATCTCGAACTCGCTTCGTCTTGCAATAATAAAATCATGACCTCTCACGACGAGGTTCAAAAGTAATCGTATGCCACAATAGAACTGAGTTTCCTGCAAGAATTTATGAGCGGGAGCTGGACGCTCCGTCAATCATAAAAGGGAATGTAACGGAAGGCGTGTGTCCTGCACATCGCTGGTCGTAGTATCACGCAACTTGTATCGTCATCATGTCGCGAGGCGGGGCGCAGGCGGGCGGGGCGGCGGCCTAGGGCGCGCGGTAGGCGGCGGCCGGCGGGCCGTGCCGCGCGTGGTGCTGGCACAGCGGCCGCGCCGCCTGCAGGCTGGCTTGGTGCGCCGCCTGCAGGCTGGCCTGGTGGGCCTGCAAGCTGGCTTGGTGCGCAGCCTGCAGAGTGGCCTGGTGCGCCTGCATGCTGGCCTGGTGCGCGGCCTGCAGACTAGCCTGGTGCGCGGCCTGCATCTGAATGCTCGCCTGGTGCACCGCCTGCATCTGCCCGATGCTGGTCTGCGCCATGGGGTGCATCTGCAGGTACTGCATGGACGTGCTACTATGCAACATCTGCAGCTCTGGCGGCATGTGATACAGGCCTGGAGTCTGTAGACAAGACAAAATGATTTAATATTTTATGATCAGATTTAACGTTTGTAAGCTACTGACAGTTTATTTTGGGAAAGTATAACGTACATGATGCGAGTGTGCGTGTCGGTGGGGCGGCAGGGAGGGCCGGGCTCAGTAGGCAGATGCCTCTTTGTACTCGGAGTTGTCCATGGTGAAGAAGTCCTCGAGCTTCCATTGCAGGGTCTCGAAGGTGGGTCGCTTCAGAGGATCTTTATGCCAGCACTCCAACATGATCTCGTAAAGTGCTGCGGGACAATTCTGAGGACACGGCATACGGTAACCATGCTCGACTTGATGTAAAACTTCAGCGTTAGTCATACCTGTTGACAAAAATATTTTTAGGATTGGCAGGATTGTAACAACACGTGTTTAATTATTTTTTCATGTCTGTAGAAATCAGTCAACCAAATCTCTCAAGGTCCTCATTTGAAATTTCATCGGAAGCTTTAAAAAAGTTCAATTGAGAGTCACTTTAAAAAGACGTGTAAACAAATTAATACTGATGAAACGTGCAACTTCATGACACCTTGCAGAAACAACTTTATTATTCGAAAGTGGACGCACTCACCTGGATAAGGTATTCGGCCGTAAGTGACGAGTTCAGTCAAGAGGATGCCGAACGACCAGACATCGGATTTAATGGAGAATTTACTGTAGTTGGCTGCCTCCGGCGCCGTCCATTTTATGGGGAACCGTGCGCCTACACGGGCCTCGTACTCATCTTCCTGTTAACGGAACAACATGCATGTAGGTTTAACGGACTCTCGTTTTACAATGCTCACAGGTATGTATGTGACTTGTCAATGGTGGACGACTGTAGTACGTATTGTAGTTATTTTTATTGCATGTGTGAATATCTGTAAGCAATTGTGTCAAAAATAATTTCGTATTACGTTAGTTAGTATCTTTGTAAAAAAATGTAATAAGAAAACAGAAAATAATTTGAAAAATACAATCGAATTGAGAACTTCCTCCTTTTTTTTGATGTCGGTTAAAAATCCAAGTAAAAGTGGTCAATCGTCGTGAGTTGTGTGATGTCGCCTCGTCAACCACAAGCAGTTTATTGTTATTTATTACTCATTGTTCTAATCAAATACATTAATTTAAACAGATTGTTCTAGAGGGAAAAGTCAGGATTATGATTCATGGAAAACCACACATACCTACAAACATAACTTTGTGCAAGATAAAGTTTTGCTTGCTAAGTAGATGAAAATAAACGTCAAGGAAGGAAAAGTTAACCGCATTTATTCTGTCGTAACTACCAACATATTTTTTTTCGATTTCACTTTAGTAAGAAGTAATCTTAAGGAAAACCAAAATAATATGAATAGAAAAATTGTATTATGCAATTTTGTCGCGCTTATTGTATTCAAAAGGGTTACAAATAAAACAATAAATAATAAAATACTTACTTTGATAAGCCTTGCAAGACCAAAGTCGGCGATTTTCACGATATTGGCATCGGCAACGAGAACGTTTCTTGCGGCTAAATCGCGATGTATGTAATTCTGTGATTCGAGATATGCCATGCCGGCGGCGATCTGCGCAGCCATGTCGATAAGCTGCTGCAGCTTCAGGCAACGACCTTTGCCTGGTAAACATAAAAGAATGAAAATAAAAAATAACCGTAAGGAAAAAATCTTGAATTTAAAATTTGCCTGTTTCACTAATATGACTAAAGTTACCTTGTAGATAGTCCAAAAGGGATCCATTCTTCATAAGTTCAGTGATGATGTAGATAGGTTCTTCAAGAGTGCAGACAGCGTATAGTTGAATGAGTTTGTTGTGTCTCAGTTTCTTCATGATCTGAGCTTCTGCGAGGAAGTCTTTGGGGTCCATAGTACCCGACTTCAAGGTCTTCACGGCCACTGGAGTGGTGTTGTTCCATAGACCTTCCCATACTTCACCAAACTGGCCGTGCCCTAGTTTTCTTACGAACTTGAGCGATGAACGGTCGATTTCCCATTGATCGCGCGTTCTGTGCGAGAGACCTTCCGTCACTGGTTTCTCAATCTGTGAATAAATTTAGTAATATAATATCTGTTATGCTTAGGTACTTCATTATAGGTCTGTTTACTTGATACCATGGCCATTTAAGGAGAAAAACGCTTATAAGATAATCGTTATATCAATTATATCTAAACAGGCAATATTTTAGTAAAAAAACTGGGATTCCTCAGAATTATAAATTCATAAATGCAATTTTAATAATGTTATTTCTTCGTATCGTGTTATGAAGAACGTCGCGTACGTCAACAAATGCATTTTATTATAATCATGGTGTGGTATTATTTTAATGTGAGTTTATTAAACACTTGATCCCATTTTAATAAAAAACTTTGCAGATATACACGGGACCCTGGAGATGATTAAACGCAAAAAAGATATAGGTAATATTTTACTGGAAATTTTATCAAATTTTTATTCCTGGAATTTTACAGCGGACCTGAACGATGTGATTATATAGTCGATTAATAAGTTTTTACTCTGTAACAATGGATCGTTAATGTAACAATGTCGATTGTCATCCAATTAAAGTAGTTTCATATAATTATTCTGATCGGTTTAGTTGTTAGACCGTTTCTCACTAGCGTTTAGATACTCAATTACGTTTTACGTAACGCCTACATATTATAAGGCAGGACGCGTGTTATTTGTATACTTTCAGATACTTATCTTCGAGTTTTATTAACTGGAAATATAATTATTTATAACTAAGTGGTATTCGTGCAAAGGAAACTATAAAGAGAAGTCATATTAAAAGGCAAATAAGAATCCAAACAGTCAGGATACCCGAAGCAAATTAGACAGAAGTCACACATAGATTATTCGCGTTCGATCAAGATCTGAATACAATATCGACATGAATGAGTAATCCGTACTGGTAGCAAAAAAACTCTTTGTTAGTGGTTATATAATATTAAAACTAAGTTTGAAGTCTTTTATGAAATATATTTATATTTTCCTTTTATGTTCCAAGATCCAACTATCTACGGGTCTGTCTAGACAGCAGACTATCGTCCTTTGGGGGGTATTCATACATAGAAGTCAATGACCTGCATTTTCGGTCGATACGTCTAGCATTTTGTTGCAAGAACTCATTATGAAAACAAAGCTACACACTACGAATTACTTGCTCCAAATAATAAAAAAATGTAGGTATTGCATTACATCAGTTATCAGTTAGAAATATGTACAAATAAAAGTTTTCATTTAATACAAACTAATTAAATTACTTTAGTGTAAGTGACCGTTAATGCCAAGTAGAAATGGAAACTAATAAAATTCGCACGAAACGGGGCTAAACGTAATTGGTAACTGTTCTCTTACTATAATACAAACAATGGGCAATACTTTTTATGAGTAGACTTGGTTTATTGTCGGTAAAAGGTGAGCTAACGTTATGTAAGTGTCTGACTTAAAAACGCAGTACACAGACTGAGTGACAGAGTGTCAGACTGTGAGGCGACACGAGCCGTCAAGGTTTAATACAAGCATCCATTGTAACCCTATAACGGACGCTTGGATTAATACTACGACCACAATACCTACATAAATAGCACGCTATCGTTTACAGTTACTTACAGAGATATTCATGGTTATAGTTATTAAATTATACAGAAATTTTGTGAGTAACTACAGCCAGAACTAGATATTTTATTTCGGAAGGAACCCATATCTACCGTTGGTAAACGGACGGAAAAACTTTCAGAGTCCAAACTCGTCAAAGTTGATTAAACTTTTAATCTTGTTTGTTTTTGTGGACTGTACTACGAAGACAATGCGCGGCTCAGTTGGAAAAGGCATTAAATCCGTGCGTTATTATGTAGTGTTGCGATTTTTAATTCACACCGCGTTGTGCGTTTGTAACATGAGACTTTGGTGCTGTCCACCGACCGCGACCGTCCGTCTGGTGTGCCTGTCACGCTCCACTCCATTGCTTATACAATACATACATGCTCGGTAAATACTTGCGACCCTTATACAATACTCGAGATGTACTTCAGAAATACCGTTTTTTACGGAGGGGTGATGGAGCTAAAGTGGTGTTGCGTTAGCACCACTTCAAGGCTAAGGGTGTTACAGCATGGTACGCAGAACGGGTTCAATGACAACGTTGGAAAGAATAGCTGATGTGGCAACGTATTGTTTAGTGATGTTGCGGAAGAGAACGATCCTAAATTTCAAAGCAAGCGTATTGTCGTGCTGTTTGTAATACTGCACTTTAATAGCAATGAAAGAATTATAGTTATTGCTCATTACAGCGAATGTCGGTTTATTGAAATGACGTGCTTTTCATTTTCATTACATATGTTCACGTTAATGCTGTCACATAAACTACGTCACGACGCCCATATTTTACTTAAGCAAATAGTCAAATGCATTACAATTGTTATGTATTACGATTTTTGAACATTCGTTTGAATGACGTCTTTGTAAAACAAATAAGTTAGTTATGTTTATTTTCCGCCAAATGGACAAGAATGTCGTGAATATTTAGTTTTTCCTGGACGGGTTTTAGTTTTAGTTTTTTTTTATACCTATACGCAGTTTCGGCTAGTTCTTAAGTTGTGGTAATATATTAAAAACTGAACGACCAGAATTCTGCTGAAGTCGCGGACAGAATTTGCTAATCGCTATAAGTAGGCACTGACAGGTATAAATTTAAAATTATAATTAACTGTTAATAAAATAGCGACCAGATTACTCATCAACCGAAATATTTAAATATAATGACATAGAATTTGCCCTAAAATAAAGGATATAAACGTGTTGTTGACAGAAGGGCATGAAATACTTGGTCAGACGTCATTGTACGCCTTAATAACATTATACACTGAAATACTTCACTGAAGAATGTACGAACCGAATAATTGAAACCCAAAGTAAAATACTACTAAGGACGGCACAAATTAGACATACAAGAAACTTTTATTAAAAAAAGGTCCGCTAGTAAAAATACTATTTTTATGGCTTGGCATAAGAAAATAGGAATATAGAATTTATAACCAGCAAACTTTACCAAGAATTGGTTTCGCGTAAAAGTTATGAGCTTGAAGTTGATGTAATAAACGAGTAAGAAGATAAGCTGATCGCAGAAAGTGCTATATTATGTTTATTACACAATCAATCATATTCAACAGTTAGAAGTGAAATCACAACTATGATGAATCTCGTAACAAGGAGCAAAAGCCTTCGTCAAAACAAGATGTAATGTAATAAATTAATACTATCAATTATTTTTATACATATAGGTAATCAAGAAAAAAAAAACGATGATTCAAAATTTTAAAAGCACAAGGTGATTGGTTTTCTTGGAAGTTAGACTTCGTGGTTATCGATGCTAAATATAGTTATTTTCTCATCTGTCTGCAGTTTCAAAATGAATTGTTTACCAACCATAAGCCTCAGAAGAGAGTGATTAAAATATTGAGGTCTCGCTATGTGGGTACTCGAGGTCTGAAACGAGGCAGTAAACCGCATGCTCGCCGAGAAATGGTGAGTATAAATAAACGCATGGAAACAATGAAATTCCGCAAATGCTAACAGTATACAGTTGATAAGGTAAGGAGTGAAGGGGGGCATTGCTGTGTACAAGCAACTTTTGTTACGTTACTTACGTAGGTCAAACGTTACATATTACAAGTAGCCACTCAATTAACGAACTTGAGTTCAATATTAAGGCTCATTTACCTGTCGAAGGTGTACTTTACAACGATGTGACAGGTATTTACAGCTTCACAAAAGCTTGAATCGACCATGCAGATAAGGCTAATTTTAAATACAAGTAATAATAAATAGTTGTACTTGTATTATCTAGATGTTTAGTTTGTCTTTGTAGAATTAAAGTTCATGTATACGTCCTTGAACTTTAACCGTCGGCAGCGGCTGTCTCGATGCACAAGGCAGCTTTATTTTCATTTTTCATATTACCTTTGTACAATACAACCGTTGGTAAGAAAGTCGTAAAATTACAAAATAATTTGAAACCGCGTACGCCACTGCACTTTACATAACTTTCTATCTTAATGGCATTTTGTAACAGTTAACAAGGCATGCGAGCAAATTAATTGATATGACTATTTTATTAAAGGCACATGTGTAAATCCACAAATAAAGAGTAAATTTTGGGTATAGACACCATATAATGTGAGTCAACGCAACAATAAGAAGGAACCGGCCGTTAATTAGAAAAGTAAACACAATTGTTGCAACGAGACATAAAATGAACAATAGACCTCGTTTGTAATTGGTTGACGCTACTTCACCTTTATTTCTATAGCTTTTTTGATAAATACTTAATTTCGTAAACGTTCATAAAGCGTTAAAAGTATCTACCCAACCGTTTTTTTTTTTGAAATTGTAACCTACGTTTGAAAAAACAATTCATCATTGAAGGTTTCCAGTGATCAGGTTTAGGCTTTACCAACTACGCAAGGTCGTAATTATCATCTTTTTGTACTAAACCATCTTTGATAACGCAGCCGCCATTATAAACTCGTTTCTTAGTTAAAAATAGGTATAGCAGACGTATTAAATTATACGTCTGGTGCAGTTCCTACACTTGATAATTATTTGTGTTATATTACACCCAGTGTTAAACAATCATTTGAACTATTCTGCAATTCTAGTTTAATTGTTACTTCACGTTTTCGCTCTGAAAACTTCGGTACAAGTTGTAATTTTCTTTTAATTACACATTCATAACAAACAAATCCCTATTGAAATTAGATTGAACATTTGGTTTCATCAAAATCTCTCTTGACCTAGAAATATAGCCATGCCTTTTAAATGTGTAGTTCTTACATGCAAAAACTGATAAACAGTTAAGTAATACAACACGTTTCATATAATTTTGTAATATTCAGAGTATTTGTAAATCAAAGTGTCGTTCTCACACGATTGCCGATGAGATAACTCGTGATCGCTTAGACTAACTTTAATGATTTGCGAAAACAGCAATAAGGACATAGTGAATAGCGACTAAATTTATTTGCATTTTGGATTAAGTAATGCCGTGGCTACAAATGAGATGAGAAATAAATGCTGCTGACGTTGTTGTGACGGAGGAAAACATCAACAACAATGGAGTTGTCATCGAGGGGGAAGCTCTGTGTTATGTACGCACTGTCCGTAACGAAAGTGGGGCCTTCGCGGCCTTGGCGCTAGGTCGATCGCGAAACTGGAACAGCGAATTTTATATATTCGATGCTTATTATGTTAATTGTTTAGCATAATATTACAAACACATAAATTGCAAGACTTTGGTGAGAGCAACGTAAACAAACTTGACGTCACGATTAAGTCCATGCATTTAGGATTATTGTGTTTCGACATTTTTGTTTATTATAAGCTACAGGGACGCATCGAACCCATTGCCAAATATTGGTATATGTCTAGACTCAGACATACATCATAATATTGTGTGTAATCAGGTAGTGGTTACTACTACTTAAGTAGACCGTGATGAGAGAACATAAATTACCATCTGGTCTTATGGCAATTAAAGTAATAAACAAACAAACAACGAAATGTGGCATATAACGATATAGTCACACAAACAGTCATTAAAAAAGAATCTGTAAAGTTTGCATTTAATTACGTGATGGTGCGCCGCATCTATACAATTATAATCAAAATGGAATTTACACGTGATGCCAAGAGTGGAGCATTGTTAGTTTTAAATACGCAACTGACGCACAGCTAACTTATAATTCCGATACATAACTTATAAACGCTCCTATATAGTCTGAGAAAAATCACTCGATACATAAAAATCCTTTCCGCAATTTGTATTGTGAAATAATCGAGGGCATGCCGGAAAATGTTCATATAAAAATAAATAAAAGTTTGAAAATGTTAACGGCCTTCACTGGGCCATACACATTCGGTTTAAATAACTTAAATATGACGATGGTCTTTGTCCGAGAAAAGCAGAGTCCTTCGGTGAATTTAAAGTATCCTCGAGCTCGTTCAATGCCTTGTAATATTTCTCACGCGGCGCACAAAGGTTGACCCGTCGAAAACCATAAATTTTATAGTCGTCCCGATATTGAATTTTGCAATTTATGCGACTCCGTTATAATAAATATTCTGCTTGTAATTTGTTATTTATTTCATACCCGTAACCTTGACTTGACAACACTATGATTCCATGATTGTGCGTTTCTGTCAAATGTTGAGTTCAATCATTTATTACCGCATCGAGCGGAAGGTCGGGTCAAGCTCAAGTGTTATGTATGAGGCATTATGCATTCGGAAAGAATGTCAGATCACACTTGGTAGAATAACTGTTTTACAATTTTAATAAGGCTTCTAGCAATAACTGTTGACTATGGATAAGAAACGGGAACTGAATTAGATTAGTATTTACGATGTGCATTCGATATGCGATTACCAGGGAATGGAAACGGACACCTAGTCGGAGAACATCCTGCGTTTATGTAAAACGTGAAACTTTATGTTAGTGTTACCTGTACGCAGGGCTTGTTGAGTGATACGCAGAGGCCGTCAGCGTCCTTGCTGTAATGCTCGACGAGTTCCTGCAGCGTACGGAAGGTAGTGCGCCTCGCGATGAAGAAACCGCCCTCGTCCAACTGTCTGATGCGGTAATGTTTCACCGTATCTCCGTCTCGCACTGTGAACAACAATTATTCATTAATTTGCATTTTATTGCAATACAAATTGCGTAAAACTGGAGTACGAATACTCATAGCAAATAAAATATGTTGTAAGTTCTATAATGCAATGTCATAATACGAAGAATTGATTAAGACCCGCATGATCTATATATAGACTATTATGAATCATAGATGGTTTATTTCATAGGCTACCCGCAGCTAGTGGGCAACACTTACAGTATTGCAAGAAGGAAAAATATTAGTAGTACATTAAAAAACGCCGCAAACCCTGTCACAAATGAAATATAGAGCCAGTCATGAAGCTAGCGCCACAGTGGCGAGCCAACGAGTTTAAGAGAAATAAGAACAGTATATCCATCAAAATGTCTCAAAAAGAAAGTTTTAATTCTAGGAAGTTGCTGAGAAAGACTAACTGGCAATTTATCGGGGCATACATCTCGGGTTTTTGAGACTGTCATACTTATCTTAGGTCGTGCAACTTGCATCTCGACCTTGCTAATACCACGAGAATACAGCCTGAATAATAATTAATGGGTGAGTTTCTGAGAAACGTCGCGTCAGTTTTTGACATTTCGATTGGAGTTGATGAAGGTAATCTTTAACTGACATTTAATCACGTTTTCATTAAATTCTTTGTTTAGAGTTGGTGATGTTGTTTCAATTTTATTTTCATATGTGCTGGTGGTTGTTATGTAAGTGTTACGCTGTAAATAATACTTTATTGCTAGTGATGCATAAAGTGGTAAGCGTACGAGAGAGAAAATATATGTACTTAGTCGGGTCATAAGTTCTGTCACAAACTTTTGATGTAATAACTTATACGCCTTTTGACAATTATTTAAAAATTATATATGAAATGAAAGGTCATTAAATGTACAATATAATTTTATTTACATTATTCGAAATGCCCTCCCCCATTTTGAACACATGCCCTTAATCTACGCGGCCAGTCATCGATCGCTGCACGCACCACATTCATATCTATGTCTGCCGCTGCTTTAACCAGAGATGCTCGGAGAGACTCCAAATTCGGGTGAGGTTTAGCACAGACTTTTTCCTCCAAATATTGCCATATCTTGTAGTCCAGTGGGTTTAAATCTGGACTAGAAGAGGGCCAGTCTTCATGCCGGATGAAGTCAATTCCACGAGCGATCAACCAGTCTTGCGTACTTCGTGCCTTATGAGCCGGTGCAGAGTCCTGTTGGAATATCCAATGCCTGTTCCTGAACATTGTCTGAGAAAGAGGTTCCACTATGTTTGTTAGGACAGTATTTTGATAAACTTCGGCACTAGTTCTCACACCTTTTTCACAGAAAAACACCTCAGTTACGCCTGAATATGAGACTCCAAGCCAAACCATGAATGAGGAAGGGTAATGCCCACGCTGGACCCTCGCAATACGCGCGCTTGCTTCTTCACTGCTGTGGGCATACACCTTATCATTTTGTTTGTTAAAACTTTCTTCAACAGTAAAAATTTTTTCATCCGAAAAAAGAATTTCGCGGTATTTTTTTCCCGCGTACCGTCGTAGCAAAGCGCGGGATCTGTCTAGCCTAATTTTTTTTAAACGCTCGTTCAAAAAATGTCCTGTCTTTTTACGATAAGCTCGTAGTCCCAGGTCTTCATTTAGTACTCTTTTAACAGTGGTTCTGCTTAGCCCCATCTGCAGAGCTAGGATTTTTTGTTTACGTACGGGATTTCGTTCGATTCGCGCCTTCACTGCTTTGATGACCTTATGTGTCCGAACTGTGCGAGGTCGGCCGCTTCTCTTACGATCTTCGAAGCTTGACTCTTCGGTGTATCGTTTGATAGTACGATAAACAAACCGTAACGTTATTTTCAAATTTTGAAGAATATTGAAAATGTCTTTTGGCGCGTAACCACAGCGGTGCAACGCGATAACCGCGATTCTGTCTTCTTTATTCGACCACTCCATATTTAAAAATGAATAAAAAATAATTTCTTTTTTATTTTCTACAAGCGCGAAAGTTCTATTTTTAAAATAAGTCGAAGAATTTCTGGCCAGTAATCGAAAATTAAAAATATAAGGTTTTGACAGAACTTATGACCCGACTAAGTATATAGAAATAAACGCAAATTGTGATATTACAACAGTGTTATCTGCGTTTGATTTTGCTGAAGTAATCCTATTGGTGATGATAAGTACGTGATCAATAATAAAACATCTAGAAAGCCGTGCAACGTCCGCATCTTAACGTGATTTGATTGAGTTTTAATCACATATTATTACAAGCTTTTTGTGTATGGCGTTGCGAGAATCTGCAATCAAACTAATGAGCCATGCACTTTCTTCTAAAACTTTATTACCAGTGTTTATTTATGTAGAAGATTCATAGGAATGCACCACAATGTGTTTTACTATTAAATAAAGAGCAGATAAAAGCGGCATTTAATTGGAAATAACAATTTTGAGGCGAGAGGTAATTTATTTTCTAAAAGAGGACCATTATGAATCTCTAAAATAAGAGATAACAATATCACAACTGGTTTCATTTCATTAATGGATTCTTCAACAATGAATAATGAATGGGTGACATTTATCTTTGAGTTGGGTGTTAATTATGTCAGACCCGTTTAATATGTAAATAGCAAAGAGATGGTATGTCTATATGTTAATATTGGATTAACAATATTTGCCTGTTTTTAATAATGATACTTACGTTTCGCATGGTAAAGTCAAAATTTAATTGAGCAACATAGATTGACGTGATATTATTATATATTAGGTAACCTTAAAATAAGTACGCGCCTTTGAAATGGCATAGCTTCAATATGCAAGTTGGGGCAACAACTTATAAAACGTGCACTATGTGCTACAATGCTCTTATACATAATACGCATTGGAAAGGTACTGACGAGCTGATTGTTATTGGAATTCTAGATTAAATATAGGTCCAAAGTACAGCCAAGTCTAAAGATTCACTGCCTCAAGTCCCAAGTGCCCGGCTAATTAATTTGTTCTATTTCAACATAATATTTGAACAATGGCGTTCGTAGTGCTAACAGTAAAACCGACTAGCTAAAACAAACGACTCAGTCCCGGCATTTAAGTGCGCAAAATTTAGAAAACCAAACTGCAAATTCTTGTAGAGTTAGTAAAAAGATCGTACCTATTCAACAAATTTCCAAATTCGAACGGTAACAAGTACATATCACTTTGTTCTACGTGAAATATTAAATTTGCTGAAGTGAAAGAATCAAAACTACGCTTTCATTGATTGAGAAAGTAGTTGGGAAATTTATATGACGACGCCCGTAGTACCTAACTTAGAAATATGATTTTATATGCAAGCCGCACTGAATGTAGGTTTTATGAGGGATCAATTAGAACTTTAGAAGACTCTAGTTGGATTAATTCTATATAAATATAAGTACATTGGCATATCTCAATAATAGGATTGGTCTTTCTAAAACATAAATAGACAAATACATCTCCCGACGATCAATTGTGAAAGTTATTCGAGCAGCACACTCATAGGAAAGTGATACCAAAATCACGCACACAATTCTTAAATAGATAGATATCTAAAATTGTTTCTATCTATTTAATATACCTAATTATGGCATTTCCTTTATTCGTCATTAATACGATTATATTAAATATTCATGGTTAATGGTTATAGATATAAAGCCACTTTCCTCATTTCCTGTGTAACCCAGGTGGGATATCGATTGAAGTTATATATAGAACAGATCGTCGGAATGTAGGCCATAGCCATTTGAGACCCAAATATGAGCAGGAATCCAAGTGGAAACATTCTGCTTCACAAAACAATGGGATTTTGTAAACTTCGCTTTGTATGGAAACGGCAGATTGGATAGTTAGTGACACATCGTTTCCTTTCAAAACAATTTTATCTAAAAAAAACGTACATTGGTGTTTGTTAAATTATTTTTTACATATACATACATACATTATATGACTCTGCACATTGGTTTTCACCTTCAGTTTTACGAACATCGCATATAACGGGTACCTACTTAAATATAGATAAAATACTTTTCTTGGAAAACTCGTAAAACAAATGTTATTACAATATTTTTAAACGGATTAGACATGTTCATATAATTATTTTATCGAATTTATCTTGTAAATCTCGATCGTACATACGGAATTGTATCACTTCAGGTGTATAATTTTCTTGAATTGCGTTTTTAGCGACTGACATGGACCTACTAAAGAACATAAAATCAGACAGTGTAGTGCAGCTTGACTGTATAAATGAAGGAGTACTTTTATTCACTTCACTTCAATTCTGCGGTACATAGGCGTTCTGATATGGTCATCAAATCTATTTACAATTCTCAATTTTTTTGATGATACCACAATTGGAAGCGAGTGTAGTTTTGTAGTTATTAGATTTTATAACACAGTGCTTCGCTACAGGTGAATTTAAACGTGTAGAAAAAAAAAAACAATGGGTACATCATTCTATAAAAATCGGTATTGTTCTTTGAAACCATTAGTTAGAAATGTAGGTATACTTTTGTGGTATTCGACAATTATTACATAAATTATGTTCTAAGAAACCACAAGAATAATAAAAAAGCAGATAAACGTCCTTGAAGATAGAACATGATGTAACATTGTCGCACGACCACATTGCTACTGCTCTACATTACATCAACGCGAAATACCTAACATCTATTACAAAATTAAATTAATAAATCAAAAGATTCCTTTAACGCAAGCTCCTAAGGAATATTTTAATATATTCTAGTTTGCGTTCCTTTTATTTTTTCTTGCATCGATTAAAAAATTACAGATAATTTTATGATCACGAGATCTCCTTTTTTATCAAGGAAACATTTTTGTTTTATGATGCATTGGAAGAAATCAACGGAACTATTTTTAATTATGGATATTGCACTTAATCGGACAAAATTATAGGTAATTATGAACTATTACTATTGCTTATTTGTGAGTTTAATTTATCGAAGGAAAGTGGTTGGGTGAGACTAATAAACGTTCGAAAGAACCTACCACTGTGTGTATTCTCACAAATTACTAAACAATTTTGTTTCAATTCCGTATGCATTTTGAGAAAAACCGATTTATATTTTTCAGTCACAATGTCTTATTTTCTTGAAATAACAAAAATAACACGCTGTGGAAAAACCAACGTAATTAATGTTCGACGATTTAACCTTCAGCGTTCACGGTTAATTTTGTATCCATTATTTAAAGAAAATTATCTAACACATAAAAAGTTTAAAACCTACAGAAGACTTTGCTTTTATTACTAGTAGTGACTCATAAAAGAGTAATTGAAAATGGGTCGTTAATTTCTCGACACGACACACATTGTTTATAATATAGAGTCACAATTTCATTCATAACGGTTTGATTAAGAATGAAATCAACTAGTCAAATAGTAACCTGTATTTTATGCAAATGCTAAATAAATATCTCGGTTGTATAAGGCTGGTTGGACGTGAGAATAAGTTCCGATGTAGATGACAGCGGTCACGTCTCAGCGTTTTGTTCGGAATGCTGCAAGATGGCTGAGTAAATCAAAAATAGTTAAAAAGTGTGCGCTCAAGCCTTGTATTTATAAACAATACTAATTAGCAGATATCGAGGCAGTCATTCAGTTGTCTTTGTTCCCACGGCGCCTTAGCTAGGGGCCTTAGAAAAACTTTCAACCGGTTTGCGTCGTGATCGAATCGTCCAGAGGCATTGGATGCGTTTGTAACAGGATAGCACTTAGCACTATCCTGCGTGCCACAGGACGCACGATGAATCATACCCATCTAGTACCACATTACATAAATATTCTTATATTTTCCGAGCTAACAAGTTGATAATAAATGCTGTATAATGCAGTGTATGTAAATTAACGATATCCTATTAAAGTTGAACACAGAATGCATTGTTTTATCATGTCACGTGATATTACCTGATAGTGAGAAGTCATTATGGCGGCTTTCGGAGTCTCGAATGAGGAAAGCACCATGTTCGTTCTCGGGGAGGAGCAATTTCTTCTCCGCTTCGATTCGCTTTATTTTGCGGAAGTACCATCTGTAACAACATTGAAACATGTATCAATATGTGTTATCGAAATTACAATAAATATTAAGGCCGTTGATAATAATCATAACAGCATACATGCAGTATTCAAGTTTATGTTTGCAGTATAAAAAATCGAAGGTAAAGGAGTATGAGTCATTAGGCGAGAACATAAAGAAGTAAAACGAATCTAAAATTGCATTACGTTGCCTACAAGATGAACAGAAGCAACAAAAACGAAATGTACGCAAGTTGTAACAATGTAATTAATATTGAACATCTAGTACTAATGAATTGTCCATCTGCGGAGCATTTCATTACGTTGAACAAAGTGATTATCATTATAATGACAATATGACTGCATTATAAAGGACTGGTATCGCTCTCGTAGGGTGTTCAGAAAGCGGCTTGTCGGTGACTCAACGAGTACGAATGAATAGTATTCTGCATTCATTTGACGTACGCTCACTGCGTCCGCGCCGGAGACAAGCTTATTGTAGTAAGCGCTTTTAACATGAGCCCCACTGGTAACAATGAATCATAATTTGTCACCTAGTCGAAATAACAGAACTTGTACAATAAAAGCAGGACAAATTTTGTTCAAGCGACGCCGGTGTTTAAAGACGATTCGCAATTATGATAGTCATACTAATACATGAGTATAAATCAGGTTCATTTCTCATTGACGTATTGCAAAACAAAGCTGTAGGGGTCTGACAATAGTATTGCATCAAATCCCGCGCGACAGACGGGCGAGGTCGACGGGCTTTTGATATAAAAATAGTATCTAAGTGGTACAGCTGTAAAACGGTAAACTGTCAGCAGTAAAAAGAGCCACGATCACTTCCAACGGTCATATTTTTAGAATTGTTGCAACTTAATATAACAACCTTGTGGTTTTAACGAAACGTTTAGTAACAATTACCTACTACGTAAATTACTAATCTATTTACGTGAAATCGAAATGGATTTAGGTTATTTTTGTTTCGTTATTTTTGCCTCAATACCCAATCGGAAACAATTAGTAGATCTACTACCAATTCAGCTTTTGTTATCTTCGCTAGAGTAGAGCTGATTGATAAAACACTATTCAATTAATCGACCAAAGCCTTGTTAGTTTTCTTAGAACGAACGTCATGTGGGTGTTAAATGGCAAGATGAGTGATGATTTTCAGAAGCTCAATGTCGATAACAACGTCTTGGTGTTAACAATCATTTCATCTTGTTCGTGACTGGAAAAACTGATTGGTGTGAGATTACTATTGTCCAGTAGATTGTTCCGGCTGAGAATCACGGCAGACCCTTGCACTATAATTAAATGGACGACTCAGCACACGATATTTATCAGAAGTCTGATTACCTATCTGCGTAGGTACAGTAAGCGTACAGAAGTGGGTTTGCAAGTGCTAGTTTCGTAACGCGATACACAACAGGTAAATACTCTTTTTAGTCATTTGAAATACACCGAAGCTATTATATCACACTCACTAAAATTTTTGTTAGTTCTATCTTGCCGATGTGTATAGAAACTTTACAAAAATAAACTTGATACTTTCAAGTATATAATGTCTTTTACACAACAGCTCGCTAACCGTTTTACAAGAATAAACTTACGTGGCAATATCTTAGAGCAATCGCAGAATAATGTGAATTTTTGCAATTTTGAAATGCACATCACAAAGGTCGATCTGCGACCTACTTTTTGTAAAAAAAAACATTAAAAACATGTAGCGTTACAAAATGATAAAACTATACGTTATATTGAAAAAACATTGTTTTGTCCATAAGCATATCAGCCGGCGACTTGTAGCATAGTAGCACATTTCAATGGTCCAGCTGCATCTTGATCTAGTTAAAATTCTATAACCGTCAAACAGGCTATCCAGCCAATAACAATTTCAGATGATATTATAGAGGAAAATTATTATGAACAATGTCGCCGGAGCTATAAAAATGCGACATGAAAAGGGCGCCACGGGATGTAGCTACAAATACCTTCGGCGGGACCTCGGCACGCACTAAGGGCATACTTAGGGTCATAGATCGGTAACTAGCAGATAGCGTCGAAGGTCCTAACATGGAAAACGCACTCAGAATAGATAAATAATGCACATGTTTATTAAGCTAATTAATTTCCTCGATAATAAGAAATAGAAAGTGTTCAAAGCGATGTAATCATGACTAGACAGAAAGTATGCTTCATTGAGAGGAGGTGTAACATTTAACTAAACTCCGCTCGAACAAGAAGAAATTATCTAAGCGAAAAAGATCTAGAAAGTCAACTCATAAGTCTATCTAAGCTGGTTCTAATTAAGAATTAAGCTGATGCTTGTAGACCACTTGTACCCTACCATTATTTAACTATCGATAGCAAGGTATGATAAAAGAGGTTCCGGCATAAAAACTAGTAATATCACATCTATAAATCTCTTTTGTATCAGACAGACTAATGAGCGACCTTGACCTCCTAAAGACGAAGAGAAATCGTCATCTGTATCATGAATCATGCCCACATATGATTGAATATTAGACCTTCTCACTACACAGAATTTTGTACGGATGATATCACTTATCGATTTAAGGTAACTTGCGTAACTCTAACTAGAAAAAATCACAAACTATAATATAAACAATGTTTATGATAATATCGGTAAAGGTATTTTGAACGAAATGTCGGGTGACTGTCCACAAGCATGGTCCCGATTTGATGGAGCATATTTAAACAAGCTAGTTTGCCGCTATATTTATTCTAGTAGATACGTTTCAATTGCAGATTTTCGAAAGTGCAAATAGCATTGTGCAAATTTGAACACCTTCTTTGTCTAGACTTCGGGAAAAGTTTAGTAAAAGTGTTAGTTCGTCAATATTAAATGTAATTTTACACGTGTAAGTAGATACATACACATATTTCTTGGAATCTCAATATATTTTGTCATTATCAGAAAACATAAAAATCGCTTACATAATTAACTGTCAAAGTGTTGAGTACTACGAAATAGAATGTTGTAGGCACGTTGCCAGATGCATAAGTGGGGGACGGAAATTCCTAATAAATATCATTATTGGCTTTGTTATATAATCAAATTTCCGGTTTGCAAACATCTCAATTAGAATAATCCTATAGTATTGATAACCCACAGATAAATTATTAAAATTTGAAATGCAAATTTTATTTACGATAATTGCCGTCATGTTGACCGACTATTATAGAGAACCACGTGCCAAAATCAAGGCATAATTCGATAACATAAACATTGTATCATAATAGATTTATCGTGATAACAAAATTTTTAATTCACTATCTCTAACATCAACACAACGGTCTACGTTATATAAGACGATTTGGTTATCAGCGTGAAGAAAATTTGGCCTAAACCCTTTGACACCGAGACGCTATAAGTGGCGCAATCAGGGAGAATTAATTACGTGACTTTCGCTCACAGTTTTATAATATAGCGAGTTAAGCAGAGGCGCCGGTCATCGACCTTCGCGTGCCGATGTAGCCACAACTTTTTTGCTAAGCCAGTCTCGCCTGGCTCCGGGTTGCTCGCTAGATGGGTAATCTAATTATAGGGTCTTACTCTCAGGATGGACAAGTAAGTTTGCCTTAAACTTCTATACTAGTTGTTTTTTCAGGAGATAGGGTGATACCGTTTCAATAGAATTGTATATGGAGGGACTATCGAGATGAGGGTTTATTACCTGATCATGTCTCTGAAGCAGAATTATAAGCGGTAATTGTCAGCTCATTGACAGAAGAATGTTGACAAGTTGATTAGAAAATAACAGAGATAGTTGAGACGTAGAAAATGGTACACGTGTGACAAAATGTTCAGTTAAAGTGGTCTATAATTGCTGATGCGTGTGCACTTTAAGAATAAAGTGAATCAGACTTAATACAAGAGCAACTTTAACTCGCATTGTCAAGAGCCGTGGGAGATTTTTTTGTCAAAGAAGGATTTCACGCTTTGTTTAATAATGTTATTGTGAGCATCCTTCATTTTTCCAATATTTTAAAAACTCACACGAAATAACACACGTTAGAAATTTAAGAAAACGAACTCCGGAAAAGTTAAGATGCATGATCCACAAACCCCGTTTGAGGTAATTGTATTATGAACGGTATTTTCACGAGCAATATGGGTTTGTCCGTTAGTTGTTTAGGCAGGAGACAGATAAGGATATCAGTCATACAAATGACGACATCGATTGAATTCACAATAGACTTCCCAGATACCTTGGTGGCTTGCTAGGTGCTAAGAATTGTGACACAGATATGCGGTACAAGAAACCTAGTCGCGATAAGCTGAGGCTTTACAGGCACGATAGAAATCGTCATATCGGTTGCGACGGTCACTGATAAACAAACCAGTCATTTGAACTACGTCAGAACAACCAAAACGGCACTGTTATTTCAGATATTAAACATTTAGAAATCTGTTAGCGTAGCGAGAACTATTAGCGAACTTTACAATGAGTCGTTAAATATTACTGCCTTCTGTTAATCAGGTAAGGGCATGATGCGAAACGTAAAATAAATAAATAACGATTAGTACTGCAAAATGCTAATAGGAATAAAGTCTTTGTCGACAGCAATCATTCAATGGATCTAGTAGCAGATGACGCGATTGTTTAAGGTAGACGTTTAACAATTCATTGTATTTAAAGTGTAATTATGTGTGTCCTTAAGATATATTACTCGTTCAATCACTTTAATTAAAGTTCACTGAAACGTCACATCACACGGATGTGTAACTAGTAAGTTAGAAGCGGTGTAAATGTTTATGCGACTGCATTGCTGCTATAATAGTTAGTTAGTCGCATTCGAAAATCGTTTGCACGAAAACATCCGCAAGAGTAACAATTATCGGCGGAGGTCGGTGCGCCGGCGCAGGCGGCGCGCACCTCAGCCGTAAAAAGTAAAAACAAATCATAAAAACCAGTTGTATTGTTCTTTCGCAAGAGACGACCTCAAGCCTTTTGATAAGAAACGAGTCATTTTCATCGATTTT